GACGACGCCATACAGTCCATCATTACATCTGGTAATCGACCCTTGCTCAGCAAAACAGACATCACTAACGCCTTTAAATTACTGCCCATACACCCCTCACTCTGGCACTTACACGGTGTTAAATGGCGAGGGTATTATTACTTCTCAACACGACTCACTTTTGGTTCTCGAAGCAGCCCCAAACTTTTCGACATTTTCGCAGAGTCACTATGCTGGCTGCTTCTGAACGTCATCAGGTGTCACTCCGTTATTCACTATCTAGACGACTTTCTACTGATAGAGCCAGGGTCATCAACACCCACAGCAATCAAAAGTACTACCGCACTATTTTCCACACTTGGAGTTCCTTTGTCCCCAGCCAAAACTATAGGACCCACAACAAAGTTGACCTTTTTAGGCATAGAGCTCGACTCTGTCAAACTCAGAGCTAGCCTTCCCCACGACAAACTTTCACGATTGAGAGGGGAGATAGACACGTTCCTGCGGAATGACGTTTGCACCAGGAGAGAACTTCAGTCCCTTCTCGGATCTCTGAACTTCGCCATGCGCATCATTCCGCAGGGAAGGTCTTTCATATCCAGACTTCTTTGCCTGCTCCACGGAGTCCCGGATTCCGGCACAGTTTCTTTGGACCCCCACGCCAAGGCTGACTTAGCTATGTGGGGGAAGTTTTTGAAAGACTGGAATGGTATCTCCATGTTTATCCCCCCTCTCTCCACCTCTTCACCCATCATCCACACAGACGCAGCAGCCAACACCGGTTTTGCAGCCATTTTCGGGAACCACTGGTTTAGGGGCCACTGGCCCACTGAGACGGATGCCTTGCCAGGATTCAGGGAGACCTCAGCCCTATTTGAAATTTACCCCATTGTGGCGGCCGCACACACCTGGGGTCATCTCTGGTCCGGCAAGACAGTAAAATGCTACTCAGATAACTCGGCAGCTTGCGATATCATTAACAAAGGGCGCTCATCATCCCTGACCATCATGCGGCTGATTCGCAAGTTGACCTGGCTGGCAGCATCCAATCAGTTTCACTTAGTATGTTCTCACATCCTGGGTATTCACAACACCGCCGCTGACGCTCTTTCTCGTTCTCGATTCCAGGCATTTTCTCAGGCACTCCCAACGGCTCACCAACAGCCATCCAGGACACCACGGTTTCACGAACTAATCTTGGATTAAACACCAAAAAGAACAGAGAAAACTTTGGATCTAGGTGGATATTTATATCACCCAGATCTTCAGTTTCTCATGAGTGTAGCGCTAAATATATAGTGAAATTTTCAGTGAAAGGACAGTGCTAACACACGCACTTACCCTATATATTATGCTTTAGTTTCCTTAGTGATATATAAAAAAAGAGAACATAGAAAAAGTACAAATAATAGTGTAGTATGTTAAATAAAATACAGAATTGCTCACCTTCTTTAGAGCCTGTGTCACCCCTATTAACTGACACTAGGCTAAAAATACTTAGAGCCAGTTACCACAGGCTCTAAAGAAGGTGAGCAATTCTGTATTTTATTTACATTGATTTATATCAGTATCTAAAATACTACATTTAGATTGGGGATATCTGTGTCTTTTTTCTATGCAACGTGGAGAGGTAGTTACGCTCTTTTTCACCTTGAGAGACGGGTCGTGTGATCTACCCTAAAAAGACACAGACACCTGGAAGTTTAGAGCCTTATAACTGTAAAAGGCTCTAAAAAATGTGAGTCTATTTCAATTCATCATTCACAACTAAAGGACTTTATTGGATATTTATTTAACATACTACACTATTATTTGTACTTTTTCTATGTTCTCTTTTTTTATATATCACTAAGGAAACTAAAGCATAATATATAGGGTAAGTGAGTGTGTTAGCACTGTCCTTTCACTGAAAATTTCACTATATATTTAGCGCTACACTCATGAGAAACTGAAGATCTGGGTGATATAAATATCCACCTAGATCCAAAGTTTTCTCTGTTCTTTTTGGTGTTTAATTATGTATGGTGGGTTATAAGGAGTACCCACGGAGTGTATGTAGCAGCTAAAACCACAATTCACTAATTATATAGCGCCACTATTCCACATCTTTTTGTGTGTTCATAATCTTGGATTAAGCACACTCTTGCTTCACGCTAGATCACTCACTCACCAAGCATTATCACCCAACACTGCTATCACTTACAAAAGGGCACTTAACATATTTAACAAATTCACTGCAGAATTCGGGCTACAAGGTGACTTTTCTATCCAAACCATGGTGTCTTTTGCCTCTTTCTGCCACCTACACCTTAATCTGTCGCACAACACCATTAAACTTTACCTCACCGGGGTTCAGCACCACAGCCTCACCAATTTTCCTAACAGCACTCCTTTTTTGTCTTCATACCCCATTAAAAAGGTCTTGAAAGGTATATCAAAGATTTCACCTCCACTCGCAAGCACTAGATTACCCATAGACGGGCCTATCTTCAGGTCACTGAGCAATCTCCTTGACACAGCCCCATTTGATAGCAACACCAATACGGTGATCAAATCTGCTATATATCTCGCTTTCTATGGTTTTCTCAGACCTAGAGAGTTCACCGTGGTTTGTCAAGGAGATATCGCGCTAAGCCTTAAAACTTCACACCTCACCAAGATAGAGGATCACCACCTACTTTCTATCCCTATCACTAAAACCAACCGGTCAATACACCCTACAATAATTCCTCTCTTCCCTACTGATAATGCCTGGTGTCTGGTGAAAGTTCTCGACCAACTACGGTCAACTCTTCACGCTCACCTGCCAGACTCTCCGCTCTTAACATTACAAGGGCACCCGCTTACCACGGCAAAATTGATGTTACATGTCAGAACCCTGTTATCTAAGCTCGGACACAACCCAGCTGCATTCTCCGGGCACTCCTTCCGCATAGGAGCCGCCTCAGCAGCCTCTAGCACAAACGCACCGGTCCACATCATCAAAAGGCTGGGGCGATGGAAATCCTCCATATATAACGCATATATTCCGCAACCGGAGAAAGAGCTTCGCCAAGCTTTCAGGAACTTGGTCTTGTAAAATGCAATAAAGTGTGTATTTTCTCGAATTTATCTTTTGCCCTCTTTTATTTACAGGCCCACTCGTACGTTGGTTTCGGCACACCACAACCAACTTTGCTCACAGATACTGTCCATTACGTATTTAAATTCCGAGCACAAGTAGAAAAGCCATTAGGCCTGAATTTGGGGGAGGAGTAAGTCCCCTACTTAAACTCCCAGCCCCTACTCACCGCTGCCGCTCAGCTGATTGTCCCCACCAACCTACGCCCTGTTTTAACTACATTATCCTTGGTGGGCCCTCTTTTATTTACAGGCCCACTCGTACGTTGGTTTTGGCACACCACAACCAACTTTGCTCACAGATACTGTCCATTACGTATTTAAATTCCGAGCACAAATATATATATATATATATATATATATATACATACACACACATACACTGTCTAGGTGTATTTTACTATTATTATTATATATATATATATATATAATTATATATATATATTAATATCAAATTACACGTAGACTGATACTGATTAAATATATATATATATAATTATTGTTATATATATATTTATATATAATATAAAAAAAAGTAAATACGTTAAAAAATAAATAATAAAAAAAATATATAGATGTGTGTTATTTCATTCTAACTGTATTGTGATATTAATATATATTTATATCAAAATACACGTAGAACAAAATAATATATCTAAATATATACATATATATCACTATATATATATATATATATATATATATATATATATATATATACATACGCACACCTATATATGAATAAAAATGTTTAAAAAAAAAAAATATATATATATATATTAATTCCACATATATATATATATTTATGTAATATTTTTACATAATTAGGTATTTTATTTAATTACAATTAGCGGGACCTGCCTGACAACCCATGTCAAAATTATAGGGAATTTACTTTGCTAGCACTATATTTAACCCTATAACTTTCCAAGACACCATAAAACCTGTACATGGGGGGTACTGTTTTACTCGGGAGACTTCGCTGAACACAAATATTAGTGTTTCAAAACAGTAAAATGTATTACAACAATGATATCGCCAGTAAAAGTGAAGTTTTTTGCATTTTTCACGCACAAACAGCACTTACACGGATGATATTATTGCTGCAATACTTTTTACTGTTTTTAAACACAAATATTTGTGTTCAGCGAAGTCTCCCGAGTACAACAGTACCCCTCATGTACAGGTTTTATGGTGTTTTCAAAAGTTACAGCGTCAAATATAAGGCTTGTGTTTCATTTTTTTCACATTAAAATTTGCCAGATTGGTTACGTTGCCTTTGAGACCTTATGGTAGCCCAAGAATGAAAATTACCCCTATGATGGCATACCATTTGCAATAGTAGACAACCCAAGGCCACTTAGTCACAAAAACTGGCCAAAATTTGCGTTTTTTGCATTTTTCACACACAAACAAATATTAACGCTTTGGCCAGTGTTTGTGACCAAATGGCTACTAAAAAAGACTGGACATACCCCATTTACAATACCTTGGGTTGTCTACTATTGCAAATGGTATGCCATTATGGTTGTAAATTTAATTCCTGGGCTACTATACAGTCTCAAAGGCAACATAACCAATCTGGCGAATTTCAATTTCAAATGTATTGTGCTATATTTGACCATGTAACTTCCCAAAACACCATAAAACCTGTACATAGGGGGCACTGTTTTACACGTGAGACTTTTCTGAATACAAATATGTGTATTTTATTGTAGTAAAAGCAAACAGTATTATGACATTGACAGTTAAAATGTCATGTAGAACTAAAAAAAGAAAAGAAAAATGTCTTATTTTCTCCCATTTTTTTCATATTAAATTATGTTTCATAGCTAAATATTTGATATTAAATGAAAGCCATGTTTCCCCTGAATCAAATGATATATAATAAGTGTGGGTCCATTTAATATGAGCTGAATTATGGTTGGACAGACATGTAGTGCAAATGCCAGGGTTTGTTTACGTTTTGTTTTGTTCACAACATTTTCAATTAGCTCAGTCCTTAAAGCGGCACTGTCATGCCGAACTTACCTTTCCCCAATCTCTTCCTCTTCTCCTCTCTCAGGGTCTGTTCTTCTTTTCTTTCTGTCTTCTTTAGTTTTCTTTAAAATCATAAGACAAAGTAGGGACTCTTTGCCTTATGGAGGTTTCCTCCACTTGACCAGCTCTGACCAGCGGAGGAACAAGTGTGTTTCAATTCCACTGGTCAGAGCAATTTTCCCATAATTCTTACCTTTCCTCTGTGTTCCCGCGATGCTTCCTGTCATTTTAGACGAAACTGACGAATTGCATTCTAACTGAATGAGAACAGTATGTTCGTTTGCTTTAGAACGCAATTCGGCACTTTATTCGTGTCAGAATTTCATTCGAATGAATGAAACTCCGATACTATTCATGCTGTGGCTGCATCTTGCAGCCGCTAAGTAGATAACTCCCTAATTCCCACAGTAAATTGGTCTTTCAGCCACATTTACTAAGTAAAAATTACTTAGTATTAGTAAATGCTATACCGCGAGTAGGGGCATGTCTAGTAAACAGTGTGCAGCCTGTGGCTGCTCACTGTAAAAAAAAATAAAAACCTATTGGCCAGCGGTGGGGGCCTGGGGGAGGACAGTAGGTGTCCCCCCCATTATCATTAAGGCCCCCACATGCCGCCCAGGGGTGGGGGGGGAGGACAGTAGGTTCCCCCCCATATCATTATGGCCCCCACCCGCGGGTAGGGGCCTGGGGGGTAGGACAGTAGGTCCCCCCTCATCATTATGGTCCCCACACGCCGCCCAGGGTTGGGGGCCCGGGGGGTGGGAGGACAGTAGGTCCCCCCCCCATTATCATTATGGCCCCCACCCGCCACCCAGGGGTGGGGTTGGAGGACAGTAGGTCCCCCCTATTATCATTATGGCCCCCACCCGCTGCCCAGGGGTAGAGGCCGGGGGAGGACAGTAGGTCCCCCCCTCATCATTATGGCCCCCACCCGCCACCCATCGGTGGGGGCCTGGGGGGTAGGACAGTAGGTACCCCCCTCATCATTATGGCCCCCACCCGCTGCCCATGGGTGGGGACCAGGGGGAGGACAATAGGACCCCCTCCCCCATTATCATTATGGCCCCTACCCGCCGCTTATGGGTTATGGGTGGGAGGACAGTAGGCCCCCCCATCATCATTATGGCCCACACCCGCCACTCAAGAAACATAGAAACATAGAATGTGACGGCAGATAAGAACCATTCGGCCCATCTAGTCTGCCCAATTTTTTTAAATACTTTCATTAGTCCCTAGTCTTATCTTATAGTTAGGATAGCCTTATGCCTATCCCACGCATGCTTAAACTCCTTTACTGTGTTAACCTCTACCACTTCAGCTGGAAGGCTATTCCATGCATCCACTACCCTCTCAGTAAAGTAATACTTCCTGATATTATTTTTAAACCTTTGTCCCTCTAATTTAAGACTATGTCCTCTTGTTGTGGTAGTTTTTCTTCTTTTAAATATAGTCTCCTCCTTTACTGTGTTGATTCCCTTTATATATTTAAATGTTTCTATCATATCCCCCCTGTCTCGTCTTTCCTCCAAGCTATACATGTTAAGATCCTTTAACCTTTCCTGGTAAGTTTTATCCCGCAATCCATGAACCAGTTTAGTAGCCCTTCTCTGAACCCTCTCTAAGGTATCAATATCCTTCTGAAGATACGGTCTCCAGTACTGTGTACAATACTCCAAGTGAGGTCTCACCAGTGTTCTGTACAATGGCATGAGCACTTCCCTCTTTCTACTGCTAATACCTCTCCCTATACAACCAAGCATTCTGCTAGCATTTCCTGCTGCTCTATTACATTGTCTGCCTACCTTTTAAGTCATCAGAAATAATCACCCCTAAATCCCTTTCCTCATATGTTGAGGTTAGGACTCTATCAAATATTCTGTACTCTGCCCTTGGGTTTTTACGTCCAAGATGCATTATCTTGCACTTATCCACATTAAATGTCAGTTGCCACAATTCTGACCATTTTTCTAGTTTACCTAAATCATTTTTCATTTGGCTTATCCCTCCTGGAACATCAACCCTGTTACATATCTTAGTATCATCAGCAAAAAGACATACCTTACCATCAAGACCTTCTGCAATATCACTAATAAAAATATTAAAGAGAATGGGTCCAAGTACAGATCCCTGAGGTACCCCACTGGTGACAAGTCCAAGCTTCGAATATATTCCATTAACTACAACCCTCTGTTGCCTGTCACTCAGCCACTGCCTTACCCATTCAACAATATTTTGAATCCAAACTTAAAGATTGCAGTTTATTGATAAGCCTTCTATGTGCAACAGTGTCAAAAGCCTTACTGAAATCTAGGTAAGCAATGTCTACTGCACCACCCTGATCTATAATTTTAGTTACCCAATCAAAAAAATCAATAAGATTAGTTTGGCATGATCTCCCTGAAGTAAACCCATGTTGTCTTTGATCTTGAAATCCATGTGTTTTTAGATGTTCAATCAATCTTATCCTTTAACATGGTTTCCATCACTTTCCCCACTACTGAAGTAAGGCTTACTGGCCTGTAGTTGCCCGACTCCTCCCTATTACCTTTCTTGTAAATGGGCACAACATTCGCTAACTTCCAATCTTCTGGGACTACTCCTGTTAACAATGATTGGTTAAATAAATCTGTTAATGGTTTTGCTAGTACACCACTAAGCTCTTTTAATAGCTTTGGGTGTATTCCATCAGGTCCCATTGACTTATTTGTCTTTACTTTTGACAGTTGAAATAGAACCTCTTCCTCTGTAAACTCACGTGTAATAAATGACTCATTTATCCTTTTTCTCAACTGAGGTCCTTTCCTTCATTTTCTTCTGTAAATACAGAACAAAAATATTCATTGAGGCAGTCAGCTAGACCTTTATCCTCTTCTACATACCTTCCTTCTTTTGTTTTTAATCTAACTAATCCTTGTTTTACTTTTCTTTTCTCATTTATGTATCTAAAAAATGTTTTATCCCCCTTTTTTACTGACTGTGCTATTTTCTCTTCTGTGTGTGATTTGGAAGCTCTTATAACTTGCTTAGCCTCTTTCTGCCTAATCTTATAGATCATTTTGTCTTCCTCACTCTGTTTTTTTATAATTCCTAAATGCTAACTTTTTGTTTTTAACTATTTTGGCCACATCTGCGGAGTACCACAGTGGTTTCTTGAATTTTTTGCTTTTACTGACAAGCCTAATGCAATTTTCTGTTGCCTTCAATAGTGCAACTTTTAAATAATCCCATTTTTCTTGGACTCCATTTAAATTGCTCCAGTCTGATAATGACTCCTCTACCCATATTCTAATTTTAGAAAAGTCTGTTTTTCTAAAGTCTAAAACTTTTGTTTTTGTGTGGTGTGACTCAGTCACTGTTCTTATATTAAACCACACTGACTGATGATCACTGGATCCTAAACTTTCACCTACAGTAACATCTGATACCAAATCTCCATTTGTTAACACTAAATCTAGTATGGCCTCTTTACGAGTTGGCTCCTCAACAACTTGTTTTAGAGACAATCCCAGTAGGGAGTTTAGAATATGTGTGCTCCTGGCACAAGTAGCTAATTTTGTTTTCCAATTTACATCAGGAAGATTAAAGTCACCCATGATGATAACTTCCCCTTCATTGTCATTTTAGCTATTTCCTCAACTAGTAGATTATCTAACTCTTCAATTTGTCCTGGGGGCCTATAAATCACACCTACACGAGCTACTGTGTGATTACCAAATTCTAACGTAGCCCAAACGGACTCTATGTTTGCCTCACTAACTCAAGGGTGGGGGCCGGGGGGAGAGGAGAGGACAGTAGGTCCCCGTCCCCCCCCATTGTAATTTATGGCCCCCACCCGCCGCTCAGGGATGGGGGCCGGGGGGGGAAGGAGGACTATAGGTCCGCCCCCCCTTATTGTTATTTAGGGCCCCCACCCACAGTGCAGAGGTGGGGGCCAGATAGTAGGGTTTTTCTTAAAACAGTGAGCAGCCACAGTCTGCTCACTGTTTAGTAGACATGCCCCTACTCACAGTATAGCGAGTAGGGGCATTGGGGAGATTTTAATCTCCCTTATGCTATTATGGGGATCATATTGACCCCCATAGAGTGAGGGGGGACCTGGGGGGCTTATGAAGTGGCGGGGAGCACTGCTCCCTGACGCTTCTATTTTTACATATTACAAGGAGGGAGCTGCGTGCCGGTAGCTCCCTCCTTGTAATAAACTGAATGAACAAACGAACACTGATACACAGTGTTAGTTTGTTCGTCTGATTTTTCTATTCATTCGTCTGTCTGATTAATGAATGAATAGATGAAATTCCCATTCGCATGTCCAGGTTTTTCACTGGGCATGTGTGGGAATCTCACAGTCTATCTAGTGTGGGCAGATGACGTGTCCCACAGGGACTTCTTCTACCCACACAAAGATGGCGGCGCCCTGAATATAGATCGGAGCAGAAACTAAAGATTAAAAAATAGGTAATATGGGGTGCTTAGGGGCATTTGGGGGTGACTAGAGGGTGAATTGGATGTAGTGGAGGCGGGTTAAAAAAAACCAAACTGGATTCGGCATGACAGTGCCGCTTTAAGGGCTTAAATAGCAATTGGATAAAAACTTGCAAAAATATAATATACAGGGATATCATTTTTAATTAGTGGGGTAATAGCTTCTTGATCCAAGTAGATATTGGACTGCCATTCTGGTGTCAAGAAGGAATTTTTTCCTAGTTGTTGCAAAATTGGAAGCGCTTAAGACAGGGTTTTTTTTGCCTTCTTTTGGATCAACAGCAAAAACAAACGAGAGAAGGCTGATCATGGACATCTCTTTTCAGCTATGTAACTATGCATTCAAATATCTTTCCCTGTAATCACACAAATGAGCAAAAACGTAAAAAAAAACCTGAGAACACGGTACTCTCATATGCCCGTTTTTTAAACTCTGTTCTGCCTAGTGCTCCTCCACTCAGTCAGATCTGACTCGTGAGGCTATGACCCTCTGCATGACATCGGAGATCATGCTAAGTGTACCTATATCCCCTTCACTTATTACTGCCATCCTACGATATTTAAATATACTTAAACCACTTGATAGGAATGCCAGGTAATATCAGATGTGCTCAGAGTGAATTTATTCCATAAAAACTCACTTCAGGGTGCCTACATAAGGTGTCCGAATCTCCCAGGTGTACCTATATTCCCCGTTCCCACTAGCCTACAACAATTAAATAAGCCAATATGCATGATAGGAATGCAATGTTAACTCAATGGTGCCTAAAGTGCATCCAGTGTTCTCACTTAACATTTGAGCCTCTGCAACACACTGTAGGTTTACTTTTTTATTATGAAAAACAAGAGGAACTATATTCCTGATAATTACAAAATATGTCTATAGATTTGTTATAAAATTGCATGAAATACAAATGTAATTGCACCATTTTTACCGTATGTCAAAATGATATTAAGTAGGAAGTTAGGTCACAAATTACAAATATAACAGAATGTGTCTATTATGCACTGTTTTTCCAAGAAAGAAAACTGCATACGTACATATACACTGCAACAAGTAATGATAATCCTCATTTTTCAATGTGTTTTGAAACATACTGCTCATAAACATATGCACCAATATGTTCCTTAACAGAAATTATTTTGAATACAAATATATAGCTCAATCTTTCTCTCTGTATTTGGAAGACTCCTTAAACTTCTTTGGGCTGCGGTCTCTCTTCTTCTCTCTTGGTTCTCTGAACTTCTCTTTGGAGCTGTAATAGCTGCTGCGCTCTCGAGACCGACTACGGCTCTTTCGAGTGTCCTTCTTGTCACTCCTCCTTTTCTCGCGACAGTAGTCTTCCTCGTATCTACGTTGGCGTACATCCTTTTCAGAATCCTATAGCACAAAAAAATAAATAAAATAAAATCTTAGCAATGTAAATCTAAACATATTCCAGTTTTACCACACTTTAGTCAAACTCTGAACACTTTAATTCAGCATGTTTAGCCATATATTACTTAGTCAGAATATATGTTTCACTGTACTCCCTTTAGTTCAAGATATAAACAGCATTTTGGGTTTTAGAAAAACCTTCATAGGATTACCAAGAATACAGTTTTATTTGTTTTGTTTAACACAGATTTCAATAAACATTTGCAAATCAAGCATCCAAATGTTCAGTTTCTTGTTTCTGGTTAATCCAAAAATCAATCTCCTTGCTGCATGTAGAGAAAGGCTCTCTCTTGCATGCTGTGGTCCCCATAATCTAGCTGCAACATGCATTGCTATGGTTTACTGGGATTTCCAACTTACAGAAGTTGTTAATGACAAGAAAAATCTTTATAGAACAAGTATCTTATCTACATTGTGGAGGACTGCAACAACTGAAATCAAAACTTGCAACGGTGTTTAGCATAGACCACCTTTTTTCCCCCACATGCAAATAAGGATAATTATTTAATAATTTATCCTGCCCACCCAGGTCACCTCCCCACCCCCCCAATATATGGCATGCTTCTCCAGCTGTTTGAGATTCTCACTCAATTACCTCGTCATTCCCTTTACAATTCACCAATAGCTGCTTCTCTTTTAGCCATCACCTCCACATTTCCCCTGCTACCTTCTGTCTCAATTCCCCACTGTATCATTTAGATTGTAAGCTCACGGGCCATCTATCTAAGCACTTTGTATAAAAGAGCTCCAATGACAAGACATCAGCTTACGGGCAGGGCTCTCTCTACCTTTTGTATTTGTCTATGTATATTGTACGTTCTACACTAATTGTACAGCGCTGCAGAATCTGTTGTCGCTTTATAAATACCAGTAATAAATAATAATAAATAAGCAATACCTTGGATTTTTTTATTCGTCTTTCATCTTCATCATCAGAATAGTGTTGATGACGTTTTTCTTTTTTGTGTTTAGAGCTTGGCTGTCTATTACTTCTTGATTGCTCAAGATCTTCATCCAAAACCAGTTCATACTTGTTGCTAGGATAATTTGTTAAGAAGTCTAGCTATTTATTTATTTTAAAGTGGATGAGAGACAACCTGATTTTCCAGTGGATGACCCAAATCTAAATATATGCCCATGATCCCAATGATGCGAGCTAGAACCCAAAGAGCATGTTTAACGTTCTTTATTCTACACTCTTAACCCCTTAAGGACACATGACATGCGTGACATGTCATGATTCCCTTTTATTCCAGAAGTTTGCTCCTTAAGGGGTTAAACATGATTCCTTGCTTCTACTATCCTACTTACTTGCCCTCTCATGACCTACCTTTTGTAATGCAGGGTGCTAGTGTTAGCATTGTTCCAGTGGTTACCTCTTATGCCAGTTGCTCTTATAAGAATGCTTATTTTTATGTAGCATTCATTATGTCAATATAGCAAGCAGTATTTTGCATGTTTGCAATTCAGCATGTTTACCCATATATTACTTAGCATGGCATGTCTTCTAGCTATACAACTCACTTATATATGTTTGCACCTAGTATGTATCCTTATTTTTGGCTAGACAGACCTGACTAGACGTGTTCCTATCCTCTTATCTCTACTATACTATAAAATTGTGCTATATCCTAGAAATGCCACGCAACATCATATTTTACAATAGTAGTATGTGCAAAATCTGTGAACGTCATGCAATTATTCTCCTATGTATTCCATTGCACTTGTGCAAGCTAAAAACTGTATTCTTTTTATGCACAGCAAAAATAAAAAAATTGAATAAAGTGGACCTGTTATGTACAAGTGTACATTATTTATAGAGGTAATATCTAGAAGCAAATATAAAATCAGACATCAAATGTATTAATTAAAATAATATACTCTTCTAAAGTGTTCTTCCTGCTCCCTATGTAACTCATTTTGAGGATTGCATACATGAGGACGCAAATAGTTTTTTCTAAAAATTAGGAACCAAAACAAAATAAAAAAATTAAGGAACAAAGCTAAGGAGTCAGGCAACACACAAAGTTAGCCAAACCCTCACAAAGGCCCGCCTTAACACATTCTAAGTAACCACACTCATAACTGTATCAAATGAGTCACTTTCTCACACATGCATACATAAATGTGCACGAACTAACGACAGTCAAAGCTATACAGCTACCTCCCACACACTGCTCACTTCCTCTTTGCTATTCACAGTGAGGAGAACAGAACTATTAAATAGGTTGCTGCCTTTTTTTTTTTAAAGGATACTCTTGTTTAGGTTTGGCTTTATCTTTCAGCGCAAGCTTAGATTGCTTTTCAGCATCTTTCTCGTATTCTTTAAAATCATCTTTTGTGTATTTTCCACCTGCATCAAAACAAATATTAGAAGAAAAAGATCAATGTAGGGTACAGAATAAATTAAAATTGTGGATATCTTTCAACATTTTAGTGATTATGGAATGTTCCACATTATATTCAAGATATGTACAGCATAGAGAAAATAGCATACTGGAAATTGATATTGGTGTAAACAGTACCTTTTCCTTTCCATTTTACTTTAGCTACTGACTGGCTAAAATCAACATGTATCCTCCGGTCATCAATCAGCACATTATCCATTTTAAAGTAAGCTTTCTCGCAATCTTCTTCCTAAATAAGTGTATAATCGATTAATTATTTTTACAAACACAAACAATTTAAGTTATTAAAATAAATACTTAACTCTAAAAACTCTACATCATTATTGTGCAACCCCCTGAACAGTATTTTAAAGCAGGATCCATTTTGTAAAAGAACACTATAGCATTAGGAATACAAAACTGTATTTTCTTAACACTATAGTGTCCCTCTGCCCTAAGGTTAATGTCCAGCTCTGCCTGCAAAGGATAAGCAGTTAAATCGAAAGGCAGTGTGTGTTGAGCACTGACAATAGACATAAAATATGCACAGAATTGACAGTCATGCATTAATATGTAGCCCAGGGCTACTGAAGTCATGTGTGCGGCGGGTGCAACTTGCCCCTGGCACACAATTAACAATAACTATAGATGTGCAGTGTTTCAAGCAGAAACACTGCACATTCAGGCTCCTACCACCATGATCACTTCAAAAAACAGAAGTGGTTATGTTGGTTGGAGTAACCCTTTAACTAGTCCATGTTGAAACATATTCACCTTGTATTATATTGCACAAAAGTAGGTTTATTAAAGTAGACATATCACCTAGAAAACGTATGGATGAGAAGGTCAGCAGTATGTAAGTAAACAAATTTAGTCTCTACATTATGTCAAAAACCTCACCAGTACATATACAGAATACATAAATGCTCAAAATGTAAAGTCATAACCTACTAGCAGACCTTTTATTTACCACCTCAAATATATGAGGAGTGTCAGTGTGCGGTTGTGGTGTTGCCTGCATGTAGACTGTCAGTGTTTGCCTGAACGCAGGAGTGTATTAGCAGCCTTTCCCCTTGATCATAACACTCATGCCTTCCCCACTTCAGATTACAGCTGACTAATGAGTCTGCAGAATGCTGCATAATAACCTTGCCTCCTTAAAAAGGATTACACCCAGTGTCGTACACACAACCCATGGGGCCCTGGTGCAAAACAGATCCATGCCCCCCCGCCTCTAACTCCCCATCCTGACAGACACACACACACACACACACACACACAATAAGCATACATACAAAGACACATACATACAGACAAGAAAAGACACATGCATACATAAAAACAGACACACACATACAGACAGATAGACTGACACATACAGACACACACACAAGACACACATACATAGACAGACAGACGTACATACATACAAACAAACACACACATACATAATATTTAAGTCACCCTCCTGTTTCCTACCTTTTAAGTGCAGGAGGGTGACTTTCCCTGGGGTCCAGTGGTGGCTCAGGTTGATGGGAGTCAGAGTTCCCACTCTGACTCTATTTGCTTCCTCCCATACGGGCTCTCAGTGATAGCTGGGAGGAGTGACAGGGAGTCACTTCCTCTCAGCGTGTGATGAACTCATCGCAGGGGGCCTGGTCACGCTGTTAAAGCGCTGCAGCGCTGACCAGGCCCTCTGAAAATCCATACCCATCTGGTGGCCCTGACAGCATGGGTCGCCCGATGGGCACCTTAACATGTGGCCCGGGCAGTTTGCCGCGCGTGCCAGGGCCGCAAATGATGATGGCAGGCACCCGGTCACAGAGGTCTATTGAGTATGCTATTTAAATGATCTTCTGCCAGGTATCAGGTACTTTACCCATATTGATAACGCCGATTGGCGAAACGCGTTTATGGTTTTTTATATTGTGTAATATTACAATTAAAGTATATTTTATAATCTTTTATTGTACTACTTATCTTTTAATACACATATAATTATTATTGTTACCTGGCATCATTCGCTGGACTCCAAGCAATCCTAGGTGGGGATTATTCCACCAGTGCGAAATACCAGGAGCAGTTGACCTGCTCCTGTCTTGTGAGTATCCATTTTTTATTTTATTTTATATTGGAGTTTAATTTTATGCAGAGAACACTATTGGCTGTCTCTTTTTATTTGAGCATCTTTTAAACCACGGAAGGAGGAAACACGTGGAGGATAACCATCCTATATCCCATAAGCGGGGATCTAAACCGCTGTACGCCTTCTATACCAGAGCAGGTCCTAGCTCTTGGATATGTGAGTTCGCAATCAAGCCTCTATATTTTATTCCTTACACATATAGATATACTGCACCATTGTGGTTTTGTATTTGTTTTTATATCTTACATAAGAGACGATCCACAAGAAAGACAGAAAGCAAGACAGAAAGCAAGAGTATTACCTCTGACTAAGCACTACGGACATTGCAAGATAAGACCTCTTCTGATTTATTTATTTATTTACTTATTTATTTATTTTATCTGGACTTTTATATATTTATTATTTAAGCGCAGCCCTTTTTCTGTATTTTTTGTGTCTTATCCTAAAGGGTTTTTGAGGGATTCCCTTTTTTAGGGTTGCTGCCCACTTGTGTTATTTAGCGCTTACTCACCTGTTTTTATTCCCCCTGGAGTGACTGGCCTGGTCGCAGCTGCAACCCCTATATGTAGGCCAATGGTTTCACCAAGCTGGCTTTCTTGCCATATGACCATGTAAAGGTTACGTTTGCTATGTGAGAGTTTAGACTATACAAAAGACTTCCAAACTGCCTAATTCCTATAGAGTTTAGAACATATTTAGTTGTAGTGAGATATTTATGCCAGGCACTTTTACCTGCAGATGTTTTAACAGTGTGTTAGAGGAATTTAGCTGAGTGACTGAATCGCAACATTGCAAGAAGTTTCATCTTTTTTGCCAAAGGAGTAATATCGTGGAGCAGAAAGCAGAAAGCTGCTACAGTGATTACTATAGTTGTTGATGAGGTAAACAAGTACAAAGCAGTCAAACATGTATTTAGTTTGCTTATATACTATAAATCCATACCTTTTCAAACTCAATAAAAGCATAACAAAGCGACTCTCCAGTCTTCCAGTCTCGAATGATTTCACAGCTAAAATAATGTTAATAGGTACAAAATTATTTTCACATACTGGGAAATCAATGAACAAAAAAATTATTCCAAAAGTTCAAAGAAGTTACCAATTTTCAACTCCAGAAATTAATCTGAACTACGTTGGATACATAAAGTGCATGTCATATTGTGATCTGGAAATATCAATGTATTTTAAAATGTTCTGGGTGGTGTGATTAAAAGTTGGAAAAAGCTATAAAGCATACTTATAAATCAGTGGTGGGAGAGTTTCTTTCTTGCTGTAGAACCCACCCATGGTATAATAATGCATGCTGACACAAGGAAACACTGAAGGCCTATGGTTTGCGCATGGGCCAAGCTCAGCTAATCCAAAGCTTCTCATAAAGAAGCACTAAATCCAATGTACAGCTTGCTGTAAAATGTAAAAATGTTCTTAAAGAGGAAGAGCCTCTAGTGGCTTTTAAAAACTCAAACATAGATTATCTTGTAAACAGATAAACTTGAACGTGGAAAAACAAACTTTGAAGGAGAGAAGCTACTAAATGACCACGACAAATGTATTTTTATGTCACATTAATAATAATTAAAGATCACTTTGTGAATGATTCTTCTATTTTTCATAATCATTTAGTAGCGCCCTCCTTCTCTTACATGTTTGTAAACTGTGTGGGAAACAAGGATCATGGGCGAAGCGGAAACTGCAGATATCAGGGGACATTCCCAGCCTGCCCTGTGAGTCAAAGAATTGTATGGCCCAGTTTTCTGCAAGGTTACATATTAACCAGCTATCTGTAGTTCTAAATATGATGGTAAGTATGATGATGATGTTGTCTTCATCACAAATATCCTTTTACACTAGACGTTTTGTTGTGTTAGTCACACGCTCTCTCTTCCCAACTCTGCCTTTGTCTAAAGAACTCTTTCTCTTCCCAAGTACAGCAGCAAAATCTGCTGTTAAACATCTATCAATTTGCCTTGTAACATTCTTTGTTCAAAAATATGTAGATATCTATATAGCTATAGTGTACTGTATTTATGTATTTATTTATTTAACATCACAAAAAGACATCTAGGTAGGAGAAAAGTGGGGGAAAAAATAGATGTTACAAAACATTTCAAACACTACCAATATGGCAAGTTAGCAGTAAATCTCTTAGTACTATGACTTGACTAACATGGCATCCAATACATATAAAAAATAAATAAAAAATATACCTCTTTATTTGTCCAAATCTTGAAAATATAATCTCTAAATCTTCGTCTGTTGTAACAGGATTTAACTTGCAAACAAAAAGTACATTTTCAGGGGGCTTGATGTCTGCATCAGGAATGTCACCAACCTATTAAATAAATGGTAAATTACTGTGTAACAGAGGTGTTTTCATGAGGCAAGCTGAAAACTACACTTTTATTTCACTGAACTTTTCATTTCCACAAGCATTCTGATATATGATGTCTACTTTAACTGTGTATGTTAACCTGTCTTTTTTGTGTGAGAATGGATGTGTGCTGTTTTTATCCATCTTTCCCCCTTCTATGAAACCGTTACTCAAATGGCTGTAAGGAATATGACACTTAATGGGTCAGTTTGCTACAGTGTTTTATGTGTAAAGAGTGTGTCCTTTTTTTTCAATTTACAGAAAGTGCAGATTTTAATAGAATTTGGCAATTGTCTAAATTTGCCATGTTACACTCCCACTAGCTTAATAAGACAACTGGTTATTTCCCTTCATGGTTTGTTTCCTGGTTCAGTAGAGCTAAACTCAAGAGGTAGTAATTGCTCAAAGACTTCTTCCGAAGTTGCACTGAGAAGTCTGTAATTGGACAGCCACGGAAAGCCTGAGCTGGGTTAGCAGAGAAGGGCTCGCAAAGGCTTAAGACAAAAGATCTGCCAGATTTTGTAGTGATAAGAGCACGGTTTTGTGAAATGCAAAGTGATAAGAGAGCGTTTTGTGAAATATAGCTATTAGTCAGATATATTGAATTGGGTTGTAATCAATCTTAGAGAGTTTTCGAATTCAGTGCAACAGTATCTTTAGCTAAAGAGCTACAATCATGAGTATAACAAATGTTGCAATAATTGTTAGGCACCATATACTTGGATGGTAACGAGACGCGGTGCACTGGTATCACGAGCTAAACGGCTCACAGTGTGAGTTGATAGTTAAGATAGAGGAATGCAGGGATCCAGGATCTGAAGGGAATCAAAGTTAAATAAGTTGCCCTATTGTGCCTACGTGGGCACCCCTTAAAGGGACACTATTGTCACTTGAACAACTTTAGCTTAATGAAGCAGTTTTGGTGTATAGAACATGCCCCTGCAGCCTCACTGCTCAATCCTCTGCCATTTAGGAGTTAAATCCCTTTGTTTATGAACCCTAGTCACACCTCCCAGCATGTGACTTGCACAGCCTTCCATAAACACTTCCTGTAATGAGAGCCCTATTTAGGCTTTCTTTATTGCAAGTTCTGTTTAATTAAGATTTTCTTATCCCCTATGTTAATAGCTTGCTAGACCCTGTAAGGGCCTCCTGTATGTGATTAAAGTTCAATTTAGAGATTGAGATACAATTATTTAAGGTAAATTACATATGTTTGAAAGTGAAACCAGTTTTTTTTTCATGCAGGCTCTGTCAATCATAGCCAGGGGAGGTGTGGCTAGGGCTGCATAAACAGAAACAAAGTGATTTAACTCCTAAATGACAGTGAATTGAGCAGTGAAATTGCAGGGGAATGATCTATACACTAAAACTGCTTTATTTAGCTAAAGTAATTTAGGTGACTATAGTGTTCCTTTAAGCCCGAAAAAGATTTTCCCTATCCTGTCCTGTAAAGTAGCTTACCCACCACCCGTAAATAAATAAAGTCAGTTTTGCTATAAAACCTAGTGCTGATAAATAAATAACACAGTCAGAACAAACAACAGATCTGAATGCCTGGTAGCACTTCTGTGGTGAGATGCTAGTAAGAGCAAATAAGCCCCTGACACATGTTTGGCTTATTGAGCTCATCAGAGGGGAACTGGACATACGATATTGCCGATGTAAGAAGGAGAATGCTTTAATCTGATTGGATCAGCCATATTTGAATACACCAATAGGCTGTTAGTGCACCGAAGGTTGTAATTTCAATGATTGGTGATGAAGAGATCGTTAACAAATGGAGGAGGAGAGATGGACCATGGGAATGAACTATTAAACCGTAGATCACGATGTTATGAGTGTGGCTCTCTGATGTAACGGAATACTCCTATAATGGGATATCAAAAAATATCATTAAATAAAAGGATTAAAAATTATTATTTGTGGTCATTTAAAAGTAAATGTCTGGATCTATGGCACATAAATACTGTTGGAAGTGGAAATCAACAGACAACTAAATGCAATCTCTGTGGGATCTAAAATGAATTGTGCAATGTAGTACATGGTCTCTTGTTGCAAAAAAAGTAAGATGAGTCATATATAGATTACTTTATTTCAAAACAGTAACCAACAAAAGAATGCCATAATACTAAGGCTACCATATAAGCAGTTAGTAATAGGTTTACAATGTAATAAAAATGAGGACCATAATGTCACCATAGTGGTGGTCCTAATTAATGAATTGCCTACTTTCTAGAGAGGCGTACTAGATGATTCATGGCAATAGGAATATTAGAATTGAGCTAGATGGTCAAGACATATAGGGGCAGCATAATTAAGGAAATTAGAAAAAGCAACTTCTTAAAGTGCCTATAGAGAATTAATGATTGTCAAAATAAACAGTGATTTATCATTATAGCTCATTGTAAAGTCAGAAGATACAGTAATTATCCATGAATAAAAGGAGTAAAGTTAAACTCCTCGTTTAAGACTCGAGGTGCCAATGTTTGAAATATTTTTTTTGTTTGTGCACACTCAATGATTTTGGATGGTTTTATGAAATCACATGCCTTACAGTGCCCACACCTATATACGCCTTTGGTAGCAGTAAGCCAAGTTTTGGGAGCCGATTCAGATTCTAAGTGGCTGTGTACCAGGATGTCTCAAGTTTTAGGTCTGCAAGCTGTGATGCTCGGAAATTGAGATAGATGGGTTGCCAAGTTGACAAGCTGTGCCCATGGCTGTACCCCTCATTGGTAAGTAATGGTTCCTATTAAACACAAAGTAATGTGTTAGAAGAATATGGAGTAACTTCAATATAAATTATTTTTTGGAAGGTGTAAGCTTTCAGATTGATTGAGAAAATATAAGGTCGCTTTAAAAACCAATCTCATGGGGAATGTTGTTGTGGAGGGATCTCTACATCTAGGCTTGCCAGTAGGGTATATGGTGGTACCACAAGATCTTCCAAGATCAACAAAGTCTGCTTGGTGTCTAAACATAAGAGGCTTAATTTGTTGTAGCGGTACTTACCCTCTCCGGCGGCCGGGCGAGGCCCTCTTTCCCTGCCGCGTGTGGTCCTGCATCTGCACAAGCCGCGTGCGGCTCGCCCGATGGGGAGATCCGGCAGGTGTGCACTGGCCGCAAGACGTGGCCACGTGACTCGCCTGGCACAGGGAGTGGGCCACGCTTATCGGGCACACTTTTAAAGGGACAGTGGGAGCCAAAATGCAAAACGGTCTCCCATTGGCCCATGTCATTCCACATTCCCCATACACTCAGGTTTTGGGAGCGTTGATATGACAGGGGCCAATTAAATTAAATACTAAGGTATTTATACTCACCTTTCCCTTAGCTCCCTGCCCTACCGTGGTTTCTGATTCAGTTCCCTTTAGTGCTTGCTTTGTCTAGTAGTGTTTTTTTCGTGCTTGACCATGGCTTTGTTCCTGACTCTGTTTTTCTCTTTATGCCTGATTTGTCTTGTTCGCCGGTTTCCTGACTCCTGTGTACCAGTCCTTGGCTAGTTCTTGTTTTCGCTGTCTCTCTGTTCCCTTGACCTCGGCTTGTTCTTGACTGTCTTTTCCCTGTCTAGGTCGGAGTTCGGTCATTCTAATGCCCGGTAAGACGTAGCTTTTTATCTTGTCTCTCGGACTAAATCTTGCGTGTTGGGGTACACTACTGTGACAATTGGTGACAAAAGGATGTAAAAGTTTTTCAATGAAGCTACTTGCATTCTCGGTCAGAGAACCGTTGCCTGATACAATAAGTATCCCCAGAGGTTGTTGTCTGATTTTATGTACCTTGGGGAGGCAATAAAAAGTGGAACGTTCACACCAATTAAGTCAGAACGTTCGCACCAGCAACATAGTTGTGAAACCGCAAGGGAAGTAATTAATGAGCGCTCCCCAGGATGGCCGCCATGAGGAGCATTCGTATCCCGAAAAGGGAAGCTTCCCTTGCGGGGGGCTTCTCACCGGGCCCTGATGTTAGTGGGGATACCTTGTGGGGTACTGGCGGCTCGGACCACGCTAACCTAATCCTAAAAGAGCTGTATCACTACCCGGGCTAGTGGCTGCCCAGAGCGCACTCTCCGCGTAGAGATGAGAGATGAGAGATATGAGAGAGAGAGAGAGAGAAACGAGCCAGCAGAAAATCCCTGGAACTGTGAGTCGGCCACACCGCCACAGAGTCCTGCTGGCTGCCTGGAAGTTTGTGCCAGCCAATGGGAGAAGAGCTACCATTCAAATTGGTTCGCACCCTCACACCTCACTTCCCTGAGCACTGATTGGCGAGATTTGGTTTTGCGCCCTTTCCTCTGATAGGCCGGCACGAGTGCGCGCTGACTGGTTGCTGCGGGTCTCCGGCGACCAATAGGAAAAGGAGCGCCCATCCAAATGGGGTTTTGCGCCCTTTCTCCCAATTGGGCGGTGAACTCCCTCTCCTCCCTGAGTGCTGATTGGCGCAAACTGGTTTTGCCTTTCCTCTGATTGGTCATTGCTTGGTTTGGGCGAGAAGTTTGAATCGACTGGCCTAAGCCAAGCAATCCCATGGAACTAATTTTCGGGAATGTACAGAGCCCCGACTTCATACGATTATTTCTCGGGCTTTCTTCTGTACATACAATAGCCCCACCATTCACAGATGTCCTAGCTGGGACCCGGGGGTATCCAGGGGTGTATGTTTCAGGTGTGTACCCCCTTCTCTTCCTGGGGCGCGGAGCTCCTAAGTTTCCCCAATGTAGGTATTGTGTTTTACTGTTGGTAATTGCTGTGCAGTTGGTATCTCCCAGAGCGATAGATGGTTATCTGAAAACCACCCCCCTCCAGCCTGGGATTGTGTTGAACCGAATTATAAGGGGGGTATGGGCATAAAAAGCTGTGTATATCAATAAAAGTTTGTTCTCTGTTGTACCTCCAGAACGGTGTGTCGTCCAGTTACTGGGAGGAAATGGGTCTCTTGATATTCAGAAATGGTTCCTGAATGGCTGAAGGAAGGGAATTAGCGGGGGTAACAGTTAGGGTTACCCGGGGTCCGCTACACTTCTATTTCTGTTTTTCGGGTATCGATAGCTTTTTGATCTTATTGGTAGTCATCTGGAAAAATAGATCCTTTAAAGCTCAGATTGTACCAATTTAGGATTCTCAAATCTGTAAGAGGTGGAATGTTTTCCTGTTCCTCAAGTAGTTGGACTAAAGATTGCAGATGAGTGTGGTCTTCAGATGCCAATTTCTTTACATAAATTTTTGTTCTGTTTGTGTAAAGAACATAGTGCTAATTTCCTACCAAACAAATTTGTGTCTTTTAGCCAATCAAATATATTGGCTCCAGGAGTAGGAACAAACGATAAACCTTTCTTTAGTAGTGAAATGTGATCATTAGACAATACAAAGTTTGACAAATTGATTATTTTGTTATCTTCATTGTCACTATTGGCAATGTTTATTGGCTTTTGTTATTTGTAACCCCACTTTCTCCTGTCCCTTAGTTTGCCTCTTTGTGGGGCTGACCAATCTTGGACTAAAAAAGCCATTGGTGCAAAAAATGTTGAGGGGACAGGGGTGTGGGGTTTCCAAGAAGGACACAGATCTTTCCTGTCTTCTAAGCATACTCTTGCTGCCCTGTTGGGAACGTGATAAAGACCGAGAACCCCTTCTGTGAGTGGTTTAGCTAGAGTCTTACTCTGACCCACCTGTATACCTAGTTACTGAGCTTAGTCTACTGCCAAATCGTATTCTAGTCTGTTTTTTAGTACGAAAGATTACCATCCTTAAAATCTTTGTGATCACTAAGGAACTTTTCATGCTTTTTATATTTAAGGTAATTTTTGAAGCAGTCAAGGTTATGTAATTTGGTCTCCACCAAAGGATAAGTTGATCTACTCTGGAATTTTTTCACTTTATCTCCTCCCGTAGGTTTTGATTTACTTTACTGTAGTCTTCATAAAATGTTTTAAGTCCCAAGGCTATCTGAATAAAGTGTTAAAACGAGCATTTCAACGGGTCAACTCCATGGAAAGAACTACATATATGAGCACCAGTCGAATGAAACAAGAGAAACAAACAATATGTTTTATAGGTACATTTGATCGACTATGGTAACATTGGCCAATTTTGACACATGATGGGGATTTGACAAACCATCTATATACATTTCCGAGCATCACAGCTTGCAGACCTAAGACTTGAGACATCCTGGTACACAGCCACTTAGAATCTGAATTGTCTCCCAAAACTTGGCTTACTACTACCAAAGGTATGTATAGGTGCAGGCACTGTAAGGCATGTGATTTCATAAAACCATCCAAAATCATTGAGTGTACAAAAAACAAAAAACTAAATCCTATCAATCAATTCATAAACTCTACCTCTACGAAAATCATCTGTTATCAACTGCAGCTGTGGAATACAGTATTTGGGAAAACTTTTACAGCATGTCAATACAGTTACCAATCTAAACATCACCACTCCAGTAGCCAACCACATCAGGAAAGTACATAATAGTGATGTCTCTAATCTCAAATTTCATGCTCTTGAAATGATGACCCTGAACTCCAGAAAGGACAATTTTAATTTAAAATTGCCAAGACAAGAATCAAAATGGAGACAAGTTTTTCAAACATTGGCACCTTGAGTCTTAAACGAGGAGTTTAACTTTACTCCTTTTATTCATGGATAATTACTGTATCTTCCGACTTTACAATAAGCTATAATGATAAATCACTGTTTATTTTGACAGTCATTAATTCTCTATAGGCACTTTAAGAAGTTGCTTTTTCTAATTTCCTTAATTATGCTGCCCCTATATGTCTTGACCATCTAGCTCAGGGGTGGGCAATCTACAGCCCTCCAGATGTTTTGGATTACATTTCCCTTGATGCTTTGCTAGCATTATGGCCCTAAAAGCATTATGAGAGATGTGGTCCAAAACATCTGGAGGGCCGCAGACTGCCCACCCCTGATCTAGCTCAACTCTAATATTCCTATTGCCATGACTCATCTAGTACGCTTCTCTGGAATGTAGGCAATTCAATAACTAGGACCAGCACTATGGTGACATTAAAGTCCTCATTTTTATGACATTGTAAACATATTACCAACTGCTTATACGGTAGCCTTAGTATCATGGCATTATTTCGTCAGTTACTGTTTTGAAATAAAAGTAATATATCCACGACTCATCTTACTCTTGATACAATTTTGCAACAAGAGACCATGTATTACATTGCACAATTCCATAGATCCGGACATTTACTTTGAAATGGCCATAAATAAGTCACGGCTTTAATGTTTATAAGTAACATTACCCACTCCCCCTGCCATCCTATGCTCATTTGCACCTGCTACAGCACAAGAGGTTTCTGCTCTGCTCTTGTCCTCCCGCCCCACCACCTGCTCCCTCAATCCTATTCCCTCGCATCTCATCCGCACTTTGTCTCCCTCTCTTGCTCTTCCTCTCGCTAACATTTTCAATCTCTCCCTTTCCTCTGGTACATTTCCCTCACCCTTCAAACATGCAACCATAACCCCGATTCTGAAAAAGCCCAACCTTGATCCCAACTCCCCATCCAACTACCGCCCTATCTCGCTACTGCCATTTGCCTCCAAGATCCTCAAGAGAGTTGTGTACGCCAGATTGACAGACTTTCTCGAATCCAACTCTCTGCTTGATCCCCTTCAGTCTGGATTCCGTGGTGGTCACTCTGTTGAAACTGCTGTGACCAAAATATCCAACGATTTAATTGCTGCTAAATCTCGCGGCCAATACTCTATCCTAATCCTCCTTGATCTTTCTGCCGCCTTTGACACTGTATGAACAGTTCTTCACATTCTCTGTAACTTTGGTCTACAGGATACTACTCTCTCTCCTGGTGCTCCTCCTACCTGTCCCAGCACTCTTTCAGTGTTTCTTTCTCTGGCTCTGCCTCTTCTCCCCAATCCCTCTCTGTCGGCGTCCCCCAAGGTTCTGTCCTCGGCCTCCTACTGTTCTCTATCTATACTGCCTCCCTTGGTAAACTCATCAGCTTCTTTGGCTTCCAATATCATTTATATGCAGATGACACGCAAATCTACCTGTCCTCCACTGATCTCTCTCCGCCCACCTTGACTCGTGTTTCTGACTGCCTATTTCCAACTGAATGGCTGCTCACTTCCTTAAACTCAACCTGTCCAAAACAGAACTTCTAGTTTTTCCTCCCTCAAGTGCTGCTACTCCTGTGTCTGTCTCCATCCAAGTCAACAGCGCTACTATCACCTCTACCACGCAGGCTTGCTGCCTAGGGGTTCTTTTTGATTCTGACCTCGCTTTTACTCCTCATGTCCAATCGAAAGCCAAATCCTGTCGCTTCCAACTCAAGAACATAGCGCGCATCCGCCCATAACTAACGCCGGACACGGCTAAGGTACTGGTTCATGCTGTTGTTCTCTCTCGCCTTGACTATTGCCTTCTCACCAGTCTTACATGTTCCCAGCTTGCACCGCTGCAATCTATAATGAATGCGGCTGCGAGGTTTATTTTTATGTCCTGTCGCACCTCCCACGCCTCCATGCTCTGTCAGTCCCTGCATTGGCTTCCAGTTAGATATAAGGCCCAATTCAAAATTATGGCACTTGCTTACAAATCCCTACATAATGCTGCTAGAACATACTTATCCTCCCTCATACACAAGTATGTCCCATCGAGACCTCTGCGCTCAGCCCAAGACCTACGCCTATCCTCTGCTCGGATCCCCACCTCTGATGCTTGCCTTCAAGACTTCTCCAGGGCTGCACCTATTCTGTGGAACTCCCTTCCCTTTCACCCAGCCTCCACTCCTTCAAAAAATCTTTGAAAACTCACTTCATTAAAGCATATCAATTAAACTGTCAGCAGGTTTCTCATCCCCCACCCCATGACTCCGTTCCTGCAACTGTCAAAAATGACCTACCAAGCACTCAATAAACCCTTCTCTAACAAACTTTTTAATTCCCCTACTTTAATCCTTTATGTCACCATACCCCACTCCCTCTAGCATGTAAGCTCATCGAGCAGGGCCCTCAACCCCCTCTGTTCCTGTACGTCCAGTGGTCTGATCTCAATTATGTGTCTGTTAGTCCACCCATTGTACAGCACTACAGAATTTGTTGGCGCTATATAAATAATAAAATAATAAGTAAAGACCTCTCAAAACCTGTTACTGTATGCCTATCAGACACCATATCTGTAAAACAGTGTCAATACAGTTAATTTAGTTACGTATTGTGTTTCATTAAAATCCGTTTAACCTACCTGTTACAATTTACACAAAACTGATATACAAGCTGTAATCACCTAAGTCACTATGCCAATACATTTTGTTAAATAATTTAATAGCTGCTACATCGGACAGAATGCCATCGGTAAAATAGGATAAATATAATCTATTTAGTTAATATTTTGTCCATCCACAAAATATCCGTCACTTAACTGTTGTCACAACTTAAAACAAATAAAATATACAATTCATTACCATTAAAATTCCAATGCAATGGGGGCGTGTTCGACTGCCGAGTGGAACGGACGCATGGAGTGAGAGCTCCCGGTCCGAGACGGCTACAGCGTGACTTATAGCAGCTCTTACCCCCCGGCTGACGGTGAGAAACGGGCGGGTTATCTTCCCCTCACCTCCCATGGCCCCGGCAAAGCAGACTAAGCTGACGGATCCGATCCGCCACGGGAAAAAAGACCGGTCGCGGCCGGCGCAAGATGGCGGCGGTGAGGAACTGGAATCCTCACAGGCCTCAAACCCTCCCACAGAGAATGAGGAGCAAGTATACACTGATGCCCCAGTTACAGAAAGAAAACTTTATGCAATGCTGAAAGACTTTAGACTCATCCTGCAGTCTGATTTGAAAAAAGCCACAAATGATATTAAGAAGGAAATAGCAGATCTGGGGGAAAGAACAAACAATTTAGAAACACGTACTGATGACATATGCGCAGCGCAAGATGCCTTGGCAGACACAGTACAACAATTAGTGAGTGAACAACAGTTCTTAAAAAGAAAATTAGCGGACATGGAAGATCGCTCACGCAGAAACAATATTCGCTTCCGTGGTATTCCAGAAAGCGTCACGAGAGAGCAATTGCCGCAATACCTTACTTCCCTGTGCAAGTCGCTGGCGCCGGAGATATCGGAGCCAGAATGGCTCATGGACCGAGCCCACAGACTACCGAAACCGCAGAATCTGCAAAAAGATACGCCACGCGACGTGGTCGCTCGCTTCCACTACTATAAGACGAAGGACCACCTACTGCAGGCGGCGAGGAAAATCACCGAGATGCCCGCACCATACACGGGTGTTCAATTATACGCAGACCTGTCAGCTATGACCATGGGCAGACGCAGAGAATTCATCAACGTGACAAAGTCCCTGAGAAACAACGGCATACAATACAGATGGGGCTATCCTACAAAACTACTTATATGGAGGAATGCCAAAACGCATACCGTCAACGAACCGGAGGTGGGAATGCGCTTACTAAAAGAATGGGGCCTATTCCCGCTACAACCGAGAGACGCTTCGACTACAGCATCCCCGAGAGGACCGCATGCTGACTGGCAGATGGCGGGCTCGCCACAAAGAAAAGAATAGAACTCCAGTCGGGGCCCAACAGGGACATACCACTAACCCACTGTAGAATTGGACACTGAGAGACACTCTAACCCAATACTAGCCTCCGCTCTGTGACATGCAAATGTAACTGGATTGTGAGTATGTTATTCTGAACCTCTTACTGTGATACATTATATGCGAATCCCTATTGCCCAAGGAGTAAAGCATTACGTAGCGGAGTGACCAAACCTGTTAAAACCCAGAGGGTGGGGACTCAGGGCAGATACAATGGGGACGGTAGGGACGCAATCTCTAAGAGTACTATAGCAAGTGGGAAGTATGGGGTGCAGAAGTCACGACTCAGACAATATATACTATACAGGTTTTGTGACGGCATAACATATCCATGATAGCAAGATGGAGGGGAGGGTCTTGTGGGTGTTCCATTGGTGGGTCCTGGCTGGACATCTCAGACGTGTTTGTGGGGTAGGAATAAGGTTAACTGGAGGAAAGCCGTCACGCACTCGGCTGAATCTCCCAGGTGCGTCCCCAGGATGAGACGTGAGACGGACAGAGTCTGCCCGCTCACACCTCACCCACGTAGAGCGCTAGTTTTCTCCATGGCGCTTTGTACATACTTAAGTTATTGTTTTTCCCTCCCTGTTTTTATGTCCATCATCCCTACATTCCCCCCTTTCAGTCCCAGATCAGTAGCGTATCGCATGTCGCAGGCAGCGAATGCCGTCCCACGGCCCCAGCATAGCATAACACTACACCAGGATCATGGATGACTCTCTGACAATCCTAACCTTAAACGTTAAGGGTCTCAATAGCCCACACAAAAGGAGGCTAGCAATACAGGAAATGACCAAGTCCAAGGCAGCGATTATAGGCCTCCAAGAGACGCACTTCTGTATTAGGAAACATCCCACACTCAATGTCAAACAGTATCCTCAAGGATACCACGCAATGCCAAACACTAAGGCTAAAGGAGTTGCTATCTATTTCCATAGGGACTGGGCATTCACGCCATCCAATCAATTTGCCAGTCGAGATGGGAGAATACTAATATTAGTGGGCTCCTTAAATGGTTTAGCGGTGACTATAGCTTCCATATATGCGCCGAACGATAAACAAAAAACCTTCCTCAGCAAAGTGTTTAGGACAATTGACAAGTTCAGAAAGGGCCACACAATTATATGCGGGGACTTTAATTGCGCTCCAGATCCCGATGTCGATATAAAACGAGAGGGGAACAAATTACCACAACAACATTCAGTCTCACTAGGCCAACATTTTAGGAAATTATTGCATGGGCATAACTTTTATGACACCTGGAGAGGCCTGAACCCGAGCGGGAGGGACTACACGTATTACTCGTCGGTCCATAGGACCTACACGAGAATTGATCTTTGTCTACTTGACACCAAAACACTGCCATTCGCCATTAAGGCTCACATTGGGCCAATCACGTGGTCCGACCATGCCCCATATGTTGTCACTATGCGAATTCCGTATCCAGCTAGGGGTAGAGGCACATGGCGCCTGAATGAAAGTCTATTAGACGTACCGGCACATCTCCAACGAATACAGGTCCGGGTTGAAGAATTTTTCGCTGACCACGTAGACTGCTCGTCATCCGACGCTACAAAATGGCTGGCCCATAAGGCCGTCATGAGGGGAGAATTAATCCAGATAGGGGCTAGAACAAAGAGGCTGCACAACACAACACTGGACAAGGTAGAGAAAGATCTGGCCTTAGTAGAATCCGCCCATAAAACAAACCCTACAACGGCAACACATAAGCGACTGATGTCACTTCGCACAACACTTCATAGCCTCAACCTCGCTGTAACAGAAAGACACCTGAGGTTTTTGAAGCAATCATACTATGTTATGGGTAATAAAGCTGGGAAAATGCTGGCCAATAAAGCGAAACAAACTAAATTGCAATCTAAAAATCCCGTACATAACCTCCACAACTGGGGATAAATTATACAACCCCCAAGACATAGTGAACGAACTAGCGAAATATTATGCCTCACTATATCAACTAGAAAAAGATCCCTCCACACACCAACCGACGGAAGACGAGATAGTACGTTTTCTAGACAGAGTGCCCTTAGCCAGTCTAACGCAAGCGCAACGAACCCAACTGGAGAACCCCTTCACGGAGGGCGAAGTAGAAATAGCAATCAAATCCCTCCCCAAACATAAGGCCTCCGGACCAGACGGAATATCCAACTACTACTACATAAAACTGACCAAACAACTACTCACGCCTCTCACCAACCTATTCAATCACATAAAAACTGCAGGGAATATGCCCACGGAAATGCTGGAGGCACATATAGTGACGTTACCCAAACCCAACAAACCCCCCACACACTGCGCAAACCTACGTCCGATCTCCCTCCTGAATGCAGACACCAAATTGTATGCCAAACTCCTCGCTACCAGAATTAAACCAATCCTAGCAGACCTCGTCTCGGAGGAGCAAGCGGGCTTCGTCCAGGGGCGTCAGGTAGGGGACAACACTAGACATTTCCTGAACCTGATTGAATGGGCGAACGTCTCGCATCAAGCGGGACTCTTGCTAGCGCTTGACGCTGAGAAGGCGTTCGATCGCCTACATTGGAGGTATATGTCACTCACCCTCACCAGAATGGGATTCCCACTAAACTTTAGTTCGAGCATAATGGCACTGTATCAAAACCCTTCAGCAAAAGTCTTTAGCACGGGCTTCGTATCTAACAGGCTCGCCATATGTAATGGCACCAGACAAGGCTGTCCTCTTTCCCCCCTAATATTTATCCTATGCTTGGAACCGCTAATAAGAATAGTAAAAAATGATCCCAATATACATGGGCTGCATACCCAGGGGGGCGAAAAGAAACTAGCTCTGTTTGCCGATGACATACTGCTGTTTGTTACAAAACCAGAGTCCTCCCTTCCCAATCTCATGAGAACGCTGGTAGACTATGGGAAGGTATCGTACTATAAAAACAACATAACCAAAACGCAAGCTCTACCCATAAACCTACCAAAACCTACATTAGAAAGGATAAAACCGCAGCACCCCTTCGATTGGCGCACCAATTCCTTAAAATACTTAGGTGTAAACCTCACCAAATCCCTTCAAACGGTGATCAAAGAAAATCACTTCCCCGTGCTAAAGAAAATCAAATCCTCCCTCGAACAGTGGGCTAGCATGGATACCTCCTGGCTAGGACGTATTAATCTAATTAAAATGATGACACTTCCACACATACTATACTTATTCAGAAGCCTGCCCATATTCCTCCCGACTGCGCTGCTCAAACAATTCCAAAGCACGATCAATGCACACATCTGGAAGAGGAAGCCCCCGAGAGTGAATAAAGGGTGCCTGGGTCTCCCTTACGTCCAAGGTGGACTGGGGATGTCGGATGTAACGGCATACTACAGGGCCTCTTTCTTGGCACAGGGTCTGCGACTCATTAGGATCCATAATCTCCCCCGTAAACCGCTCTGGCTGTCATTAGAAAATGAATGCCTAGAGGCACACGACACAGTCCATTACTTGTGGACATGCTCCACGCCCCGAACATCTGCGGGCATGACCCTGAGATGCTCGATCACTATGCTTACAGCATGGAAGACCTGGTGTCCGAAGGTACTGGACCCAGTACGGTTATTTAGGGAGGCACCCATCACGACACTAGCAGCCTACTCCCCAGGCATACAGGTGGGCAAATGGCTTAACAAGGGAGCGAGATTAGTGAGGGATTTAATGTCAGGAGATGCGGTGAAACCATTCCCTGAATTGAAAGAGGAACTGGGGTTAGACTTGAGAGATCTGTACCTTTATTTAAGGATCAAAAATATAATACTAACCCATGGTAACCACACAGTCGCTCGAACTGACTCTCCGGTACTCCAACCTAGCCACTTATCTCTGATAAAAGCAGCAAAACCGCTCTCCCTATGTTATAATGCGTTGGTCACAGAAAACACCCCAGATAAACTGAAATACATGGCAAAATGGGAGCAGGACCTGGGACTTCATATCTCCCAAGCAGACTGGCAGTCTGCAAGGGCAAATACAAAACAGGCATCGAGTAGCCTCTCGCTATGGGAGGCCTATTGCAAGATAACTATGAGGTGGTATCTGGTACCACAGAGACTAGCGAGTATGTACTCAGGCGCTACGAACTTGTGTTGGAGATGTGAGTCGGACACTGGAACCATGCTACATGTGTTCTGGAAATGCCCGTTGCTAGACGGATTCTGGAAACAAATCCAAATCCTGATCTCGAGTAAAACTGGCACCTCTATCCCATTGCGACCGGAAAAGTACTTATTACATGTCATACCAGACCTAGTCACGCATCCACACAAAAAAGTGATTCTGAATATACTGACGATAGCAAAAGTAGCTTTAGCTGGTAACTGGAAAAGCAAACAAATTCCTCAGATAGAGGTGATTATCAACAAAATGAATGTGATTAGTATGTACGAGAAAATGGCCAGCAAAGTATGATAAAGAATGGGTATGTTGGGCGGCCACATAGTCCCTGACTGACAACTAAGACAAACCGACTGCTCAAACCAAATGGTTAACCATCATAGTGGGCCAATAAGGGAGCACACAGGCGCAAACGTTAAGGGACCAAAGGGGTCAGGGCGTTGAGGTGCTCAGGGTACATATAGCCTCATCAATCTCACAAGCTACATAAGGAAGGTGATCTGTACTGTACTGCTGGCTGCGATGTGAAGCTGTGTCCAGGGATCTCCCCCCCCCCCCCCCCTTTTTCCTTCTGTATCCCAACCCCTCCCAAGTTAACTATAAAAAACAAAAAATGTACCGCATGCTTTGAAACTGTATGTATGTAACACATCGAACATCGCCTGACACACAGATTATTTGTATGACTATTTGTATACTTAAGCGGTTAATTGATCAATTGAGCGAGAAATAAGGCTCTACATAGGGCGACATGTAGAATGTTATCCGCAAATATCGCTGTGTAGGCGACTTGAAATTAATTACCATGTTATGTGTTGCAATTGTCATTCAATAAAAACGATAAATGAGAAAAATTCCGATGCAATTATGCTCGGAGACATATTCAGGTTATCTAAACTGTCTCTTGTTTGACGCTTTTCTCGACATACTTTTAAACACATAGTATATAGTTCTATATTTCTAGTTCTCACTAGTAAAATAATTGTCATTCTTGATAAGTGTCAGTATTAGAAAATAATTTGATTTGGCATGTGATTTCAGTACTCACATTCAATTTTTAATCCTTTTATTTCATTATATTTTTTTATTTCACATTATAGGAGTATTCTGTAACATTATAGACTGTAAGCTCGTTTGAGCAGGGTCCTCTTCAACCTATTGTTCCTGTAAGTTTTCTTGTAATTGTCCTATTTATAGTTACATCTCCCCCTCTCATAATATTGTAAAGCGCTACGGAATCTGTTGGCATTATATAAATGGCAATAATAATAATAATAATAATAATAATAATAATAATAATAAGAGAGCCACACTCATAACATCGTGATCTACGGTTTAATAGTTCATTCCCATGGTCTATCTCTCCTCCTCCGTTTGTGAACGATCTCTTCATCACCAATCATTGAAATTACAACCTTCGGTGCACTAGGAGCCTATTGGTGTATTCAAATATGGCTGATCCAATCAGATTAAAGCATTCTCCTTTTTACACCGGCAATATTGTATGTCCGGTTCCCCTCTGATAATCTGAATAAGCCAAACGCGCGTCAAGGGCATTTTGCTCTCACTAGCATCTCACCACCGAAGTGCTACCAGGCATTCAGATATGTTTATTCTGACTACTTCTGCATAGCAGTGACTTAACTCAGCCGCTGTGTTATTACATTTATTTATCAGCACTAGGTTTTATAGCAAAACCGACTTTATTTATTTACGGTTGGTGGGTAAGCTACTTTACAGGACAGGATAGGATAGGGAAAATCTTTTCAGGCTTAAGGGGTGCCCACAAAGGCACAATAGGGTAACATTTAACTTTGATTCCCTTCGGATCCTGAATCCCTGCATTCCTCTATCTTAACTATCAAATCACACTGTGAGCAGTTTAGCTCGTGATACAATTGCACCTAATTTTAAAATACAGCAACAGACCGATCACAGCGTCTTGTTGCCATCCAAGTATATGGTACCTAACAATTATTGCAACATTTATTACACTCATGATTGTAGCTTACTGGTGCACTAAATTCTAAAACTCATTAAGATTGATTTCAACCCAATTCACTATTACCTGACTAATAGCTATATCGTATGGTCAGTTTATGATTCCTTTGCACTCCACTTTTCAATGCAGCAATATTGATTAGAGTGTGTAATTCTATTAGGCAAACAGCTAATTTGTCTGTTTACTGTATAGTTTTCATTTCACATAACAGCTCTGTTATCACTTTGCAAGTGTCTCCCGGACAGCGATCAATCTAGTGCCTACAACATATTGCTTTGCTAGTGCAAGTGTGTTCAATTGTTATGTATATTTTAGCACAGCCATTGATAAGTTGTTTGACATTATGACACAATAATTTGCACACATTTATGTGCTTTATTAAGTATTTTCCCATAGGTGTCAGTCAACAACTTTCAGTGGGCTAATATAGCTATGTATATTTTAAGGTGTATATCAATTATTATTTTCTAATAGTACTATTTTTCTTTTTGTTGTTTGTTCTTTTGCCGAGTCCAAGTTGGACCTTTTGTCATGACTTATTAAAAGTTAAGTTTTATTTATGGTGATTTTACCATTATAGTATTCCATTTCTATATAGTTATTACAAATAAATAGGGAAAGGTAGCGCCACTAAAAAACAAATAAGATAAATAAAACCATTCAGTAGGCAGAAAAAACAGAGAATATAAAATTAAAAATAAAATAAAAAACAAAAACTTAAAAGTACAGGGTAGGTAGTCTTTATGGTAGATGAATCCAACACCAATGTGTTACTTTGTGGAAGGGGGTACAGTCTTTGGTAGTGGGTGTATTCTTCAGAGTGGTATAGATGCGTCTTTGTAATTCATATGAAATAGATAAAAATAACAACTGATGGTGTAATATGTCCCAAAAGGGGTAAAAGCAGTATAAAGAATATATGGTCCTACTCACGTTTTACAGAGCTATGAACTTAGCTCTAGTGTTGATAACGTACAGTGGTACAATCCCCACTTATGGGATACGTGAGATCTTTGTATTCTTGCTTGATTAGGGAACATTTGATTGAACAGACTAACTGTTCGGTGAATACAGCTTGAGTAGTATAATCCCCACCTAGGATTCTTTGGAGTAATATCCTCACTGGAAAGTAAAACACTTCTGGTACCAGATAAAAAGGATGGTAGTAGTAAAAGGTAAAAGGATAAAAAAGTAAAATGGCTAACTTGTAGCAAACCTAGCCACTTGGACATTACATAAGGACTATAGCTTTAAGGGCTGCCTGTGCTGTTTGGAGGATGCGTATGTTTCTGTGTGTATAGACTGTGATTGCTTAACACTGTATTACTTGCATTGGCTATCTGCCGAAAGCAGATAGCTGATTTCCTTTCGTTTCACGAACAGCGCCTTTGCGGGCCGTTCGTGAACCGAAATAGACCCACATGTATAGCCCACACATTGAGAGACGTGTGGCGCTCGTTAACCGATTGCAACAATGTTGCAATCAGTAATTAGAGGCTCTCCTAGGTGGCAGTCGTTCGACTACCGACCGTGCGGCGGTCGGCCATCTTGGATCCTTTGTTCCTCCAGCGGTGTTTGGTCGTCGAGCGCGTGGTACTAAAAACGGCTGCTCGACGGCGCGAACACAGCTGGACTTCCAGGCCGTTCGGGAGTTCCGGGCCGTTCGGTATTTTATTCCCCATATATCAATCGGTCTTTTAAATGTATGTTTTGATGGATATGTTTTTCGTGCGGTGTTCGGTTGTTTTAGCTGGGATCTGAGCGGTAATCTCACGAATGATGCGCTCAGACCCCAGCTATCTACCGAACGTCCATTCGTGCAAATAGACCTAATATTCGAAAAGCTGTATATTTTAAAGTAAATTGACGGTTCTGCTGCACGGAGGGATAATCCACTTAACCGTACATTCCAGTGGGAGGATCCCTCTCGTGCAGCAGTGCCTGATGGGAGAAATGCTCTGTAATGTAAGTTCCCCACGTAGTCCACCCCTGGAATATCCCTGGGCTAGGACTCAGGAAACCCCTTGCATGGGGAATTGTATAAATTGTGGAGCCTGTGAATAAAGCCTCAGTTGACTCTCAGAACTGTGTTTTGTCCGGTTACTGGGAGATTTGGGATATTGCCTTGTTTTTCAGCGCTTGACTGTGGATTACCTTCTGAATCAGCGGAGATCGTGGGATTTATTATTGCCGCTTCGCTACATAACTCACAGTAAGAAAGTGGCCAAAATACCTTTATTTAAAACAATATAATAATAAAACCACAACGCGTTTCGCCCTTGGGCTTTATCAAGTGGAGATCAGAAAAACCAACCTGATACATCCAGGTATATATAGGAAGTGTACATGTTTAAAATAGGCACCAAAATGACGTCATAATTGCGGTTTTGAAAGTTACAAAATGAATAAAATTTGCATGCATATGTGAATATATGGGGGACATGTGATAGCTATAATTTGAAAACGAAGCCTTATAATGGAGATTGCCAGCATAATATGTTTTAATGAGAAAGTCACGTGCTCGGCAGCCATTTTAGTAATTTCGGGCCGTGCTGCAATGGATTATGGGATATGTATGCAAATGTCAACGATGTAGGGGACGTGGGAAAAAAAGGATGGATGTGGGAAGGATCGTATTGTCGGCGGCCATATTGTATCTCTGGTCGCGCTGCATGGGATTATGGGGTTTGTAGTTGAGGGCAGAAGTGATTAGCTGCATGGCGAAGGAGGAAGGGATGTGGGAGGGATGTATTATGTGTCACTAGGACGCGATCGCAAACCCAGTGGTCGCGTCTTAGTGACGAAAATGGTGGGCACGTCCTGATGACGCGAGTATAGCACTCGGTTCAGGGGTCCATGGTTGGAGACTAAGAGGATGGGAGCGGACATATATGAGTCCATGGGGTGGGGAAAAATTGTATAATACAACTTAATACATTCTAAATAAAAACAAACACATAAAAACGGCATAATGTTTTACAATTAAACAAAGGTAGCAAAAAATGTCAAGAAAGGTAAACAGCATATATTGTTCGTTAAAACAACTACTGGGACACAAAGAAATGCATTGAGTGTTCCTTTTAAAAAAACCCTACCCCCGAAGGTCTTAATGTAGAGTTCAACCTTTTATCATTTTATGTGCATATATAAAATATTTTTATACAAAACCATCATCTTAATATACATCTTATAATCTCAACAATTATTTATATTTATTTTTATATAGTTGTTTTATCAATAACCAAACTATAAGCTCCTCTTTATTTTATACATTTTATATCTACACCCTGTTCCAAATTATTATGCAAATTTTATTTAAGTGTGACAAAGATTAAATATTTAGTTTTTCAGTTTTTTCATGGTTGACATTGTGTCTCAGGGCTCTTTTGATCACTGAAAACAATATTGGACACCTGTGATAACTAGATTGCCAGGTGAGCCCAATTTAAGGAAAAACTACTAAAGGAGGGTGTTCCTCATTATTAGGCAGATCACCATTTTAATGCAATATGGGGAAGAAAAAGGATTGGTCTGCTGCCGAAAAGAGTGAAATAGTTCAATGCCTTGGACGAGGTATGAAAAGATTATATATTTCACGAAAACGTAAGCGTGCTCATCGCACTATTAAGAGATTTGTGGCTGATTTAGAGCACAGACAGGTTCGTGCAGATAAAGGCACATTGAGGAAGATTTCTGCCAGATCCATTCATCGGATCAAGAGAGTAGCTGCTAAAATACCATTACATAACAGCAAACATATATTTGAAGCTGCTGGTGTCTCTGGAGTCCCACGGACATCAAGGTGCAGAGTCCTCCAGAGTCTTGCAACTGTGCATAAATCTTCTATTTGGCCACCACTAACCAATGCTCACAAGCAGAAACGGCTGCATTGGGCAGAAAAATACATGAAGACTAATTTTCAAACAGTCCTGTTCACTGATGAGTGCCGTGCAACCCTGGATGGTCCAGATGGATGGAGTAGTGAATGGTTGGTGGACGGCCACCCTGTTCCAACAAGGCTTCGACGTCAGCATGGCAGTGGTGGAGTCATGTTTTGGGCAGGTCGGCCCTTTTAGGGTCCCCGAAGGTGTAAAGATGACCTCTGCAAAGTATGTGAAGTTTCTGACTGACCACTTTCTTCCCTGGTACAGAAGGAAAAACTATGCTTCCCATAATAAAATCATCTTCATGCATGACAATGCCCCATCTCATGCTGCAAAGAATACCTCTGCATCAATGGCTGCTATGGGGATAAAAGGAGAGAAAGTCATAGGGTGGCCTCCATCCTCCCCTGACCTCAATCCTATTGAGAGCCTTTGGAGCATTCTCAAGCAAAAGATCTATGAGGGTGGGAGGAAGTTTACATCCAAACAGCAGCTCTGGGAGGCTATTCTGACATCTTGCAAACAAATTCAAGCAGAAACTGTCCAAAAACTCACAAGTTCAATAGATGCAAGACTTGTGAAGCTGCTATCAAATAAGGGTTCCTATGTTAAAATGTAACATGACCTGTTAAAATGTTTTAAAAAGTTAAAATGTTATAAGTTTGATTGAATTAGCTTTTGATTTCAGTAAATATGCTGCAAACACAACAAATTAAAATTTTCAGTTCTTTACAACCTATAAAGTGTTTTGAAACTTACGGTGCGTAATAATTTGGAACAGTGCATTGGAAGTTTTTTATGTTTAAAAAAATACTGTTATCATTAGGAGGTTTGTGCAATAAAATTTGAATTGTACTCTTAATAGTTGATAACATGAGAATTATGCTGACTGTTATTTACATCAATTATTTAGGTAAATGAGAAAAATATCATTTGCATAATAATTTGGAACAGGGTGTATATATATTCTTATTTTACTTCATATTTCTCTGGTAAATCACCAAAAGCTGCAAAGCAATTGAGATCTTTTTCCCTTTAGCCTATATATTTCTGCCTAGTAATCTTTGTGTATTTACATCTTTCTGTATTTTTTAAGCTTAAATAAAAACCAGTGTTATTTCTATTACAATTCCTGGCCCAATTCTTGCATTTGCAACAATATATGCTGTTTACCTTTCTTGACATTCTTTGCTACCTTTGTTTAATTGTAAAACATTTTGCTGTTTTTATGTGTCTTTTTATTTAGCATGTATTACGTTGTATTATACAATTTTAACCAACACCATGGACTCATATGTCCACTCCCATGGACCCCTGAACCGAGTGCTATACTTGCGTCATCAGGATGTGCCCACCATTTTCGTCACTAGGACGCGACCACAGGGTGTGTGATCGCGTCCTAGTGACACATAATACATCCCTCCCACATCCCTTCCTCCTTCCCCATGCTGCTAATCACTTCCACCCTCAACTACAAACCCCATAATCCCATGCGGCGCAACCAGAGATACAATATGGCCGCCGACAATACGATCCCTCCCACAATGCTCCTTTTTTCCCCGTCACCTACATCGTTGACATTTGCATACATATCCAATAATCCATTGCGGCACGGTCCGAAATTATTAAACTGGCTGCCGATCACGTGACTTTCTCATTAAAACATATTATGCTGGCAATCTCCATTATAAAGCTTCATTTTCAAATTATAACTATCACATGTCCCCCATATATGTATATATTCACCTATGCATGTACATTTTATTCATTTTGTAACTAACAAAACCGCAATTATGACGTCATTTTGGCGCCTTTTTTAAACATGTACACTTCCTATATATACCTGTATCAGGTTGGTTTTTCTGATCTCCACTTGATAAAGCCTAGGGGCGAAACGCGTTGTGGTTTTATTATTATTATACTGTTTTAAATAAAGGTATTTTGGTCACTTTCTTACTGTGAGTTAGCCATTTTACTTTTTTATCCTTTTACCTTTTGCTACTACCATCCTTTTTATCTGGTACCAGAAGTGTTTTACTTTCCAGTGAGGATATTACTCCAAAGAATCCTAGGTGGGGATTATACTACTCAAGCTGTATTCACTGAACAGTTAGTCTGTTCAATCAAATGTTCCATAATCAAGCAAGAATACAAAGATCTCACGTATCCCATAAGTGGGGATTGTACCACTGTACGTTATCAACACTAGAGCTAAGTTCATAGTTCTATAAAACGTGAGTAGGACCATGTAGCGGATGGCCTGTGACTATCTGCCAGAATTATGTTTTAAAAGACTGTTCGCCTGTTTTAACTGAATGTATATTGAAAATTGCATCTAAGTTCGTATGCTAATTCGGTAGTTTCCTTCATAGTTATACGAATGGAAACTACCGAATACATAGACCACCTTAGAGCTGAAGTGCGTCCCTCGTTAAACCTTTATTCCCTTTGTAACCGCAGCTAATTGAAGTATCTGGGTGGCCGCCATTCGGTAGACGAACACGTGGCGGCAGCCATCTTACGCACTAACTCTCAGCGGTGTTTGGTCGTCGAGTTTCTGGAACTCAAATCGGACACTCGATTGCGCGAACACCGCTGAGACCTCCAGAGCTCCAGAACTCACGAACGGAGGGGCTAATCGACTCCCCGTTCGGTGAGTTCAATATACCGAACAAGGGGGTTCATGCGAACCCGGTATTCTCTATGGATGTCAAGGATTTATGTCTATTTCATCTCCCGAACGAAGACCGACCGCAGGGCCAGAATGCATGGAACTCCTTTTGGCTACATATTTGTGTGCGCTCGGTCAAATCGTTTAAGGTCTACAACTCCCGAACCCCTGGTCTGATCTGGGTGAATTTTGAGTATGTTGGTCACCCAGACCAGGGCTACCAGGGGATGCCACTTAAGTCCTGGTACCCCATGGTCTTAGGGTACATCCAAGAAATAGGGGAAAAGGTGCCAGGATTAAGTGGATTAAGTGTCACTCTGAGGGGAGGGAAAGCAGGGGAGGGAACCTCTGTACCATTGGTTACTGTTGTAATTACTGTAAATCCCTCCCTTGCATGGGAGAATCCTTTATAAGGAGCTGCTGTGAATAAATCTTTAGTTCTGCTCCTGATACTGCGTGTCGTCCAGTTATTGGGAGTGCTGTTGGGATACTGCTGTATTGTTTTGCCTGCCGGATGCTTTGCCCTATGGATTTATAATTACTTGTTCCTGAGCCTCCCCGGATCTACAAGTGGAGATAGGCTATGAAATACTAGCTCTCCGCTACAGACCATATATTCTTTATACTGCTTTTACCCCTTTTGGGACATACTACACCATGGGTCCTCAAACTCTGCCCCCCCCCCCAGATGTTGCTGAACTACAACTCTCATAAGTATCATGGAAGTTGTAGTTCAGCAACATCTGAGGGGCCGGAGTTTGAGGACCCATGCACTACACCATCAGTTATTTTTATCTATTTTATTTGAATTACAAAGACGCATCCATACCACTCTGAAGAATTCCACAAAGTAACATCTTGGTGTTAGATTCATCTACCATAAAGACTACCCACCCTGTACTTTTAAGTTTTTGTTTTTAATTTTATATTCTCTGTTTTTTCTGCTTACTGTATGGTTTTATTCATCTTATTTGGTTTTTAGTGGCGCTACCTTTCCCTATTTATTTGTACCATTTCTGCTGTAGGGCCTGTGAGGGAGCCCTATTTTTAGGTGTGCTGCCACATTTTATCTTTTCTGTTGTGTATTTGTGTTGATAGAGAGCGCTTATCCCTTTTTTCTGTTCTATATACTTATTGTTGCATCCTCATGATTTGCCATTTTAGGACTTTCCATTCACGTCTTTTGGAGATAATTCTATCGATTATCTGTGTATACCATTAATTTTACAAATGACCATCAAAGGATAAAAGACAAATATACATTTCATTTTAATACCATTTCCAAAAGAACTGCTCGAGTCTTGGCTTCTTTTTCTGCAAGAATTTCTTCTAGCTCTTCAGCAGATTTGCCTTTGCTGTCATCAATATCTTCATCTGCTGCTATTCTGCCACTCTATACAAGTATGAAAGAAATGAGAAATAGCTTTAATGTAATGGTTTAGGTGAGCAAATCAAAACTGAAAACCGCTCATGAAAAAATAAAAAACTTACATCAAGCTGCTCTTTGGTGGGTTCTGGAGAACGATCAGGGATGGGTAGTCCTGGTGGGTCATCAAATGGGTCATCTAGTATTACAGTGTGAGTTATTCTGCAATTGAAAAAATAAAACCAACACTAACTCTGTATGTTATAAAACAGATTTGATTTGATGAGCAATATTAAATCATATAAATAATAAGCATGTTAAATATCAAGTGTATAAAGAACTAATCTAACTTTTATCCAGAAGAGAAGTTTTTGTGCAATTGAAGAAGCCAATCCAAAACAGAGGGAAGCAATGAGAAAGAAAAAAAAAAACGAAATAGTTTTCTAGTTTTTCTTAGAACAAGCAACAATATGTACAGATAGGATTTATTAAGCCCCATAAAGAGAGTGAATTCACTTTCACAGAGCAAGGTCCAAGTTGCAGCTATGAAAGTAGATGTCAAAGTTGCCCTTGATGTTGAAATGAGCTTACGGTAGGTCGGGGCTCAACAAATATCAGGTGCCAGGGTCAGTTTTCAGTGGTAGAAAAAGAGGATCTAGGCACTCCAAGTATCTTCAAATGTATTTATTTGGACAAGTAAGGCACCACAATGTTTTGATCACTGAAAGGGTCTTTGGGAAACTTGACAAACTTTCAGGAGTCAACACGTTGCGGTGTCTAACTTGTTCCAAAAAAATACATCTGAAGATACTTTGAGTGCCTGGATGCTCTTTCTACCACTAATATTTACTCCCTGGGGCTGGTGCTGGCCCGTGGTCCAGTTTAGCACCCAGATCTTCACATGATTGGAATACAGTTCGTTTTTTTCTCTTTTAGCAAAAAGTGTCTGAGATTTGTCAGTCTGTTCTGCGGCGAAGTAGAATGGAGCCAGTCGGCTGAGCGGCAGTGGTGGTGGCCAGCTGAGGGAGCTGAAATCTTCCAGATCTTCTTGCTCCGCTCCCTCGCGCGTCCTGCTATGATACCTGGTGCTGGGATATGAAATCACTCTGGCAGAGGCATTAATAAACGGCACGCAAGGGTGCGTGTCAAGAAGAGCTTTAAGAGCTCAGAAGCCACACTCTATTCTGGACCCCAAGGAACTGATCCACTCCAGCTATGCCAAAGGTGTTAAAAAATAATAAATAAATAAAAAAATTGTAAAACAAATTAAAAATGAATAATTTGTGAGTGAATGAGAGAATGTGTTTTTGTGTATGACTGACTGTTAGGGAGTGTATGTGCCTGTATGACGGTCAGTGTGTGTGTGTCGGTCTTTCAGTGAGTGAGTCTGTACATCTGTGTCAGTGAGCGTGTTCCTGTGTGTCTCTCCTCCTCTCTGAAAAGGCAGTGTTTACACTGAAGAGCCTGCTGGGACAGGCTTTATACACAAGATGCACTATATTAAGCTGCAGTGGTTCTGGTGACTATAGTGTCCCTTTAAGAATTGTATTTTTGTTGTTGAAAATAATGCTTTCTTAAAAAATTGGATCCTAACTTTGTTTAGTTGGCCTCTAGATTTCAAGCAAATTTGTCAAGCCCTACGGAATGGTCTTGTGAAGCACAACCTAAAGAATAATTACAGGTATCTAGAAATTATAGCAATATCATGACTTACAAAACAATTCCGTTGAAGGCAATTTTACATAATTCTTTTAACATCTAAAGAATGGAACATGAACTTCAGCAGAGAATATGATTTTTGCCAAATATTGGTAAGTGGATATCATTTAGTTAGCAGTAGAGGAAACTTTAGAAAGAAAATCACGAAGTAATCTGAGAACTACTTTTGCTACTGGAAAATAAAACCTAAGGAAGATGGGCTAAACTAATCTGCCAGAGGGAAAGGCAAAGGTTGGGCATTTTCAGTAGTAGTTGTTGCAGAGATGTCACAAAAAAAGCAGGAAGTGATTCAGCCAATCATGATGATCACATTCTCTAACACTGCTGACTTTATGTTGATAGGATACTTAAAAATCATTCTATACATAGCAATGGTATAAATAATTTTATTACATCATGGTGTCCTGGTTTTGGGTAAGGACTAGAGGCAGGGGTAAAGGTAGTTGGCCACATGGCAAACAAAATAATACTTGAAATACCATTGCTTCTCTTATTCAGGTGAAACTAACCGTGTCTCTCATGCAAAAAGCAAGGACAGTTATCTATTAAAGGTATAGTTAAGCAGGCTTCTTGCTTCCTGATTGGGTAAAGTACAAGTCAATCATGCTTGGTATAAAAAGGAAGAGGAAGGGAAGGGTTAAGGTGAGACTTCAGCAATAGGCTAAAAAGGTTCCCCTTGCTGTGCAGGCCAAGGAAATGTCTCCCAAGGGACTGAGGCATACAATTCTGTATTTTGCAAGCTGTTTAAACTGAATAATGTAAAATAGGAGAGAGAAATCACACAATCAAACAAGCCAAGTCAATTATTACAGAAATACACAATAATTAGAGCCAAGGTTACGGATACAGAAAGAGGAACATTTGGGATGAGACAAATATCCGTAAACCATGAATCAGATATGCAAATTAGCATTCGCTCAGATCACCACTAGGGAAACCATGACAAGGTAAAGGTCAAGTATGTCAGACATTTCCTGATTAAAATTAATGCCGTGTCTTTTACATTCTGCTAACAAACTAGATGGAGTCACAATTAACAGTTTAATAGTGAATTGTGACAGCATCTTGTTTTCTAGCAGAATGTAAAAAGAAAAAAAAAATTTTTTTATTTCTTTTAACTCTATTCAATCAGTGAAAAGAGATAAGGCTTGAGTTATACTCCTCTATGCAGGAACCGACAGCCCACAATCTTGATAATGAAAGCTTTATTGTATACTACAAAATACTATATCCCTTAAGGGTTAATAAACTAAAAATAAATCTAAAATAAAAAATATTCAATTACAGTGGGCAAAATTAATATCGTAAAATTCTTCCCAGAGGAGTATAACTCTTGCTTATACAACGTGCTGAGACAGCCGATACAGAGGCTCCACCTTTGTGAGTATAGTATGTACTAGACTATTGAAGATTTTTTAACATACATACTGCACCATATATCTGTGTCATTTAAATCTTAGAGGCTACTGCACAAGACTACCCGGCAAGAAGAAGGGGAAGGTCGCCTGTACGGACCTACAAGCGCTTGTCCCTGAGCTTGGTGTTAAGCTCAGGAGGATGGGAGTGTATTGTTTAACTTTGATGTACTCAGTTTTTAATATATACAGTGTTACACTACTAGAGTTTTTTTTCTCACTTTACAGGTATATTCCGCATGTTAGTTTGGCCCTTTTTATTGGGACGAATATTCTCTGGTTAGACTCAGCCGAGTTGAATATATGTATGTAGTGCTACACATTTCTTTGTATAAATTATAGATATATTTATTTATATTTATTTTTTCCATAATTGGTTGTGAATTCATTTTGTGAAATATAAATTCTATATTTAACATACTCCAGGATATAAAAGTTTAAAATACTGTAGATAACAATAAGATGGTACAGTGCAATAATAAATTTTTGATAATTTGTATAAAATATTTTTATTATTAATTACCCCATACATATTCTCACGAGTAGCAGTTGGGTGCTTAAACAGGCCTAAGTCTGTTGTGATTGGCCTGCACCATTTCTGCAAAAACGAATGACGTGAAAGATGTTGCAGAAATGACGCAGGGTTCTCTGCGCTAAAATTGACACGGGGCATCTCTCTGTCAAATAGAACAGAAAATGCTTTTAAGCCTGAAAAGCCAAATTATGAACCTTGGAAATTCTTGCTCTTAAAACAGCACTGTCATCCTACTCCTATTCCTACTCTTATTTCAAACCAAAAATATAAGACAAAGTAGGAACTATCTTTTCCTGCCCTCCCACAGCGGCAATGTCACCAAATTTGACAGTGCCCCTTTAAGCAGTTTTTAATGCACAAATCTTGAGAGTGGAGCTGCAAAAAGTCCAATGGGAACCTGTATAGAGGAGGACCTCTTGTCTGTTGTATATTCCTGCTAATGGACAGGTTAGCACATAGCGGTTTGTACTGACCCTGTATATATTTTTATAGTGATACCATATCCCCTCTAACAAAAAAAGAAAATTCCAGTTTTTCTAGTCTTTCCTCATACACAAATGTTTTCTATCTTCCTTTTTTGTTTTGTAGCTTGCTTCTGCACTTTTTCTAGTTCTGCAATATCTGTCTTTAAAACTGATGCTTAAAACTGAATAACATATTCAAGTTGGGGTCTTACCATTGATTTGAAAAGTTCCAAAAAACACTTTTTATACACAAAAGCACCTTACTAGCTTTTGCAATGGCAGACCAGCATTGTATATTATTGCCTAGTTTCTGATCTATAATTGTTCCCAAGTTCTTTTCATTTAATGATATCATTAACTCTAACCCATTTAATGTATATGTGGCTTGTAGGTTCCTTATTCCAAAATGCATGACTACATTTATCTGTATTAAATCTCATCAACCACTTGCCTGCCCAGTACCCCAATTTATCTAAATCCCTCTGTAGAAAAGTTATATCATGTTCAGACTGTATTTCTACCTATTTTTGTCTCATCTGCAAACACAGATAAATTACTTTCAATGTCCACCTCAAGATCATTTATAAAAGATTAAAGGACCACTATAGTGCCAGGAAAACATACTCGTTTTCCTGGCACTATAGTGCACTGAGGGTGCCCCCACCCTCAAGGTCCCCCTCTCGCCCGGCTCTGGGGAAAGGAAAGGGTTAAAACTTACCTTTTTTCCAGCGCCGGGCAGGGAGCTCTCCTCCTCCTCCTCTCCTCCCCTTCGGCTGAATGCGCGCGCATTCAGCCGGTCTCATAAGAAAAGCTTTCCTATGGATGCTTGCGTGTTCTCACTGTGATTTTCACAGTGAGAATCACGCAAGCGCCTCTAGCGGCTGTCAATGAGACAGCCACTAGAGAATTTGGAGGCTTGATTAACCCATTTATAAACATAGTTTCTCTGAAACTGCAATGTTTATAAAAAAAGGTGTTAATCCTAGAGGGACCTGGTACCCAGACCACTTCATTAAGCTGAAGTGGTCTGGTGACTAGAGTGGTCCTTTAAAGACAAGTGGATCCAGGACAGAACAGTGAGGCACTCAATTTACCACTTTTTTTCCAATTTAAAAATGTTCCAACTACAACTACTCTCTGCACTCTAAGCCAGTATTTTATCCAAGAACACGATTTTTCATATAAATCAATTCCAGTTTTACTAGTGACCGTTTGTGTGGAACTGCCTTAGCAAATTCAAGTAGACCACATCTACTGGAACACCATGTAGATGCTCTAAGAGTAAAGTTATCGCTCACAAATCTTTTGGTCACTAGCTAGTTTATGGATAAAAAAAAAAGAAAAAAAGATGTAATAAAAATAAATAAAATTGTTTAAAATGATATAGTACTTTAAAACTGCCTGTACTCTGCATTGACCATTTTAACATGTTCAGCTCCTTTCAAGCATGTGCTTGAAATACAGTTACTAAATCACTGCGGGTTGAAATACAGGGCAAATTTCTACTCACCTAGTATGTGTTTTTCTACACAAGTAGCATGCAGTATACCTGATATCTTGATAAGGAACAAAATCTTTGTCCACAAATGCCGCGTTGATTTTTTTCACTACATCCATTCCTTCCGATATTTCACCAAACACTGTGTGCACACCATCTAGGTAATCCAGATTTTCTCCAGTGGTAATAAGAAACTATATAGAAAAGTATAATAAAATGTGAGAATGTGACTTGAGTGTTTAAAAAAAACCAAAAAACCACAAAAGTAAAGTACCGTATATACTCGAGTATAAGTCGACCCGAATACAAGTCGAGACCCCTAATTTTACCCCCAAAAACTGGGAAAACTTATTGACTCGAGTATAAGACTAGGGTGGGAAATGCCGCAGCTACTGGTAAATTTCTAAATAAAATTGGATTCCCCCAAAAATTAATTGAATATTTATTTACAGTGTGTGTATATAATGAATGCAATGTGTGTATGAATGAATGCAGTGTGTGTGTATGTGATGCAGAGCCTTGGTGGGGGGTGGGCATTTTTATTATTTTTTATTATTATTATATTATTTAATCTTTATTTATATTGTTTTGTCCCCCCTCCCTGCTTGATACATGGCCAGGGATGGGGACTCTCATTCCCTGGTGGTCCAGTGGCATTGGCAGTGTAGGAAGGGAGCTGGCAGCAAGCTGTAACTTACCTTTCCTGCAGCTCCTGTCAGCTCCCTTCTCCTGCGTTCCGGCCAGCTATCCTGTCAGCTCCCACTGTAAGTCTCGCGGTCTGAGTGCCGCGCGGAGCGTTGCCGCGGTAACCCGTAGCAACGCTCAGACGCCGCGGCTCTCGCGAGATTTACAGTGGAACTGACAGGGGAGCTAACCGGAACGCAGGAGAAGGGAGCTGACAGGAGCTGCAGGAAAGGTAAGTTACAGCTCGCTGCCAGCCCCCAACAGGACCGCCGGGCTTGTAATGAGCCCGGCGGTCCAGGTCTGTATTATGGCAACGTAAGTTGCCATAATACAGACATTGACTCGAGTATAAGTCGAGTTGGGGTTTTTCAGCACAAAAAATGTGCTGAAAAACTTGACTTATATTAGAGTATATACGGTAGTATTGAAGCAATTCACTTTTATAAACCCTCTGGTTTGCCAGTTCTTCCTCACTGTGTTGTACACCCTTTTTCTCCTACCCCAAGTAAACCTGTGTACTAGCTGTTCTTATGTTGCTTTAAAAAGAGCACTGTCACTTCACATTTTCCCCTTCACATTTTTCCCCACCCGCCGCTCATGGTCTTTCAGCCTTTTAGTAGATAGCTTCCGAATTCCCACGGTATTAGGGAGCTATCTACTAAGCAGCTGCAAGATGGTATTTCATTCATTCCAATGAAATTCAGATCCAAACAAAAAGTACCGAATTACGTCCTAACACGTATTGACAAACTGTACTCATTCTGTTAGGACCAAATTTGGTAGTTTCGCCGCACGAACGGCCAAACAGGAACAGATCATGAGAGAGGACGAGAAAGGGAAGCGATTGGGGAAAGGTAAGTTCAACATGACAGTGCCTTTAATTATTTTTTTGTAATGTGTGGAGATTCTGGCCAATTTTACCTGGTAGGGTTAAACTATTCTGAAATGGTATATGTGACTGAGCTCCCATACTCAGACCAAGTACCTCTGCCAAATTAGCTTTTTAGCTGCTATCAGGGATCCTAGGACGCTTCAGCCCCAGTCGCCAGAGCTTCTTCCAGCCTGGACCAGAATAATCCAACCAGGACACACTCAGCTCTATTTTTACTCCGGACTAGCCCAAATGTACATTGCATCAAAATTTACAGTGACAAAGTCAATTTAATACAAATAACCTAATCATATGGGGAAACATACAGGAACTTATGACAACACAATAACATAATTATAAAGAAGTGAAGAGACAAATTAGTACAATATATATACCCTGCCTGAAGAAATACTGCTATTCAGGTACTGCATATAGCAGTTTCAATTCGCCGGCGGACAGTTCGCGACATCTCTAGTCCTCACAACAAACATATAGCGTTGTGTTTGAATCCATAGCCAAATCCATCTAGTTATACACATCATTGAGTAAACTTTGACCCGGAACCTCACAGTTAGCAGACACTTCCTGGGAGGGAGGGTCTGCTGCTTATTGGGTGGAATGTGTCTGCTGGCTGTGTGGTTCCGGGTCAAAGTTTACTCAATGATGACGTATAGGGGGCGGACCGGAAATCGGATATGTTTGCCCAACACGAACACGCTATTGTTCGCCAGTGGACAGTTCGCGACATCTCTAGTCCTCACAACAAACATATAGCGTTGTGTTTGAATCCATAGCCAAATCCATCTAGTTATACACACCCTGCACCTATAAGAAGCACAGGGTTACTAAAACATAAGAATAATTCAGGGATCAACATAAAGTGTCCATCTCCTGCTCCCAGTGATGGTGATGACCATCACAGTGTAACCCTAAAGTTCTCTCAACACACAACAGAGCCTTTCCACACAGACTTTCTTCATCCTCCTCTAGAGATAGACATATTCATTTACAGTACAAACAGCTATGCTATCTATTAAAGGGCAATTATTTTATTGAAGGATAGTGATGATATGAATCCATTTATTATCACATAGTAGTTTGGCTCCTTTTTAAATCATAATGATAACAAATCACCCAAATGGCCCTGATCAAAGATCTACATACCTTTGAATGTTTGGCCTTGTTACATACACAGGTTAAAATGTCAATTAAAGGTTAATTTTCCACACCTGTGGCTTTTTAAATTGCAATTAGGGCTCTGTGTATCAATAGTCAATTAGTTGGTTAGTTCTCACTGAGATGCACTGAGCAGGCTAGAAACTGAGCCATGGGGAGCAGAAAAGGAATAGTAATGGAATTTTATAAAGATGGAAAAGGATATAAAAAGATATCCAAAGCCTTGACAATGCCAGTCAGTACTGTTCAATCACTTATTAAGAAGTGGAACATTTTGGGATCTCTTGATACCAAGCCAAGGTCAGGTACATCAAGAGAGATTTCCGCCACAACTGCCAGAAGAATTGTTCGGGATACAAAGAAAAATCCACAGGTTACCTCAGGAGAAATACAGTCTGCTCTGGAAAAAGACGGCGTGGTTGTTTCAAAGAGCACAATACAACCATACTTGAACAAAAATGAGCTGCATGGTCAAGTTACCAGAAAGAAGCCTTTACTGCCACAAAATGCCATAAATAAAGCCCAGCTGCAACATGCCCAACAACACCTTGACACACCTCACAGCTTCTGGCACACTGTAATTTGGAGTGTGGAGACCAAAATAGAGCTTTATGGTCACAACCATAAGTGCTATGTTTGGAAAGGGGTCAATGAAAATAATACCATCCCCACTGTGAAGCATGGCAGTGGCTCACTGATGTTTTGGGGGGGATGGGGTGTGAGCTCTAAAGGCAACTTCACACTTGCAGAGGATCAATTAATCAAGAGCATTTGATTACCAGTACCTGTCTGCTACTTAGCCTCTTAATTCCTATGTAAATGTGGAAGAAATAAGGGTGTAGTTTTTCTCATATGGCTTCTCCATTTTGGCTTTGTTTTTGTTAAATAAATCATGACACGTAATATGTCACGTGTTATTCATCTGAGGTTGTTTTTAAGACCTGCTAAGGAGCAGACAATTGTTATGGCCATATATTTAAAACCAGGTAATTAATTCAAAGACGGTGTACTTTCTTTTTCCCATGACGGTATCTCCTAATTTAGCATTGAAAAAGTGGGCCCAGCATAGCATACAAATTAATAAAAATAAATCCATTAACATTTAAAAAAAATAAATCTATCAATACATTTTTGTTTTATTTTTTTAAATCAGAACATCATCGAAATTAAATCACTACGGTCTCTGGATTTCTTCATTTAAAGAACAAAACAATTGTTATCTAACAACGTGCCTCTTATGACTTTCTGGTAATTTATCCTTTGCTTAGTTTTGGACATCTACTATGCAACGTTTATGATAGCATTGGTACTTTGACAAAACATTTATAATGTAATATGATGCTCTTTCTCAACCTATGGCACTTATTACAATTTGGACTTAAACAGGTAAGCCAAAACTATTTCTAATCACATAAATTGCTTATACAAGCTTATTAAATTTAATCAGGTCTTCTATAAGTCAACCAAAATGAATAAATATAAAATACGACTTACCTGTGACCCATGTTTTCCGTTACCATTGTTCACCATTGACACAGTTCCTGCCTTCTTATGTTTTATCCTTGGTACTTTTTCAGACTCAAAATATTGGGCCTGATCTCCATAGAGTGCACTAAGAGGAAAGGAATTATTTAAAGAAATGAAGAGCTAGAGAGGAACAAATATTTTGTCATTTGTTTGCACATTTTCATTATATTATATATATATATATATATAAAAAAAAAAATATTATATATTTATATATATATAGTTAATACAATGTTAAACAAAAATCTGCACACCAGTCAAGCCATAAGACTTGCTTTTCCCACAGAAATCCCAAATCTGCAGTGATGTTAAAACCGCAAAGGATTCTGGGTGGGCATATGCAAATTAGTTTAACAAAGAATCACATTTTTGCCTCATTCCATTTTAAACATGGATTCCTTTTAATCTGTGTTTCTGTGGGAAAAGCAAGTCTTATGGCTTGACTGGTGTGCAGATTTTTGTTTAACATTGTATATATATCTCTCAACCTCAGACGCGCACCTCATAGAAATGGAGCTCCGCGAATTACACGCGAAGGGCGCTATACAGCCCGTTCAGGGACGGGGAGGTTTCTTCAGCAATATGTTCCTCGTTCGCAAGAAAATCTGAGATTTCAGACCGGTTATCAATCTAAGAGAGTTGAATGCCCACGTGACCTACCGTCACTTCAAAATGGAGGGCATACATTTACTAAGGGACCTCCTTCAATACAGGGACTGGTTTACACGTCTGAATCTCAAAGACGCATATCTAGCCGTCCTTAAAAAGGTTAAACACTAAATGGTAAGGATCGACACACCTCATTGTTACTTTCCCTGTACCTTTGTGCCCTGTCTTAATGTTCCTCTCACTCCCACTCTAGTGTTTCCCCCCCCCTGTCCCAAGTGTTTTCCGCCTCCCCCCTTGTTCCATAGTATATTTTTTCCTTCCTGCCACTCACTCCCCTGACCCATAGTGTTCTTTCCTTCCCCCACTCCCTCCCCTGTCCCATATAGTGTTCTTTCCTTCCCCCCACTGCCTCCCCTTTCACATATTGTTATTTCCTTCCCCCACTCTCCCAAAGTGTAACTTCCCCCTGTCTTGTCTCCCGCGGTACAGGAGGTTCAGTCTCCTGTACCCGGCTGGACTGACAGGAAGTGCTCTCTCAGTGAGCACTTCCGTTCACTCTGGCAGGGTACAGGAAACATAAGTTCCTGTACCACGGTGCGCACTTCTCCGCTAGGCCACAGTGTGTCTAGCATTATGGAGCGCTGTGTACCCACCTCTTGATGGTCACTCCAATCTAGCATCCCGTGGGCCGGTACGCCCCAACACGGCCGCTTGTGCCACCTTATGGACGCGCCGGCCCACCTCATTATTGGTATTACTGATGATTATCAGCCGATACTGATACTTACAACAAAAAATAAAAATAACATTTGGAATTTCGGCGAATCCCTACTAAAGGGCTCAATTCTCCTAATAAGCACAAATTGGCTATGAGAGATGCTAAACGAGGTAGAGCCCATGTAGTGTTCTTCCAAGAGACGAATTTCAAATGAGGTTGCATGCCTCGCTTTAGCTAACCTTGATTTCCATATGATTAACATGCCTGATATTCAGCCAAAAATGTGGCCTTTCTATTTTGATTGGCAGAGACAGAGTGTTTTCCTAAGTACAAAAAATTTTGTGACAAAAAGGGGCGCTACGTAATACTACAATGCCTCCTTAATAACAACCTTAATAACAACCCTGATTAACATTTATAGTCCCAACGATAATCAGCATGTATTTCTACTTAATGTACTGGTTTTTACCAATATGTATGGTTATGGGGAAGTAATCAATGGAGGTGACGAACTTTTTGAGTAATGCTCATAGCGCATATAGCCATCCTTCCCAAGCCAGGTAACCCCCGACAGTGTAAAAAACATTTGGCCAATTTCCCTGCTTAATGGAGAGGCAAAGATTTAAGCCAAACTCTTTAGTAACAGACTTGCCCCGCTACTCCATAAACTTATACATAATGAATAGTCGGGGTTCATACGAGGCCATCAAGGGTCTGACAACACGAGGAAGATGCTTAATACCCTGACTACTTTGGAGACCCGATGAAAATGAGGCCTTCTCCTCGCACTGGATGCGGAGAAGGTCTTCGACCGGCTTATCGGATCTTTCATGAACAGAGTACTGGCTAAATAAAAATTTTCCACAAGACACGATTCGAGGCATCATGGCGTTATACAACGCCCTGGCAGCTAAAGTCTCCCACGGAGGTTTCCTATCTACACCATTCTCCATCACGAATGGCACTCGCCAAGTTTGCCTGCTGTCACCCCTCTTGTACATACTTTCCCTTGAGCCTCTAGCATCCACAATCATCCTTTCATTAAAGGTATCCCCATTCATGGTAGAGAATACAGCTTAGCACTATTTGCGAATGACATTTTCATAGCCTTCTCTGACCCTCAAGATTCACTTCCATCTCTAATAGATCTACTACAACAGTTTGGAAATATCTCCCACTACCGTTTAAATCATGACAAAACCCAGGCCATCCCCATTAAGCTACCTATGGACCTGTAACTCCCTTTGCTCTCACTAGTCCTTCGACAGGAGATCAACCTTCCTTACGTACTTAGGGGTAAAAATTGCACCCACTAAAGGGAGAAAAGGAGAGAAGGAAGACAAAGGGAGAGAAAAAAGAAAACAAGAAAAAAGGGGAAAGGAAGAAGAGTATAAAGGATGGGAGAGAAGAAAGGAAAAGGAGAGGGGAAGTTAAAGTTAAAAGGATAAAAAAAAAAATTCTTGTTTTTTGTTCCTTTTTTTCCCTCCCTCTTGCTGTTTTTTCTTTCTTAAATTACCGTATCAGACAGAAAAAGTCAAACAAGATTTAAAATGGCAAATAGGAAACAGACAGAGAGACATCTAAAAAAGGATAAGAAAATAACCAATGAGCAAGATCAGAAAAAAAGGGAAGCTAAAACTGCAACATCCTTTTACACCCCCCCCCCCCACAAACAACTTAGAGAACAACTACAAATAATACTGAAGATTCGTCCCTACAAGAAGCAGAACAGTATTATCGAATCTACTAATACAGAAGAGTCACAGATTGATTTACCAGCTATACAAAGAAATGGAGGAGTCACTCCACAACACCTAGAAAAGGCACTATATCAACTTTTGGAACAACTAAAAGCGGAGATACAAACAAATTCTAAAATAATTAAAGATATCACAGAACTCAGCACTAGAGTTGAAAATCAGAAGATGTATAATTACATTAGAGAAAGGAATATATATTAAAATATATAGATGTATAATTACATTAGAGAAAGGAATTGGGAATATATGAACATAAGGAGTCAGGATTAGAACACACCCTTTTAAAAAGGGTAAAAGAATTCATGTGTAGATGGATTATTGGGATAGAAATTCAATCCTTCATATCTCACTTTATTTTTATGATTTACACTAAGTACTTTTTGATAAACAAAGTAAAGTAATATTAGAATAATGGAGAAAGAGATGGTTTACCCTTTATAATATACACTGAAATGGAGTAAAAAAGTCATAATCTATTATAATAAATTTGCTCAAAAGTAAAGAGCATATCCATAAGGGAGAAAGAGAAAAAAGGATTGTAATTATTTATTTTTTTTCCTTTATTTTCTCTTTTTTCCCTCCCTGTTTTAATACTCTCGAATTATAGTTGATAAATGGTCTGAAAAATAGTAGAGACAGAGAAGAATCATCATATATGATTTTTCCTTTCCTTTCTGTACTATATATATTTTTTTGTTGTTGTCTGCTGTAAGGGGGTACATGTGGAGGAGAGAGATTCTTGTTCACGTGTATATTATATGTGGGTTATTGTTAATGGAATATGCCATGTGGAACAGAAGACGAGCTTGTAAATATACTGATATCCAAATATGTTCAATTGGATGACATTGAATGTTCGGGGGTTAAATACTACTTTTAAAAGAACTATCTTATCTAAAACTTTAATAAAGTGCACATAGATAGTGGCTTAAATCAAATATCTCATTGGTCTAGAGCAGGGGTAGGCAACCTGTTAGCAGCACTGGGCCGATATAGTATTGTGATGTCCCGTAGCGTGCCGGTCCTATTTTTTTTAAATTGAGGTGTGTATGCTGCCGTATTCTGCTTGTGTTATTTATACTGTAATTGCTTTGTATCATTGTATTTGTGCGTATATGAGCTATTATATTGTATATGTTCAGGAGTAGTTTGTGGTATCGTGTATGATACATATGAATGTAAGCAGTGTATGGGGCTGCTTGTGGAATTGTGTGTGTAGATGGATATGTCACATTGTGTGTTTGGTAGTGTGTGTATGTGTGGGGGCTGTTTGGGGTATTACATGTGGGTTTGTGGATTGTTAGCGGGTTACGTTTGTGCGGATTGTATGTATGTATGTTTGTTTGTGGGCTGTTAGTATTATTTGTATGAGGGGAGGGTCATTGTGCATTTCTGTGTAAAACTAGCAGTGTGGGTGACTTCCATGGGTTCCAGTGGGGACCAAGCTGGCCAGGTACAGGTCAAGGATAGGAGCAGCAACAGCATCTGCAGGCTGCTCTACTACAGTGTGGATTCCCATTCACAAGTGCTGGGAGGAAGTCATCTGCAATGCATAAATTGAGGATTGTCCTTCACCACCTTTTCATATTAGCAGATATATGAAGTTTCACTGGGACTCCTGATAGGCCAGAGCCTGTTTGGCTGTAGCAGCCTTGAGTGCCGTGCAAAGACACCTTGTGTGCTGTAGGTTGCCTACCTCTGGTCTAGAGCAATAACAAAACAAAAAAATTGAGTATGCAAAAATGAGTGTGCCCTCAGGGCACTATAGTGGTCCTTTAAGGAAAATATTATATCATTGGATACTTTGATCAGTGCCATTTCAGTGTGCACTCTGGAACGGCCGCTACGTCTGCAGTAATTTAAAATAAACAGCCATACACAACTTTTTTCATCTCAAACTCACTCACACTACTTGCACTTACAGAGACCTGGCTGTCCCCCTCTAATAGCGCTACTCCGGCCTCTTTATGTTTTGATGGGCTACAATTCTCTCACACTCACAGACTCAACTGTAAAGGAGGTGGTATAGGCATCCTTCTCTCCCCTCAGTGTACCTTTCAACAAATCATAACTCCCCCTGCCCTATCCTTTTCTTGTTTTGAAGTTCACACTGTTTGCCTATTTAAATTCACTCCTTTAACCCCTTAAGGACCAAACTTCTGGAATAAAAGGGAATCATGACATGTCATGTGTCCTTAAGGGGTTAAAGGGACACTATAGTCACCAGAACAACTACAGCTTATTGAATTTGTTCTGGTGAGTAGAATCATTACCTTCAGGCTTTTTGCTGTAAACACTGTCTTTTCAGAGAAAATGCAGTGTTTACATTATAGCCTAGTGATAACTTCACTGACCACTCCTCAGATAGCTGTTAGAGATCCTTCCTGGGTCATGACTGCCTAAAATGCATCCAAACATTCAGTATCTACTCCCTCTGCATGTAACACTGAACTTTCCTCAGAGATTCATTGATTCAATTTATCTCTATGAGGAGATGCTGATTGGCCAGGGCTGTGTTTGAATCATGCTGGCTCTGCCCCTGATCTGCCTCTTTGTTAGTCTCAGCCAATCCTATGGGGAAGCACTGTGATTGGATCAGGCTACCACTTCTGATGATGTCAGCAGACTGTTTGTTTTTTGAGTCTAACAGCATGCAGAGTTACAGCTTCAGGCTTGAATACAGTAAGAATTTTACTATATTTATGGAGGCATGAGGGGCCCAGGGGGGCTAGATGGTGGTTTTAACACTATAGGGTCAGGAATACATGTTTGTGTTCCTAATCCTATAGTGATCCTTTAAGAATAGCTATCTCTACCACCCCTCCCCGCCCCTCCCCCCGGTCATCCTAGACTATTCCTTGAGCACTTTTCCTCCTGGCTTCCCCACTTCCTCTCATTTAGCACTCCTTTCCCTTGTACTTGGGGATTTAAATATCCCAATCAACAACCCCAGTTGCACAGATGCCTCTCGTCTGCTCATGTAACCTCTTCATTTGGCCTTATGCAATAGTCCTATTTAGCAACCCATTAAGCAGGAAACACTCTTGATCTCTCCTTCACCAATCTCTGTACCGCTTCTAATCTCTCCAATATTCCTTTTTCTCTGACCACCATATGTTGACTTTTGACATCAGCATACCTAAGACCCAACTGACACCACCGTCTGAACATCAATCTCACAGAAACCTCCAATGTCTTGACTTAGAGCATTTCTCCACTAATCTCAAACCTCACCTGTCCTAGCTCTGCAACAATTCCACCCTCTCCTCTCAACTAGACATCATGGCACCTCTTACATTTAAATGTAGCAAGCGCCCCCAACAAACAAACAAAAATGCTCCAGAACTGCTGAACGCTGTTGGAGAAAGTCTCACTGTGCGTCTGACTTTCTCCACTATAAATTTATACTGCGCTCATAGAGCTTAGCTCTTTCCTCTGCAAAAGTAAAATTACTTCAATACCCTCATAACACTCTCCCACGAACCAAAACAACTCTTTCACACATTTAACTCTCTTCTTCGCCCTATTGTTCCTCCTCCACCTACTAACTTGACCTGCAAATCACTTCACTGACAAGATCTCTACAATCAGGGGAGATTTTTTTTCTTCCCCTTACAATACTTCCCCTAACCTCACTCCCTTTGCTGTTCTATGTTCATTCCTACAACAGAAGAGGTTTCTGCTCTGCTCCAGTCCTGCCGCCCCACCACCTGCTCCCTTGATCCAATTCCCTCGCATCTCATCTATACTCTGTCTTCTTCTCTTTCTTCACCTCTCACTAAAATTCTCAATCTCTCTTTCCCCTTTGGCATATTTCCATCGCCCTTCAAACATGCAACTGTAAACCCAATTCTAAAGAAGCGTAACCTTGACCCTAACTCCCCATCCAACTACCGTCCTATCTTGCGACTGCCTTTTGAATCCAAGATCCTTGAAAGAGTTGTGTATGCGAGATTGACAGACTTCCTCGAGTCCGACTCTCTGCTAGACCCGCTTCAGTCTAGTTTCCGTGCTAAGCGCTTTGTGGATCTAATCGCTGCAAAATCTCGTGGTCACTACTCTATCCCAATTCTCCTTGACATTTCTGTGGCTTTTGACACTGTTGATCAACAGCTTCTTCTCTGTTCTCTATCTATACTGCCTCCCTTGGTAAGATCATTAGCTCCTTTGGCTTCCAATATCATTTACCACGCAAATCTACCTGTCCTCTCCCTGTCACTCTTGACTAGTGTCTCTGACTGCCTCTAACTATTTCTAACTGGATGGCTGCCCAATTCCTCAAACTCAGCTTGACCAAAACTGAAATTCTGGTCTTTCCTCCCTCAAGTGTTGCTACTCCTGTGTCTCCCTCCCTCCAAGTCAACGGTGCTACCATCAGCTCCACCACGCAGGCTCGCTGCCTAGGTGTTCTCTTTGACTCCAACCTCTCCTCCACGCCTCATGTTCAGTCTATCGCCAAATCATGTTGTTTCCATCTCAAAAACATAGCGCACATCCGACCCTACTTAACGCCAGATGCGACTAAGGTGCTGGTCCATTCCACTGTTCTTTCTCACCTTGACTACTGTAATCCGCTTCTCGGTGGTCTGACATGCTCCCAACTTACGCCGTTACAGTCCATAATGAATGCGGCAGCAAGGCTTATCTTCCTGTCTGCCCGAAACTCCTGCGCCTCACCCTTCTGTCAGCCCCTACAATGGCTTTCTGTATGATATAGGCCTCAATTTAAAATTCTGGTTCTCGCTTTCAAATGTACAGAATGCTGCTCCCACCTATCTATCCTCCCTAATACATAAGTATGTCCCGTCTAGACCCTTACACACTGTTGAAGACTTCTGTCTATCTTCTGTCCGTACTCCCACCTCTGATGCTCGCCTTCAAGGGCTGCACCATTCCTGGGGAACTCACTTCCCTCCTTCGTTAGATGCTCACCCAGTCCCCACTCCTTAAAAAAATAAAAAAAAATAAAACCCACTTCTTCATAAAAGCATTTGAATTAAACTATTAATAGCTCTCGACTGATTCCTCTCTTGCAACTGTGCTTAGTCTAATACTATCCTTACTTTTTGTGTCACTTTACCCCGGAATTTGTTGGTGCTATATAAATAATAAACTAATAATAATAACAACAACAACAACAACAACAACTATGGAAAGAAGGAAAAATTTCCCCCAACTCATGCTCGAGTTCTCCCTTCCAAATAGTAAAATTTTCACTCATTTAAGAGTAAGAGGCTTTCTGTTAAAAGAAAGTATGAGTGTTATTGATAATAAAAATAAATAAAAAAAACTACTGGGTATACCTCATGATTATTTGCTAAAACCTAAAGCCCTGAATAGCTGGGAGAGAGAGCTTGGACATGAGATAGATATAAATAATTGGTTTGGTATTATGTAGGGATGCAATGAAAATTTGGCTGCCAAAATTGGGCCCATGCCATTTCGGCCGAAAATGGGTTAAATCTGCCGAAAATTACACACCCCTTGTGTGTGTGTGTGTGTGTGTGTCCCAGATCTCTGCAATGTCTGACACCCAGTGTTATATAGCTAGCCCTGAGCTGTGCTAGGTGCTGCCCGTACCTCTCCTCCCAGCTCTGCGTCTCTTTGTGGGCAGCCCTTGGCCGCAGCGCCGCCCCGGGCTTTCCGTCCATGACTCAGGCGAGAGAAGACTTATACTATGACCTGCTAGATCTATGGCTGGCTTAGCATTGTGGGAGCTCTCTACAGCAGAGCAGTCTAGTCAGGGGTGTTTTGTTTCAGGGCCTACATTTACAGCAACTCCCATCACGATCAGCTGGCAGAGCACATGCAAGGCATGGTGGGGAGCATGCCACTAATAGAGCACCAGATGGTGATGAGCTGTAGTAATCTACAAAAGTAGCTTACTGGTCCACAGAAATTCCTTTTGGATTACTTTAGTATTGGGGAGTCAAATACATCATATGTTCCTGGTGACACTTATTCTATCTCTTGTTCATTTCTCTTATGTAACCAAAGCTCAATATGACCCACATGGTCAATACATGTCTCTAGATCTGAGGGGAAGTCTCTTGCTCCCAGCTCATCTTTTAGCCTCTTTGACAGACTGTTATAAAAGATGGCAACCAAAGAATTATTGTTCCAGTTAACCTTGGTCCCCATGTCACAGAACATTTTACTTAGATCACTCATTGAGAAGCTATAGTCACAGTGCACCCAAATCTATTGAGAGGATCACTGGCAGGATATCATAACTACCGCGTGTCAAGTTACCATGGATATGCATCCAGTATCCTAGGAAACCATCTAAGTGAACATATCTCCATGGAGATGGAGAATGTACACTATTTTTGGTATGGGCATTTAGACAGAGTATAGCTTGTATTTTATAATCTAATCTGAAATCACAGAAATTGAATAATAAAGTGTAATACTACCTATAAACGGTAATGCAGTAATATTAACCCAAATATAATGAATAAAAATTACTTTATTAGGTAAAAGTATTGCATAAATATATATACGTAGAATTAAAATTATATATAAAGATGTATCATATATTTATGTATAAAGATATATTATTTCATTCGAAGTGTATTTTGAGATATATATATATAAATATCAAAATACAGTTAGAATCAAAATTAATATCACTACGGGTATTTAGAATATATATATTAATATTAAAATACACTTAGACAGTGTAAAAAAAATAAAAAAAAATAAAAATATATATATATATTATATATATATATCCATATCCAAGTAGCAAGGGTGACCAGCACTGTATGCACTTTAAGATTACTTGGCTTTATTGGTTATATGCATTTATTTTTTATTATATTTAATATGACATACATACACTGTTCCTGGTCTCACAGTAGTCACTTTGTCAATGTGTATAATTACTCCACATATATATTTTTTTTCCACCACATTTTTAGCACTGTAGATCTGTGCACGGTATATGTGCTTAGTGATTGCCAACGTATTTGTCGTTGCGAGAAGCCGATCTGTTTTCCGGCCGTCTTGCCGACGTGCGTTGTGCAATTACGTAATTGTAGGGCGGGGTTTTTCCGCGCATGCGCGCGTGTGGTTTGGGGACGCCGGCGGCTCGTGCAGTATTACACTGGCAGGTAGGACTATTTCCTTTTTGTATATATTAGTTAACTATGTTAATTCTTGGAATACAATTTGTAATTTTGCCAATTTTCTCAATTACCAATTAGGCTAATTACTTCTTCTATTTATGTATGAGTCTTTGAGACATTATTGTTGTTCCTGATGAAAGTCCCAGAGGAGGACTGAAACGTTGAGCTGTCAACTATTTTTTTCATTAAACTTTGGATGTTTTAATTAAAATTATGAATCTGTGAGTGCTGGTCACCCTTGCTACTTGGATATTGGATTTTTCCCCAGGACTACAAGCACCCGGTATGTTGTAACCTATAAGCCTGAGTGCAAGGATTTTGTGTTTTTATATATATATCAGATCTAAGTATATATTATTTTATTTTACACTGTGTTTTAACTTTATTTAAATTTATTTCACATGGCCCAGGAGAGCAGGTTCAGATGCAGGGGTACTGCCTAGGATGCCAGGCAAGTCCCCCCATCGCGATCGCCGGCGGATAATCCTGGCGATCAGGTAAGTGGGAAGAACGGAGGACGTACTATGTCGCCCGCCGTCCTTAAGAGGTTAAATAAATTAAGAATACAAAAACCTGCGTTGCATCATCCAATATGTATTGTATTGTATGTTTTTGTCTTGTAATTTTTTAATTATGTATGTTTTATTGATATATATGAGAAATAAAAAAAAAAATAATGAATATTTCATATGCTAACCCTGTTGATTGATAATGTTTGGGACTAACAGTCCCATCACTCACAGAGTTTGAAATTGCCTTATTGTGATTGCTGTACTATACAATATTTTGTTCAGTGTTATTGAAAACTATTCACCATCATCTATGTTTACACCTATTAACAAAAATAAATATAATTTTGATAAAAAGTTGTGATATTAATGTATGAATATTAAATTCGAACAACGTATTCTAGGTCTAAAATAGTGAGTAACTTTGCTTTTTTATGTAATTATTGGGAATAGCGCCAATAAGCACCAATATTTTATAAAAATATTTTTAATTAATAATTAATCCCCATAAATATTCTCATGATACTGTACAAACTAATGGACAATGAAATTGTCATGAGCCAAAGAAATATGGCATGGAGAAGATGGCGGAGATAAGGGACAGTTTAAAGGGTTACTCCAACCACCATGACAACTTCTGCTTTTAGAAGCGGTCATGGTGACAAGAGTCTATATATGTGCAGCCTTCCTGCTTGAAAACACACATACTAAGATATTTTAACTTTAATGCCGGGGGCATTGCTTGGAAAAAATAAATAAAAAGAATAATCACTTTATCTGCAAATCACACTTTAGTAACAAATACTGATAGTTTTAAAATCATAGGTCATATGCCATAACAAAAGTTGAAAAAGCTATCTAAATACATCAAGGTATTTTTTTCCTGTTACCAACATGTTGTGTCTCACAATAGCTAAATAAAATGAAAACCATAAGAACCATACCTAAAAACAGAAGATCCTCCTCGTCCTGTGCCCAACGGATCACCAGTCTGTATAATAAAGTCTCTCTAAACAAAAAAACAACAAATTTTACTTAATCGCAAATTCTTTTTTCCTTAGTAAAGCGACACTACAGGAGTTATGTTCTACCTTCAGGTGGACGAGTAGTCTATAATAAAACGTGAAAAATTATTTGAGGAAATCCACCCCATCATATCTTAAACACTTGATCCCACAGACTCGGTAATAGCAAGAAATAATTCCGGTCAACTTGATTGATGACCATATCGCCACTTAACAGATGTTCTCAGGAGAGTCAAATGCTTTTGTTGCCCTACATGTAGCCATAGCTCTTGTGGTATGTGCCTTTATAATGGTAGATAGTGATTGCCCATTTAATTCAAAGGCCATCTAGATGGTCTCTGTCAACCACTAGTGATAATTGCCTAGGATGCTTCCAAATGTGCACTTTGAAGATTAAAGGGTTATTCTGAACGATGAAGAACAGGTGATATAGATCTCAAGGGTTCTTCCCTCCTGGATTCCTGAGGATTAATCATGCCATCAGTTTTAACATCTTCAGTGTTTCCATTGGGAGTTCCTTATTCTCCACAATCGGTTCTCTGATAGGAAGATCACAACTTGACTAGGCCATCAGTCTCTGAAAATCAACTTTGGTTTGGCCAACAAGGAATGATGGAAATCGCAGTTGAGCTTTTTTAAAACAACGACTACCTCACAATCCTAAAATTATTTTTAGAAAAGGGACTAGTTTTAAAGATATTTTATCACCAAGCACTTTTCGTTCCACCAAAGTAGGAGCTAAAAAAAAGGGATTCTATACATGTGGCAATTGCAAAAGTTGCAATTAGAAGTATACTGTTGTAAAGGAATTTAATAGTAATTGAACTTTTGAGAAATTTAAAGGACCACTATAGTGCCCTGAGGGTGCCCCCACCCTCAGGGCCCCCCTCCCGCCAGGCTCTAGGGGGCGGAAGGGGTTAAATTTACCTCTTTTTCCAGCGCCGGGTGGGGGACCCTCCTCCTCATCGCCTGAATGCGGCACGAGCCGCGCATTCAGCCAGTCCATAGGAAAGCATTCCTATGGACGCTGGCGTCTTCTCACTGTGAGAAGCACGTCTAGCGGCTGTCAATGAGACAGCCACTAGAGACTGGATTAACCCTATTATAAACGTTTACAGCAAAAAAGGGTTAATCCTAGCTGGACCTGGCAACCAGACCACTTCATTAAGCTGAAGTGGTCTGGGTGCCTAGAGTGGTCCTTTAACCCCTTAAGGACACAACTTCTGTAATAAAAAGGGAATCATGACGGAATATATCCATCATGTGTCATTAAGGGGTTAAGATCAAAAGCCTATTTACCTGTTCTTCTACTCATGTTGTATACCTGCTAACTTGTAGTTGCGGTATGCAATATGTAGGGAGGATGGGTAGAAAGGCGAAAACCAGATTTTTAGAACATAAAAACAAAATTAAGAAAAATCTACAAACTCACTCAGTCCCTGTACACGGCATGAAATGCCCCACTTTTAATTTAAATGATTTACAATGTGTTGATATCGAACAAGTTTCTTTAGATCACAGGGGCGGGGATCTTGTGACTAAACGGAGACAGAGAGGGTTGGATTCACAGGCTGCAAACTTTGCGGCCAAAAGGTCTTAACGTAGATTTTGACCTGATGTGTTTTCTTTAGGTTTATCATTTCATATAATTTTCTTATCTCTATTTTTATTCTATACACTTCATATTTTATTTCCACATTTCTTTTCAATATCCCTATTCTCTCTCTCGCTCTGTCATTTAGTCCAATATTACATTTACCTTGTACATATATTCATAATGTTACCCATTTTTACTTTTTAATCATGTATGCATTATTAACTTAACGTTGCAGTTTGTTAATCCTTTGTTTCTTTTGTTATATATTTTCGTATCGATTTATTATGGACTATATGAACTCATATCCGTAATGCGAATGGAACGCATTTACGAGTGTGGAACGCATACCGGCGAAAGATGATGGCATCATCAGACCATTGACGGAACCCTACACGAAAACGAGACTTGGAATGCAAGTCTCAGAACAATGAGTTACAGCTGTGATACCTCCATGCGGATAGGCTGATGGCAACATGCAGGAACTTTTGTATGTATTTATAGCGTTCCACAGACTCTCACGGATCAGACTGCATAAGGATATGTACTGATGCCTTATTGCCCCTAAAGAAGTTCATGATTTGAACGAAACACGTAGGGCTTTTTTGTTATGTGCTATTAGAGTTTCTTTTATTTTTATTGTATTTTACTCTGGCGCTTCGAGAAGGATTTTAGCACACTCTGTATTCCAACAGTGGGAGTGCCTGCCTTCTTACATCGAGCAATTTCCTTGAGATGTGCCTATCTTTTGCTTTTATCTTGTAAGTGCAAGGTTTATAAAAAGGTTTACCCGGTTATAGAAACTCTGCACTATTATCTTTTTATTTTTCTCCTATATGCTATGATATAGATACGAAGATACCCTTCAACATATTGATATGCCTTTTTACAGATCTCAAATTTAATCTTTGCATTGTAGATGCCTGTTTTTTGGTATGTGTATTTCCAATCACAGTTGATGTCTGATCTCATTTTCTGTAGAATATGTTGAGTCAGAGACTTTTATGAAAATGCATACTAGGCTGAAGTCCCATGTGACAGATAGGCCATGTAAATAATCCAGTTGATCTGTCCAGGACAGGGAAACAAGTTAGTACTTTCCTGTTCAGCCTTGTTGCCATGAGATCTATTCTTGATTGGCCGATCTTTTTTGTGATTTTACAAAACATTTTCAGGTCTAGCCGTCATTCTGTTTATGTCCACTGTTCCTTGGTCATCACCTGCTATAACGTGGTCTACTACTCCTCTGATGAGAATAGCTGAAATGGCTTCTAGTCTTCTTCTGACCACAACATGATCTGTGTGCACAGGCAGGACAAGCTAGTCTTGTACCTCCTTGTTTGTTCAGTAAGGGGACAACTGCAATGTTTGATTGAATCCTTACAGGTTTCCTGTGGTCCATGGCTCGAAAGAAAGTAGAGCCTTCAGAAGTGCCTTTAGTTGCCTGATGTTGAAGAAATGCTGTGCCTCTTCTTTAGTCCACCTGCCTCGGCGAATTACAGTATTCAGGTTAGCGCACTAACGAGTTATTGAAGCGGCTGTGGTAATTGTAAGCCAATCTTTTTGGCAGAAAGAAAATGCCTAGACTCAGGAAATCTGAATTATTCCACCATTTTAGCTCGTTTACAACATTTGTGGACCACTGAAGAGGTCTTAATCATGCTCTTGCCTACTGCTGGAATACACAACATGAGGATTCCCAGTGTTCTCATTGCCTGAATGCTAGAGCAGGCTGAAATCGGTTCGCAGAGTCGAAACCTCTTTTTTGATCTTTATTATATTCTGACAGGGAAGAGAGATATAGAGACTTTTAGGAAAACACGAAAATGAATAGGTGCTAAGGAAACAACTGACTAGACTTACGCAGCAAACACTGGGTACAGGGGATATCTGCAAAACCTAAAAGTAGACAGCATAACATACAAAAAAAACAAGTTGCACCAAAAGGTGTAAACCAGTATAATCTAATAAGAAATATATATACACATACATACACACACACACACACACAGTAAAAAAAAAAAAAATATATATATATATATTCACAGTCCAAATATCGCAATCCTATCTGTTTCTGGATTCTTGGGGAATGTTGGCTCTTAATGCTTGCAAATATATGTAGGGAATTCTCTTGATAGTGCAAATTGTTTTGGCAGAAAAATAGGACTCAGAACAGCAGTATATGAGGTAGCACTCACATTATAGAGCTTAAATTAGCTCAAAGTAAGATTGCTTGCAGTGGTACAATCCCAACTGATGGATATAACGTATAAGGCAAAAATCTCAATGTGCAGGCAGGTATATGAATGAAAAAGAAAATATCCAATAGTGCTCACTGTAAACATAAATATGTGATGCAGTACAAAAATTTTTTATTATACTCACATTTGATAGAGTGTTAAGTTGCTCAAATATCTGTGCATGGGTGGTATAATCCCCACCAGGGATATGTTGGGGAATAGTTGTCCAGAACTGAAGTTAGGTGTGCCAGGAACAAATAAACTTTTAAATTGCATACAAAGTGTAATAAATGGTCTATCACAACAAAGTGAATTAAAACCAAATGTACTTTAATGCTTAAAATAAAACATAAAAGTTACAATATTACACAACACGTTTCACCAATAAAGGCTTTTTCAAGTGTAAACAGATTGACCTGGCACATAGGAGTATTATATAGGGATATGGTAATTAAAAAATAGCTATTTTGGCACCAAAAATACATAATTTGACCTCAAGTTTACATGTTATGTACTATACTGAATTATGAAAAACCATTAATATAATTACTAGTGGATACATTTAATTTATTCATAGGATAATGGAACAGTAGTAAAGGACCACGTTTTGTGTGGATTAAAATAGTATAGAGTTTATGTTTTGGATGTCAGAAAATCCACCCACAGGAAGTGGTGAATTGGCCATTTTGGATATGGGTATTAAGTGTTTGGTAGTTATTATAGCTGGAAAACTGCTAGTTTTGGTAAGCTATCAATAAGAGGTAGAAAAGGGTCAGTATCTGAGTGAGCAGATGTTTTGTATAATAAATATGCTCATATCTGAGCAGTGCTTAAACTTAATACAACAGGTAGTACAGGAACAGAGCTGCAGCCATTCTGGATGTGGGCAAATATGTCACGAAAGCACCCTACTCCAAGAGTGTGTGTGAGGTAGTTGTGGTAGTGAAAGGGTTAACGTTCACTATTTATCAAAAAGAACCAAGAGGAAAGAATTCCACTTGGAACTGCAGGGAGGAAAAAATAATGAGAGGAAAAAAAAAAAAAAAAGTGGAATATCCACTAACCAACTGGTAAAACAACCCACACCCTAGGTTGAATAAATACACAAATACTAAAATAGAAAAACCTAATACTTTAAACCAGGAGTGGATATCCACACCAAAAAGTAAATATCAAAAAGAAAAGAAAAAACTAAATCGCTTGACCTACACCGTACTACTAAATAGCTATTATAGCCAATTGGTGCAATATGAGAATAAAATGATTACAATTGGATAAAGTCCACAGTCTTAATACAAATGTACAAGAGTCCAGAGAAAGTCCTTATGATGTATGCTCATATGGAAATCAAATAGCTTGTATACCCCTACATATATAGCAGGGAAACTAGCCAGTATGAGCTAATTATATAGTAACAAACTGAATGCAAGTAACAAATATCAGTATGTTACAAAAAAAAGAAACAAACAGCCGTCAGACGAAACAGAAGTATAACTGTGTAATGGACAGTTGTACATCTAAAATAAAACAAAATCGTTCCTTAAGTCTGCTGACCAACGATAGTGCTGAGTGATATACAAATCTTCCCAAAGTCACAAGGTATTTTTAAGATAGACTTTATTGGGCGAAAAGATATAAGTGCATTAAAAAATATAAATGCATAAAAACAGCTCACAGAAAGCGAATGAAAGGGAACTTTCCTTTTGATGTCTTCCTCCAAGTGTTCTGCAGACTCTAGGAATACTGCCTCCTCAAAGCCGGCTTCAGAGATAGTATCAGAGTCGTTGTGAGAAACAGCTCGTCGAGGGAATCCACCGCGTGCGTTCCACTGTGAGTGTGTGTACGGAAAGATGCAGCCTTACGCGTTTCGTGACGTCCTGTCACTTCATCAGAGGTATCTGATAAAGATGCACTTATATCTTTTCGCCCAATAAAGTCTATCTTAAAAATACCTTGTGACTTTGGGAAGATTTGTATATCACTCAGCACTATCGTTGGTCAGCAGACTTAAGGAACGATTTTCAACTGTCTATTATACTTCTGTTTCGTCTGATGGCTGTTTGTTTCTTTTTTTGTAACATACTGATATGTTCCTTGTCCCATTCCAAATATAATAAAAATGAGGCTTAATTATTAAGCTGTGGGTAAGTATTAATGTTTCTCTTGGATATAATACTGGAACACAAGGAAGGCTCTTCATGAAACTAATACCATTACCATATCAAAAGGATTGAACTATCAATTGAGAGTTTCCGGCCAAAGTCAGTTAGTTTACATTGAAACTAGTCATACAGATGGCTTGAGTGTAAAATGTTTCACCTTGCAGGACCTTTGAAAGTTCAAAAACGGCATTCCGTTTCACACCTTGCAGAAGCCCCTTTTGATCAAAAGAGCAATTTCTCTCTGCCATTTGTCCTCTAGCCATGGGTCCAATTATTGATGCACTGCACAAGTTATATTAAATAGCAATATTCCATAGTGCAATAATAAATTATGCACCCTTGCAGTGACAGGCAATACTAGGGAGTTTAGGCTGAAACTAAGGGAAACCAAAAATAGATCCAAAATACATATTACACTTACATAAATATGCTTCTAAATGAATAATAGATAGGAGGGAGTGAGGGCATAAAATACACTTGGGAATGAGATATATGATGGTGTTAAATACCTTTACCACGGCTGTTTTTAGAGTAAGGCTGAAAGTTCATAAGAAGCACGTCCAGCCGCCATTCCGCTCGGGCCCCGACCCCATTGCATCACATATTTATGTTTACAGTGAGCACTATTTGATATTTTCTTTCATATACCTACCTGAACACAGAGATATTCGCCTCATAAGTTATATCCATCAGTGCGGATTGTGCCGCTACAAGCAATCTTACTTTGCGCTAATTTAAGCTCTATAACATGTGAGTGCTACCTCATATACTACTGTTGTGAGCCCTATTTTATGCCAAAACAGTTTGCACTATTATTTGTCACTTTGTGTCTCGAAACATATATATGCAAGCACTTTAACCAAGAACCGACATTTAAATTGTTCCAGTCTGATAAGGACTCCTTTACACATATTCTAATTGTAGAAAAGTCTGGTTTTCTAAATTTTCTAACTTTTGTTTTTGTGAGGTGTGACTCAATCACTATTCTTAAATTAAACCACACCGACTGATGATCACCTCTTTACGAGCTGGCTCCTCAACGACTTGTTTTAGAGACCATCCCAGTAGGGAGTTTAGAATGTGTGGGCCCCTGGCACAAGCAGCTATTTTTGTTTTCCAATTCACATCAAAAAGATTAAAGTCACCCATGATGATAACTTCCCCCTTCATTGTCATTTTAGCTATTTCCTCAACTAGTAGATTATCTAACTCTTCTATTTGTCCTGGGGGCCTTTCAAAACGATTCAATTCTGTTGTGAACATTTCTAAATGATTTATCTACAAAAATTCCTATAGATTTTAATGGTGACTTCTGTAGATAAATCACTTCAAAACTTTTCTAAATCATTTGGAAAGCTTATTAAATCAAGGCCTTGGTTTAAAGACGGTGTACTCAAACATTTTACTAGTACAGTAGTATTAAACAATTCTATAACCTACACCATTTAAAATTGTTTTGGTAAAAAAGTCAAAATAATACTCACTTGGACATTGTGAACAAGGCAATAATTGTAGTATTTGATTTTGCAGAGTTTCAGAAAATTTAAGGATGCTGAAGGAGGAGAAAAAAATAAAAATAATTTAGGGCAGGACACACTTCACAAAAGCTGTATCTCTTATATGGGTGTCTGTATCCATGTCCAAATAAATATATACACATACATTTAATTTCTAAGATAATAGTCAAGCATAAACGTTAAAGGACCGCTATAGGCACCCAGACCACTTCAGCTTAATGAAGTGGTCTGGGTGCCAGGTCCACCTAGGATTAACCCTTTCTGCTGTAAACATAGCAGTTTCAGAGAAACTGCTATGTTTACTTTAGGGTTAATCCAGCTTCTAGTGGCTGTCTCATTGACAGCCGCTAGAGGCGCTTCCGCATTTCTCACTGTGATTTTCACAGTGAGAAGACGCCAGTGTCCATAGGAAAGCATTGAGAATGTTTTTCTATGAGACTGGCTGAATGCGCGCGCGCATGTGCATTCAGCCGATGACGGAAGAAGAGGGAGGAGATTCCCACGCTGGAGAAAGGTAAGTGTTTAACCCCTTCCTCTCCATCCAGCCCGGATGGAGAGGAATCTCAGCACTGAATCAATGCTGTCCTATTGGGGAAGGACTAATGCGTGCACAGCATTCAGTGCTGACTTTGGAGGAGATGGAGCCAGCGTCGAGGGACCTCAGCGCTGGCATGCAGTAACTGTAAAAAAAGTTTTTAACCCTTACTTGATGGCGGAATCGAAGTTGGGGGCTTAGGAACACAGAACACTTTAGTGTTAGAAATATATAGTTTTGTAAGGAGACAAAGTCAATGCACCAAATCCACCTCACTAATATTACCTGATTTTTGTACTTAGAATGACCCTTTAATAAAATATGCATATGGTTATACTTACAGAGGAGACAAAATTTATAGTGCATCCCATATCATTCCACTTAAAAAAAAAAAACTTCATTATTTGAGGAACCTACATTAACCCCTTCGCGACCGAGGACGGTTCAGGACCGTCATCGGCATTTTTGCGTTGCCGACCGATGACGGTCCTGAACCGTCCTAACGGTCAGAGGTACTTACCTGATCGCCGTCGTTCCCCCGGCGGCGATCAGCGTGGCTCCGGTTGTGGGGAGACTGCCTGCAGCCCAGACAGTCTCCCACACTGAATTAGGACCCCTGTGGCCATGTGATCGCTTAACACAGCGATCACATGGTCACAATAGGTGTCCATGTGTCTGCCTGCAGGGGGACTGTCTGTGCTGACAGGCAGTCTCCCTGCTAGTGTAAAATCAGAAGAAAAAAATAAAGTTAGTGTTAATAAACATAAAAATAAAAAATTATATGTGTATATATGATATATAGACATATATTATATCTATATAATATATGTCTATATATCATATATATAATGTCATACTAAGTGTATTTTTATATTAATATGTACTTATATTGATATAAAAATACACTTATAATTAAATTACACGTATATATAACTATATATATATATATATATATATATATATATATATATATATATATATATATATATAAAAATAATACGAAATATACATGTCCATATACAAAATTACATAAATAAACGTAGACTTCAAATATATAAATATGCATATATATTTAAATTCTACGTGCGTATTTATGTAATATTTTTACATAATTCAGTAATTTTATTGATTGCAATTTGAGGGACCTGCCTGCCAACCCAGGCCGAAATTCCAGAGAATTTAATTTGCTAGCACTGTATTTTACCCTGTAACGTTCTACGACACCCTAAAACCTGTACATGGGGGGTACTGTTTTACTCGGGAGACTTCGCTGAACACAAATATTAGTGATTCAAAACAGTAAAACATATCACAGCGATGATATTGTCAGTGAAAGTTGACTTTTTTTGCATTTTTCACACACAAACAGCACTTTTACTGATGATATAATTGTTGTGATACGTTTTCCAGTTTTTAAACACTAATATTTGTGTTCAGCGATGTCTCCCGAGTAAAACAGTACCCCCCATGTACAGGTTTTATAGCATTTTTGAAAGTTACAAGGTCAAATATAAGGGTCAAATATTTTTACATTGAAAATGGCCAGGTTGGTTACGTTGCCTTTGAGAGCGTATGGTAGCCCAGGAATGAGAATTACCCCCATGATGGCATACCATTTGCAAAAGAAGACAACCCAAGGTATTGCAAATGGGGTATGTCCAGTCTTTTTTAGTAACCACTTGGTCACAAACACTGGCCAAAATTAGCGTTCAATTTAGTTTTTTTACTTTTTTCACACACAAACAAATATGAATGCTTACTTTAGCCAGTGTTTTCGACTAAGTGGCTACTAAAAAAGACTGGACATACCCCATATTGAATACCCTGGGTTGTCTACTTTAAAAAAAATATGTACATGTGGGGTGTTATTCAGAGATTTATGACAGATAATAGTGTTACAATGTCACTATTGATAAATTTTAAAAATGTATGTTTTGAAACCGCAATATCCTACTTGTACCTATAGCCCTATAACATGCAAAAAAAAGCAAAAAAGCACGTAAACACTAGGTATTTTTAAACTCAGGACAACATTTTGAATCTATTTAGCAGTTTTTTTCATTCGCTTTTGTAGATGAGTAAAAGATTTTTCAAGTAAAAGTAAAAAAACATGTATTTTTTTCAATTTTTCATCATATTTTTTTTATTTTTTTTTAAATTAAAATACATGAGTTTATATAAATAATGGTATGTAAAGAAAACCCCTTTTGTCCTGAAAAAAACAATATATAATTTGTATGGGAACAGTAAATGAGAAAGCGGAAAATTACAGCCAAACACAAACACAACAAAAGTGTAAAAATATGCCTGGTCGCAAATGTACAACATCGCAAAAAAGATCCAGTCCTTAAGGGGTTAAAGTAAATATCAGTCCATACCTCCCAACATTTAAAATGGACAAAGGGAAACTAATTTTAAGGGTGTTCGTGAGGGTGTGGCCAAGGATGGTGTTGTTCTGAGAATTTTTATGTGACTTACCAATTAACATATTTATGCAAATAACATGTAAGTTAGAAGAACAAGTTATTTACACAGGCTGATTTCTAAATGCATTAATTGTAGTTAAAAGACACTACTAAATGACACTCACTAATTATTGGGAGTGCATTATTGCTGTGGAGCTGTTACACACACGCTGATAATCTTAGAAAAAAAGAGGGACAAAGGGGTAGAAAAGAGGAAGAGGTAGATGTAAGCCCAAAATAAGGACCGTCCTTCCTAAATAGGGACACTTGGGAGGTATGCCAATACAGCCTTAATAGGAATATGTAGGAATAACCATAATAAGTAAAGAAGCAATGCTCATCCTGTATTCCAGCATATTGCCTACCATGCACACACACACGCGTCAATGAAAGCATGAGCTTTACATGAGCCAGCAGCTTAGCATTCACACACCATACTTGCTCACAGCACGGTGTACCTCTGGGTCTCTCCTCAGTATAAAGATCTATAACAATGTCCCCCAGCGTTGTTTCCAACAGCACAGCCATTGCAAAGCCCCGTGTCTACCACTCAGCTACTGGTAAACGTCACCAAAGCGCGACTTGACATGAATCCACACCAGTATGGACCGACACGCCATTCAAATTACTGGCGGCGAGTTCTAAACACGAGAGAAAAACGCAAAGTGTCACCTGACTAACAAAACTCTCATCGGTTCTAAACTCAAGAGAGTGACGAAGTTCACAACGTTATTAGAAAACCTGCTGCCTCGGTTGTTTGAAAGTCATGCTGCGTGTTTCTCTTGTATCCAGCCACCGAGATAAAACTATATTAAAACTTGTCTCCAGTGTTATATACACGACACAATGAAGAAATATTTTTTTCTGGGGTTTGACTGACTTTCAAAGCTCCAACAAAATGTCCCCCGCATCGGAGACAGTGACATGTTGCGAATGGCACTCCTCGCGGGGGGGTAATTGCTTAATGTGTAGGGTGATAGCACTCCATATTGTGGTTGGCAGCACGTGGGAGCCATGTTGTGAATGGCAAGGCGTAGTTATGGGATGCCAATGTGACAGGCTCAGCTGTGTTAGCGTGTTTTGACAATTGCCATTGGGAGCATAGCGTTTCCTGGTTTTGCTCGTGTGCGGGAACATAGTTGTTATAGTAGAGTAATAATGGTGGCGGGGCACGGGGGAAAGGGATGCTCCACTTCATAGTCTCCTCCTCTCTGCTCCTCCTTCAACACATCATTTCTGGTTTTGAGTGTGGGAGAAGATGGTGCACTGTTTACCATTTTCAAGGCCCAGTTGGATTCTCCTCTCGTGTTTATCTTGTATCACCCTGATAGCCACGACCAGCGCGCAGAGCCATCAAAACAGACCATCCGTCCAGGTAGATATAAAACCAGTTCTTTCAGGGGTTGTTTCTTGAGCAATGTAAGTTGTTAACAAACTATGTACCCATGTTTGGTTAGTATTATTGTACTCTACTGGTTTTCTGTTGTGTTTATACCAAGTTAAAAAAAAAAAAAAAAAAAGTATTATAATTCTCACTTCTTCCATAACCAGTTAAATGGATATTTTTTATTTTTTTTATTTTTTTTACAAAGCTTAATGTTTGTTCATTTTATGAAGAATAGATTTGCTCATTAAAGTCCATAACCCTCACTACTGTTTCTTGCTGTATGGGAGCAAGGATCTACAAGTTATTACATTATAAAGGCAATAACCAATAATTTTTTCTCAGTTATCAAATATCCTAGTTTATCATCTTATAGGGACACTATACTCACCAAAACAGCTTTAACTTTAATAAAGCAGTTTTGGTGTTTTAGATCATGCCTCTGCAGTCTCATTGTTCAATTGTCTGCCATGTAGGAGTTAAATCATGTATTTATTTTAAGCCCTAGTCACACCTCTCTGCATGGAACTGACACAGCCTTCCTAAACACTTCCTGTAAAGAGTAATCTAATGTTTACACTTCCTTTATTGCACAGACTGTTTAATTTAGAATGTCTTATCTCCTGCACTATCAACAGTTTGCAATTTAAAGAGCAGGAGATGAAAACTTATAAAACAAGTTAAAGGACCACTCTAGGCACCCAGACCACTTCAGCTTAATGAAGTGGTCTGGGTGCCAGGTCCCTCTAGGGTTAACCCCTTTTTTTTTTTTTTATAAACATAGTTTCAGAGAAACTGCTATGTTTATAAATGGGTTAATCCAGCCTCTAAAGCCTCTAGTGGCTGTCTCATTGACAGCCGCTAGAGGCGTTTTGCGTGCTTCTCACTGTGAAAATCACAGTGAGAAGACGCCAGCGTCCATAGGAAAGCATTATAAATAAATTTCCTATGAGACTTGCTGAATGTGCCCGCAGCTCCTGCCGCGCATGCGCATTTAGCCCAAGAGGAGGAGGAGAGCTCCACGCTCGGCGCTGGAAAAAAGGTAAGATTTAACCTCTCCCCAGAGCCCGGCAGGAAGGGGACCCTGAGGGTGGGGCATCCTCAGGGCACTATAGTGCCAGGAAAACGAGTATGTTTTCCTGGCACTATAGTGGTCCTTTAACATAACACGTTTTTGAAAATGAAAGCATTTTCCTCATGTAGACTGTGCAAGTTGTAGACAGAGGAGGAGGTGTGGCTAGGGCTGCATAAAACGTAAACAAAAGTGATTTATCTCCAGAATGGCCATAAATTTAGCATTGAGGCTTCAGAGGCATTAACTATACCCAAAAACTGCTGTGAAGCTATAACCTTAAGGTCAGCGGGCATTATGTCGTCCTGCACAATGTGGACTTTAAGCCCCCTGGCAACCCAGGCAGTCTTCTGCAGCCAATCACATGAGACCAGATCGGCAGTGAGATGGTGAAATAGGAGTGTTGTTCTTTCACAACGCAAGTCCCCTGACAAACCATTGCACCCTTGTGGGTTCAGTTACAGAAAACATACGCAAGCCAAACGCAATTATGACATAGGAAATGGTGTTATTAGGCATCTCCTAGAAGGATCTAAGGATCCTATCATAGTTTTGATCAATCATAACAATCTGTCGTGCTGAGAAGTGGCAAATAGGCTAAATTCCCAGCAGGCTAGATGGTTTAATCTCCATTTTAATTTAATTTTATTTTTTTCAACAATCTTTATATTTAGTTTCACATAGAGAAAAGGAAATAGAAATACAATGGTTAACATATACTGTGTCATGATATAGAGAATTAAAGAATACTTCTCTATGTCCAAGCAGTTAAAGGGAAACTATAGTTCCAGGAAAACAAACGCATTTTCATGGGACTATAACTTCACCCTCTGTCAAGCCCGATGTCCCTCAGTGCTGGCTCAGCTCCGCAAATGTCCCCCCCCTTTCCTCCCCCACCACCATCAGCTGGCGGAAGAGACCTAATGCGCATGCACAGCAATGGGCGTGCTCGCATCAGGATTTCCCCATAGGAAAGCTTTATTTAATGCTTTCGTATAAGGATTCCGGTGACACTGGCAGTTCTCATACATAGCGTGAGGACGTCCAGCGTTATTTAGGCGACCAAAAGTCACCTATGCACCCGGAAGTCCCTCTAGTTACTGTTTAATAGACAGCCACTAGAGGAGGACTTACCCTATCAGGTAATTATTGCAGTTTATAAAAACTGTAATAATTACATACTCAGGGTTAAAGGTGATGGGACTTTGCACGCAGACCACTTAAATGAGCAGCAGGTGTGTTTTGTATGTTTAAGTGACCTATTCCCCTCCTATCACATGGGGGAAAAGGCGTTTACTGGAGCTGCGGCTGGCCCCACCTCCATGGCTGAGATCATCAATCTTGACGATCTCAGCCAATCCAATGCTTCCCAATAGGAAAGCATTGGGAGACTATTACGCATGCACAGCAAAATGCCATTCGACCAATCAACTTCTCATAGAGATGCAGTGAATCAATGCATCTCTATTGGGAACATTAACGTAGGTTCTGCACAGTGTAAAGGACTGACCCGAGAAGCACCTCTAGAGGCCGACTGAGTAACTGTCACTATAGGTATCACCAGGAAGTAATGTAAACACTGCATTTTTGTCTGAAAAGTCAGTGTTTACATTTAAAAAGCATTCAGGGACAGGATATAGACTTCAGAATAACTACATTAAGCGGTAGTGGTTCTGGTGACTATAGTGCCCCTTTAAGAATTGTATTTTTGGCGTTGAAAAACCTAGCTCCTAACTTTTTTTTAGCTGGCTCCTATCTTCCAAACACTTTTGTCAAGCCCTGATTTATGAGTTTGTCTGTTTCTTTATATTTAAAATAAACATATGATGCCACATGATATCTAATATAGTGAGGAGCTGTTTGTGTGTGTGATGTGGTATGTAAGTTCTGTCTGAATGCTGTATTTGCCGGCATTTTCGGCATGTGTTGAGTGATGCAAATTACATCATGAAGCTCCAGCATGCCCAGTAAGGCGTGTCATTACTGTAACTCATAGAGAATCACTGGAGCATGGCCATTGGTGGACAATTCACCTGAAATACAGGAAGCAGGGGGAAAGCAAAAGGGGAAATTATATGAAATTAGAGGACGAGCAGAACATCAGATCATAGTAAAGATTATAAACGGTACTTCTAATGCTAATTTTTACACTATTTTAGGGGGATGTGCATTTTTTTTTAAATTTATTTATTTACTTTTTACCTTTACATTTCTTTTAAGGTCTGCATTCAGGAGAGAAAGGGGATGGTAGTTTGTGCAACACAAGAGGTCCTTTCCCTTCTTAGGTATGAGTGAGTTTCTGGGACATTGGCCCCCAGTCTGGATAAGTTCTGTCTAACCAGAAGCTTAGGTAGTAGTAAATCCATGAACCTGTGTAAATAGCTTGCAGAAAGGCCATCCTGGCCAGGTGATTTACTGGATTTAGATAACTTGAGTTCTTCCCCAGCTCTTCCAATGATAGGGGCAATTTGAGATCGTCTGCCATTTTTGGCATACGTACCTGGATAACATTTTGAGTAATAAACTCTGATACTCTACACTGATGCTGCTGAGAAGCTTCACTTTGGTGTGACTGTTCAAGGTTATAAAGCTCCGTATAGTAGCATTGAAATGCCTGCAAAATTGTAGCTGGTTATCTGGTCTCCCTCTGCCCCTGAAATTTAATCTTATGAACATGTTTTTTCTGCAGCATCCTTGCCAAAAGTCTCCCACACTTGTTAGAGTACTCATAGAAATATCTTTTGGACTTCAGTAAAGTGTGGAGTAGCTTCTGAGAAAGAAAGTCTAAGCTTCCTACTTGCTGTTGTCAGTTTCAGACAAGTGTCATAGAAACTTAGAATGTGACGGCAGATAAAAACCATTCGGCCCATCTAGTCAGCCCAATTTTCTAAATTCTTTCATTAGACCCTGGCCTTATCTTATAGCTAGTATAGCCTTATGCCTATCCCACGCATGCTTAACCCCTTATGGACACATGACGTGTGACATGTCATGATTACCTTTTATTCCAGAAGTTTGGTCTTTAAGGGGTTAAAGGACCACTATAGGCACCCAGACCACTTCAGCTTAATGAATTGGTCTGGGTGCCAGGTCCAGCTAGGATTAACCCTTTCTTCTATAAACCTAGCAGTTTCAGAGAAACTGCTATGTTTATAATAGGGTTAATCCAGCCTCTAGTGGCTCTCTCATTGACAGCCGCTAGAGGCGCTTCCGCGCTTCTCACTGTGATTTTCACAGTGAGAAGACGCCAGCGTCCATAGGAAAGCATTGAGAGTGCTTTACTAGGGACTGGCTGAATGCGCGCACGGCTCGTGCCGCGCATGCGCATTCAGCTGATGACGAGAAGGAGGAGAGTCCCCTGCCCGGCGCTGGAAAAAAGAGGTAGATTTAACCCCTTCCACGCCCTAGAGCCAGGCGGGAGGGGGGCCCCGAGGGTGGGGGCACCCTCAGGGCACTATAGTGCCAGGAAAACGAGTGTGTTTTCCTGGCACTATAGTGGTCCTTTAAACTCCTGTACTGTGTTAACCTCTACAACTTTAGCTGGAAGGCTATTCCATGCATCCACTACCCTCTCAGTAAAGTAATACTTCCTAATATTTTTAAACCTTTGCCCTTCTAATTATGTCCTCTTGTTGTGGCAGTCTTTCTTCTTTTAAATATAGTCTTTATGTATTTAAATGTTTCTGTCATATCCCCCGTCTCATCTTTCTTCCAAGCTATACATGTTAAGATCCTTTAACCTTTCTTTGTAAGTTTTATCCTGCAATCCATGAACCAGCTTAGTAGCCCTTCTCTGAACTCTAACGTATCAATATCCTTCTGGAGATACGGTTTCCAGTACTGTGTACAATACTCCAAGTGAGGTCTCACCAGTGTTCTGTACAATGGCATGAGCACTTCTCTCTTTCTACTGCTAATACCTCTCCCTATACAACCAAGCATTCTGCTAGAATTTCCTGCTGCTCTATTACATTGTCTGCCTACCTTTAAGTCATCAGAAATAATCACCCCTAAATCCCTTTCCTCATATGTTGAGGTTAGGACTCTATCAAATATTCTGTACTCTGCCCTTGGGGTTTTACATCCAGGATGCATTATCTTGCACTTATCCACATTAAATGTCAGCTGCCACAACTTTGGGTGCATGCGCATTCAGCCGATGACGTCCAAAGGAGGAGGAGAGTGTTTAACCCCTCCAACTTCAGCCCGGTGGGAGGGGGGGCCATGAGGGTGGGGGCACCCTCAGGGCACTATAGTGCCAGGAAAACAAGCTTTCCTGGCACTATAGTGGTCCTTTAAGACTTTGGAGGCCCCAGGGCAAACTGCAGCCGCCCAACCAGTAGTTAAAGCCCAACATATCCATAACTTGCTGTGGCAGTGAGCAGTGAGGCCTGACAAGGCACAACCAGCAGAGAACAGGAGTGCACATAGAATACATAACAATCAAGAGGTTATAAAAGTGTGGTTAGCAGTGGCCACCCCACTGGCCTGGTTCTGGTGGAAGGCGGGTACAATACTAAAGGCAATCTGGGAGTATAATAGGAGACTAGACCAGGATCAATCTCCAATCCGTGACTGGCCCGGATGATAGCCGGGGTGTGGGCAGCCTCACAAGACAATATGCAATATCAGGACAAATAATAGATAAATTGGCCAGCAATATAATGGGTCCAACTTCCCTAGCTGCCCAAATATTTGTACACCCCTTTCCATCCAAATAGTCAGGAATGCTGCAGTCCCAGAGACCCCGACCAGGCAGGCTAGGGGAGCCCATGCTCCTCAGTTCAGGGTGCCCACATTAGATCTCAGAGCCAGTTTGTGGGAGAGTAAGAGTGCGGGCGACCATTATCCAATTTGGAACAATAATGGCTTGTAGGTTCAGGGTCCTAAGCAAGCGAGGAACATCATTCTGCCACTACAACACATGCTAGATATTGCTTATTCATGCCTGCAAACTAAATGGGAAACCATATCTTTATAAGATCCGCTTCTCCTGCAGCATACTGATGACTGGCCTCAGGGCTGTCTTGCGTTGCGGGTCAGCGTGGAGAGATCCTGGTATAAGGAGACCTGTGCATCCGGGTATGGTATGTTGGCCTGCAGCCTCGCAGCGCGCATGATGGTCTCCTTCAGTTTAAATGAATTTAGGCCTCTGATGCAGATGTTGCTCCGCCGGCCTCGGTTATTAAGGTCTTTTACCTGCCAAAGGAGCTGCAGGTGCACTGACCCTTGTCTCATGACTGCAAAATCTGTGACTTGTTGATGCTGGTGTCAGGGTACCTTTTGTAGAGACTTAGAAGTCTGGTCACAGTGGAGTTCATCTGCAGGACTCTGGGGACATTACCTGGCAATCTTCCAGCAACTTTAGTCATTTTCGCGCCGGCCGAGATAAACAGGCCCCCTTTTATGACGCAAAAAAAGAGGGCGGAGCCACAATGCCACAGGGGAAATGGGCAGAGCCAAATGACTTTTGGGGCGTGGTTATCATCCCAGGCAGATCCAGTCACAATATAAAAAGGCTCCCATGAGTTAGGATCTTTGCCCTGTTGTGGTTCCTCTTGGTCCTGAAAGCGTGTTATATTCTTGATATATTTTCTGGTTTTGAACTTTGGCTTGCCTTGACTATTCTTCTCTCTGGTATCCGTTTGACCGGGCTTGTTGTTCTTGTTTTGTACTACCTCTGGCTTCCCTGACCTCGGCTCGTCCTGTTTATTCTCTTTCTCTCAGTAACATCAGTCCGGCCATTCTAAGGGACGTTACTACTTTACTTACACTCTGTGTTAGGATTCCCCCTATTCCTGACAGCTGGGCAACCTGGTGGCATTCTGCCTTCATCTCATCCACCCTGTGCTTGAAGGCGAACCTCTATAATTTCTTCTCGGTTCACCGCACACAGCTCTGCGACCATGACCTTCCTATCGTTTGAGGTTAGCTTGTTGGCTTAAATAAAGGCTAGGTCAACCCATATCTGAGACAGAGCTTCCTCTCTCACGGATCCTGGCATCAACTCTGCCACACTATCCACTCCATACAAGGTCGACGACCATCTTTTTTGATGTTTTGTCTAAACAATTTGATATGTTTTGAAGACAAAGAATTAGAGCTTCAACTATACTTTCTATGTCTTCTTCTCTGTTAAATCATATCAAAACAGGATGAATCCCCTAAAGAAAAAAAACTAAAGATAGGTTATATGTTAAATTAAAAGTCAGAAATGTAGTTATGTCCTTATTTCGTGAGAGTAAGTCTGCAGAACCTGGTATTGCCAACACTACTCTTTTATATCTTGTGACATCTGGTAGCTACTTCTTAAAGGACCACAATAGGCACCCAGACCACTTCAGCTTAATGAAGTGGTCTGGGTGCCAGGTCCATCTAGGATTAACCCTTTCTGCTGTAAACATTGCAGTTTACCATCTAGGGTTAATCCAGCCTCTAGTGACTGTCTTATTGACAGCCGATAGACATGCTTCCGCGCTGCTCACTGTGATTTTCACAGTGAGAAGACGCCAGCGTCCATAGGAAAGCATTGAGAATGCGACCGAAGGAGGAGGAGAGTTCCCAGCGCAGAGGAAGCCCGGCTCTGGAGAAAGGTGAGTGTTTAACCCCCTTCAGCACGGCGGGAGTGGGAACCTGAGGGTGGGGCCTAACTAAAAATGACTAAAACTAAGTGGCTACTAAAAATGACTGGACATACCTAATTTCCAATACTTTGGGTTGTCTACTTTTGCAAATAGTATAATGGGGGTAATTCTCATTCCTGAGTTATCATACGGTCTCAAAGGCAACATTACCAAACTGGCAAATTTCAATGTGAAAAAAATGAAATTTAAGCCTTATATTTGACTCTCTAACTTTCCAAAACACCATAAAACCTCTACATAGAGGGTACTGTTATACTTGGGAGACTTCACTGAACACAAACATAAGTGTTTCAAAACAGTAAAACATATTACAACAATAATATCGTCTGTAAAAGTGCCGTGTATGAAAAATGCAAAAAACTTCACTTTTACTGAAAATATCATCGTTGTAATAAAATGTATCATTTTGAAACACTAATATTTGTGTTCAGCGAAGTCTCCCGAGTAAAACAGTACCCTCTGTGTACATGTTTTATGATGTCTTGGAATGTTACAGGGTTAAATAAAGTGCTTGCGAATTAACTTCTCTGCACTTTCTGCCTGGGTTGTCAGGCATGTCAATCAAATTTTAATTAATAGAATCACATAATTATGCTAAAAGATTACTTAAATATACACGTAGAATTTTAATATATATACATATATGTATTTAAATTCTACGTGTATACTATGTAATCATTTATGTAATTATATATATTTATCTATATAAATATATTTGCGTTTATTTTTATTTTATAGATAGCGATATATATATATTAATGCCAAAATACAGTTAGACTGAAATTACATATGTGTATATATAATTTATTAACATTTTTTAAATATATTTTATTATTGTATTTATTCTTGTAATTATGAGTATAAATCTTATATATATGTAACGTCAGTCTAAGTGTAATATATGTACTTATATTAACATTAAAATACACTATGTATGACGACACACACATATATATATATATATATATATATATATATATATATATATATATATATATATATATATATATATATATATATATATAATGAAAAAATGAACTCTTGGCACTCTCCTTATAAAAGAAATAAAAGTATATTGCCTGGGTGCTGTATCCTCAGCGTCAAATATATAAGCAAATAAGAAAAACGGGATGCACTCACAGGTCTTCATCAAAGTGAAAAAATGGTGCTTTATTAATTTCACTTTGAAGACCTGTGAGTGCATCCCGTTTTATTTATATATATATATATATATATATATATATATCTCTATCACACACATTTATTTTATTTTAACATGTTTAATATTTTTTTTACACTTTTCATGCAGTCCCCCTGCAAGCAGATCCACAGCCAGCAATAGGGGGCCATGTGATCGCTCATCACATGGTCCCTGGGGGCCTGATTTGGCATGGGAGGGCTCCCTGGCTGTCAAGCAGTCCTCCCGAAGCGGAGCGCCAGGAAGGTAAGTATCCCAGCGGCTCCAGGGCTCAAAGCCGTTACGGCATTCTATGCCGCCGCAACAGCTTTAAAGCCCATTTAATGCGGGACGGCATAAAACGTTAAATAGATCCAATAGTGTGATGTTTTGTACAGCAAACAAAGTACTATGTGGTCTGTTCCATCGGTTACCTATACCCTCCAATCCTTGGTCTAGTATATCTATTAATTTTATTGTTAATCTTCCCCCTTCCAATGGATTTATTCTTATGGTTATTGCCGGTTTCCAAGATGGCTCATTTTATTCCCCTTTAAAAAAAAAAAAAAAAAAATTCCCCCCCTTCCCCATCAGCATAAATGGCTATGATTTTCTCCAGGGAGGTATTTCGTCTCAATGGTATACCGGAACAAACTGTGTATGATAGAGGTAGTCTATTTGTTTTTCATTTCTGGAAGTCTTTTTGCTTGTCCACCTACCACCCTCATACTAATTGCTAATCAGTCTCTTCGTTGCTTCATATGTCATCACTAAGATGATTAGTTGACCTTCTTCCTTGAACTGAGTTTGCTCTCAAATCCTCAGGTTGTAGCATTTTCTACATAGTCTATGGCCTGCATCCTATTGTTCTCCAGACTGCTTTCTCCTCATGAGGAATGCCAGCTCTGGATGAATATTTGGCTTGTTTGCGTAATACTTGGGAGCAGGTACAACATCTCTCGGTTCTTACATCTCCGTGGCAGAGGAGGCATTCTGATAGACATCGTTGTGCAGCTCCTTCTTGTGTAGTGGGGATAGCGTCTTGCTTTCTAGACACAATAGCTATGCCCTCCATGAAATTCACTACTGGTTTTCTCTATTTTGTATGTCTTGGAATTACTTTTATTCTATGCGTATACCTAATGTCTTTCATACATCCATGTTGAAACCTCTTGTATGTATTCCTTTTACTTGGACTCGTGCTCCTCCGCCTCCTCTTTCTGTTGAGGAATATGAGGTTGAATCTATCCTTGACCGTCGGCAGTCCATTGGGATGGGTATGGTCCCAAGAAACCTAGTTGGGTTTCTCACTTTGATGTTGATGCTTCCCGGTTGGTCCGTTCCTTTCACCTGGGTCATCTAGGCAAGCCTGTTCTTTCACACCCAGTGGAAGTATCTTCCTGATGTGGGGAGGGGGTGTTGTGTACTACCTGCCCCTTGCACCTGCGCTTCTTCCATAGGTGAGTCGCACGGATCTAACACTCCATGGGGCTGTATGATCTGAAATACATACTCTATATTTACCATTCAGCACCTGTCAATCACTTCTCTCTTGGTTCTGTGGGGAATATTCACCCGGACTCTGCCCAAAGTACTGGCACGCCTTTTATAATGTGAATAGCATGATATACCGTCTACCATTAAAGTGACCATCTAGACCAGTTGTTTTCAACCAGTGGTCTGCAGACCGGCAACGGTCCGCAAAAGCTTTCACCCAGGGTGAGCTGGCCCTGCTGTCTGCCTTTCTCGGGCCGGTGAGGAGATCAAAGACCTCCCTCACTGATCTTCTGGCAGTTTGTTGAGGGAGGGAGGACGCAGGAGGCTGTGATTCTCCCGCGAACAGGCAGGTCGGGGCGTTGCCTCGCGTTACCATGGAAATTCTTCGACAGAGCGCTGTGCTTGCGGCAAGAAAATAGGCCAGCCTGCAGCCGGAGGAGCTGCAGGTTAAAGTGCACGCGCCACCACTGGAACACCAGGGATTGCAGGGATGTCCCCTCCTTCCAGGCCAGAGGAAGAAGGGGACATAAAGCTTCGCTTCCCCCCCTCCCTTTTAAGTAAATAATATACATTTTCTCCCTGATCACCTTCCCCTACCACAATATAGATCCCCTCACACACTGCACCACTTCACACATACCATGCAGCCCCTCACCCATTGGTAGGATAATAAGATAAAATGGAAATATTCTAAATATCCAACAGTATATCAGTCCTCTCTCCAAAATGCAAAGAAACAAGGTGTTGCAATTATTATTTAATCGAACATAAAATTTTAATTGATCCTTGAACAGAAAGATACAATTGGTAGATTTAATATTTTGATTTGTAGAATAGAAGACTCCTTATATACTTTGGTCAATATCTATGCACCCAATTTATTCTCTAAAACTTTTTTTTTTTTTTTAAAGCCTTTTCTTTAAAAAAAATCAAAAATATCAAAAAGGGGAAATTAACAATCGCAGGTGATATGAATATTTTTCCAGACGAAACACTAGATAGGAGCAATATTAAAATATATATATATATATAATCAAGACATATTATTACGACGAATTGTAAAGCATTTCAGGAACTATTGAATAAATATGATTTATTTGTCATATGGCGTGTTCAGAATCCTAAAGAAAAGGACTATTCTTATTTTTCTAAAGTCCATAAGATACATTTTTAGATTGGGCCTTTTTCTGACCAACTCTACCTATCTAAGTGACTTTGTTCATTCATAAATAGACGTGTTAACATTGTCCGATCACGCTCCAATCTTTGTTAGTTAAAAAATGAATCAAATATTAAAGGTAGATCCTTGTGGAGGCCTATTGAAAGTTTAGTAGAAGATAAAAACAAAGATAACCTGATGAACAAAGCAAGAGGATTTTTTTTTTTTTTTTTAATGAAAACTATAACGTAGAGATAGATAATACTACATTGTGGTGTACATTTAAAGGGGATGTTTGATTAAATTAGGGGTAGAAAAGAAAAAAAAAACGGCAAGCTTTGGAACTTTCGGATTTATATATTATCTTTATCTTTTATATATAAAGATCAAGAGAATAAAATACAATATTCAAAGAAACTTGAAGAGGAAATAATATCCAAATGGAAATCAAAAATAAATTAGAAATAAAATCACAGCTTTAAGTGGATTAAAACAGATCTGGTATTTTCAGGACAATAAAATAGGCAAAACTTTAACTGATAGACTTAAAGGCATAAAATAAAAATTATGGATGATAATCGCCCATGTCTTTCCCTAAAAGACATAGGAAACGTGTTTGCATCATATTACAATCTTTATATAACCTCCCCAACAATCAACTATCTAAAGAATACTTTAAGAATACCTTTAAAAAATTGCCTTGCCAAAATTAAACCAAGGCCAAGCCGACCAATTTTTAAACCCATCAATTTTTTACAAGACTCTAGAACCGCTAATTTCTCTTTTTTTTTTTTTTTTTTATGAATATGTTTAATGGTATTCATCATGTAAAAGGTTTCCCAGAAGAAATGCTTAAAGCAATAATATCTCCGATATTAAAATATGGGAAAGATCCACATTATGTTACAAATTATCGTCCCATCTCCTTAAAAAAAACAGATATAAAGATATATTCAAAAATACTAGCAGAAAGATTAAAATCGGTCATTTCTGTCTTGATACAGGTTTTATAAATAAAAGATCAGGAGAAGACAAAAAAATAAATTTGTTAAACATGATCTCTATAATTGGCTATAAAGCCATACCAGCAGCTTTTATTACTCTAGTTGCTGAAAAGGCTTTTGATCGTGTTAGATGGAGATATTTAGAAGCGGTTCTAGAGTCTATTGGATTAACAGGTTTGTTTGGCTGGGTGATATTTCGATCTAAACACCTCTCAAAAATAGGTTCTAAGACTTGACACTACCTCCCCACCAACCTATTATTTATCTACTTATTTTTCAGCAGAGACAGTGGAGAGGAGAATAAAGGGGATTATAGAAACTTCCTCCTCTCTCTCACACCTCTCTACCTTAATAAACAAAATGATTTAACTCCAAAACTATCAAAAACTGAGCTGTGAGACTGTGAGGTCATTCTCTAAAAACCAAAATCATTAAATAAAGCTAAAGTTGTTTTAGTGCTTAGTGTTGGTTTTTTTTTTGTTTTTTTTTTTAATATAAAGCCTATGGGTTGTGGCTATTCAAGGACGGTAGAAATCTTCAGAGGGCCGGTCCACCAGAAATATGCATCATTTTGCTTTGCTGCTTTAATGCAGAAACAATCTGTCTCCTCCTCCAGACTCTGACTACAATCTTTGTTATCCATCTAACAAATAGTTGCTGGGTTTGTTTTTGTTTTTTTTTATCACAATGTGGTGTGTTACTCAGAGATGTACTTTATGATGAACATAATGCACAGAGAGACAGAAAGCAAGCATAATGTTTTTTTTGTTTTGTTTTTAGGAAACTGTAAGACTTGATGTGACCATTTTAAAGGAAAATAAAAACCTGTCAGGACAGGTGAGTCAAGAAAGTAAACTTAAGGAATATATATCACTGTTACTCCTGCATAGGAATATCTTTTTGTATAAAGGGTTTGATCATTCTCTGTCACCCTTGTGTTGCCTCATTGTAAAACCTGAGGGTTATGTATTTTGTACACATGTGCTATTTTCTGTATAAAAGAATTACTCCATCCATTATACATTTGCCTTTTAAAAGGAAAAAATAATATGGATGGAAGTGACTAGGTACCATAGGCCTCAAAACAACTTTATTGAGATTTAGTTGTTTTGAGTGCAGTAAGTCGTTTTAAAACTTTAACAAAAGGAAATGTTTTATTTAATATTTTTTTTTTACAGTTATTCTTTCGATTAAAGTGCAAGGATGAGACTTTTGTGATCTTAAAAATAATGTTACAATAAATAAAAACACACATAAATGAAAGAGAAGAAAAACAATATTGTAGAAAATATGAAATACTCAATTTGACTATGACGGAATTTCACTGAAATTACAGCAGGGTCAAAAGATCTACAGAAACAAAGTTAGGACTACTTTGACTCTATATTTCTCCTCTGCCTGACTTTCTTAGACTCCAGCTGAAGTCTAAGTGTCAATCCTGAAAGCCATCACTAATGATGGCTGCAGGGAATTGGCTGTGTCTATAGTGGATCCCGCGGTCTCGCAGGATCCTCCACAGACCTCAGTGCTGTACTTTCGTGCCTGCGCAAGTGTACAGCAGGGACTTAAGCTCGTCATGTCGCTTCAGACTGAAGAAGATGGCAGTGCCGATGAGGAACAGGTTTGGATAATTAAATCTTACTTTACCTACACCCAGCCACCAAACTCTCAGCAGCAATGTCACCATGCGGGGGTCTTTGCGAATTTGGCAAAGTCCCCAGATGTTGACAGTGCTACTTTAAGGACATATATACACAAGCAAAGGTATTTAAATTGCAAGTAATGAACAAGTTACTGTCAACACGCTCCAATTTGTACTTCTGAATATATGAGTAGGTGATAATCTTCCATAACAGTTAAAGTTAGTGTAACTGTACTTTTATGTGTGCATTTATCTTTACATGTCTGCATTTTAAGTATGATCAAATAGATTGGTACTTTTAAATTTGTTCTGTAGTATTCACTTTTTGCCACTATTAAAAAATAAATAAAAATAAAAAAAATACTCCAAATGCACAGCCTGTCACGATCTTATCAAAAAGGTCTGGGCGGGCTGCAAACAGGCAATTAACATAGATTCCACAAGCAGGGGCCACAAGCCAAATCAGTCTTAGGCAACAGGAAACATGAAAGAATGAACTGACACTGCCGTCAGGAAGAGGCAGTGTTATATACCTGGGATAATGATCCATCTGCCTCAGGTGGACTTAGATTGACAGGTAGGAGCTACTGGTAAAGTCCAGCCCCTTAGTGCTGCAGGCAGTGCCGGATAAACAAGGCTAGATCCACAAGTACTGAAGTGGCTCAGAGGCAGGAATGTAGGCTTAGGATGCAGAAAGACCCAGGTTCAAATCCTCTGTGGAGCATCCACGCCTGGCCATCTGGATGGCACGATGAGAACCGTGACACAGCCTCGTTGAATACAATTTTCAAAAGCTCTATTTTGCTCCAATAATACTTTGTTATAGAAACCACACGGGGTACTTTTTAGTTGCCCAATAACTAATTGTAGGCAATTGGATCTTACACAATCACTGCTATCTTTCTCAGTGAGTTGAAATCAAGCCACTCCTAACTTCCTGGACAGTCAGGCGCAGAATGCAATTAATGCAGAACACAATTGGTGATTGGGCTGTTGAAAAGTACTGCAGATTTTTCCTAGATTATGCTGTTACATAATTGCAATGACTATCTTTCTATGTGTTCATTTTACCAATTTCAAATGTATTATTTATATATATATATTTATTTATTATTATTATTATTATTTATGATGTTTTTCTTTTTTGTTTGGTCACCTTAAGATCAAGGTCAATATTGGCTACAGCAAAGGCCAGGTACAAGTAAATGGATTCCCAGTCAATAAAGGTGTTACACGGATAACCAGTGGAATGGAAATATGTAAGTGGCAAAGTATTGTATCTTAGAGGGTAGACATTCTACAATGAGAGTTTTTTTGCAGCTGCAGTCAAATACATGTTGTCTATTATTTTCCAGTTGTGTAACTGAAAAGAAAAACAGGAACAAAACTTCTCCATAAGTATTCAATTTTTAATCAAATTTTTAGTTAACAAACCGAATTGGCCATGGAAAAAAAAATACAGCATGATACAAAAAAATATTCTATGCATTACAGTTGGTGGTGTCCCTTTTAAGATCATTTTAGATGTAAGTTCAAAAAAATATTTGAGTGTAGATTATTATTTAAGCTTTAAATTTCTAGGCCATCTGTGGCGCAGATGGGTAGCTCTGGTTTTACCAGCAATAGGACAGGAAATCTAATTAAGCATCTCGCCACCATCTTCTCAAAAGTTTGGTTAGAACTAGGGCTTTTTAGTGGAGACTTCATTATACACTTTTTTATTTAGTAACCGACTAAGCTATTTTGTATAAATATTTTTCTTTTTGTGGATAAGCCTTTGTCCCCTAACTGTATATGACTGTGTATATATAGTGGACACTCAGGGGCTTATTTAAGTGTACAGAGACATGGTAGCAGCAATGACCTGTGTGTAGATTTATCTAAGGAGAACTTCACTGCAGTGTCAAGCTGGTTATATATAGGGCTCTGTAGTTAACCTATGAAGTAGCTATCCTTGGTGCTGCAGGTCAGAACCTCCTTGTTGCATTTTTATCATTTCTTGTATTACTGTGTTTCACCTCTTCCTTGCATTTATATCTACGTATACTTACATAGTTAGTTACATGGGCTGATCCCAAATCATTCTCCTGTTTTGTTATCCATAACTTAAACCGTTTAGGGTGTAAGTTGCTTGTGCATTCTTTACCCTGAAGTGCATTTTTCTGCATTCAATTTCAATCTATCTAAATCCCTCTGCAGCAAAGCCGCATCCTACATTATACAATGCTTTCCTATGGGGTTTTGGGTGACGCTGGGCGTCCAGTGTCAGACGACCAAAAGTTGCCTAACGGCCCGGAGGTCCCTCTAGTGCAGTGAATAAAAGGGAATCATGACATGTCACACATGTCATGTGTCCTTAAGGGGTTAAAGGGTCATAGCCCCTCCCACAACTTCAGGCCCTGCCTTCCAATTTGTAGTCGGGGCCATTTCAGTATAGTATGAAATAGCTAGTGAGTATACTTATTCCAATAATAATAATAATAAAAAAAAGTCGGTAGAGGTGTGCCGAAACGACGTGTGTGTGTGTGTGTGTGTGTGTGTGTGTGGTAGGCCTGTAAATAAGTGGGCAAAAGGAATACCCATATAGTGTAATATAAGATGTTTATTACGAAAACAGAAGACATGGAGTTAGTGTCTTACGATGACATATAACAAATGCATTCCTTAATTCCTGTGTCGGCTGAGGTATGCGTTGTTGGAGGGGTAGTACTGAATCAGTACCTCGTGACCCCTCTGGCTGGTCTTAGTTGATGGTAAGTTAATACGTAGTGATCCTGTATTTGTACAGGTTAGAATATCGTAGGCAAAGCTTGGAATCGTGTTGCCCTGTGATGGTAAATTCTCTGGTCGTGGGAACGATAAAAAGCCAAGTAAATGGCGGCTTTGAGAATGGTGTTGTAACTGGGAACCTGTGGTGTTGCATGCCCGGGAGATATAACTTAATAGTGTTGTGTGACATTTATTTTGATGTGGCAAAAGTGGCGAAAGCCCACAACTTTTATTCTTGAACCAGTTTGTAAGGTGGTGATCTGACATAAACTTCGATATATGCAGTAAGCTCTGTCATAGCAGTGTGTGTATTCTTTGAGGGCCAACTGTGTGATTTCCTGCTGTGACTTAGCAACTCTTCTATTCCATAGGTATGCTTGGAGCTGGGGAGCAATCGTGGCTATTGGTGAGGTAGTTGTTAGGGACCTCCTGAACGCCTGAACCTGACGACTAGATAACTGGTCAGTAGCTGTATTGTAAATGGTGACAGGCTTCCCTTACGTTAGTCGTCTGATGAATTCATAATAAGGTATACAAGACTGGCCTTGTTTATGACGTGGCCAATTGACAAATTGTCAGAGACCTCGAATCGGTCTGCTTGCCCATAAATGACCCCATGTAGCTGCTGCGGCTATGATGGGTAGGCGTGCAGAGTTCTTTAACCCCTTAAGGACCAACTTCTGGAATAAAAGGGAATCATGACATGTCACACATGTCTTGTCTCCCTAAGAGGTTAAGGAACCTTCGATCTGCTTACTTCCCCGGCCACCTACCCCATAGCCAACTGTCCCCTGAGCTTGCAGCAAGCTCTGCGTTAGCCGCTGCATCAGGGTGATTACATATGTAGATGACCATAGTTTAAACACTTATATGTATAGGGGACACCTAAATATATTGTGCCTGGTGAGTTCCAGCTGGGCATCCTTCCCCTAGAAGAACCTGAAATATGTATGAAGTATGTGGAACATTACTAGTTTACCACCGGTAACTAATATTGGAGATCACATAAGTGTCTGTGGTTGAAAATGCAGAGAAAGGGCCGTATAGGGAGCACTTGCATGGTCTAACGTGACCATGGTCGTATGTAATTGCCCCCTGTGGGTGAGAATTGCGTCGTAGTGGATTGCTCGCAGTGGGTCGTACATAACGTGAGAGTGATGGCCTAGTTAGGGCCACGTGTAGAGTCCTGCTGTGGTAGGTTGAGACAGAATTGCAAACTTATGTCAAAATTGTAACTCCTATGCAGTATGTACTAGCCCAAATGAGGGGCTGCCAGTATGCTATAGTGGACAGCCCTTTGGTGGGTCGTTTGCTACGTCTGAAGAGTGTGGTTGTGAATAAATTTTGCTGTGTTATGCTACGGTCATGGTTGCCCTTGTAAGCTGGAATTATTTAAAAGCTTAGATGCTGGGTAAGGCTGTACGATAGGCATTGCTCGTGCACGGCTAATGTTGTAACTTGTACCTGGTTTCCCGAGCAGTCGAATAGCCAGGAAAGCGGGAAGGACAGTATAATATGATGTGTATGAGGTGGTCTAATACGCAGCGGTGATGTGGGAATAGTCCAGTCTGGAATTGACTATGTAAGCCCAATGGCGGCTGGCTGCTAAGGATGACCCCTGGAAACTTATATGACCCACATGATAACTCCGGACGAATCACAATGTATATGTACATGTAGCATACGTTGTAAATTGACAATATGCTAGACTGAAATAGTACACTGAGAGGTAAGGAGAACGTTTGTTATGAAATGAGGGGTTGCAAATAAAACGTATTTGTCCCCTAAGGTTACCTGAATTATGTTGCCAAAGGCCCATAGATGGCTTTGTGTGAGGACTATGCATAAGAGGTTGAGAGAGGCCCAATGTAGTTCCAGTGGTACTGGGAGGTAACGTAATTCTGAGTGGAATTTAATGGGGTGGATTGGTGGTTTATTGTAAGTTGTAGATCAGTTGAAAGTTACGGACTATGACAGCATAACCATAATTGAAATATGGCCACACTGACATCAACAGCAACCCCCAGCGTAACATATGATCGTTGTAGGGACTACATCGGGAACATGATAGCGGTGCCGAAATGCCATGACTAAATAAACTATATACTTGCTGAGTCAACTGACCTGAGGGTAGACGTACTGGACTCCATTTGCCCGGAATATAGGCTGAGACATGTGGTATGCAGTAGTGTCTGTACTGACACAAGACCAGGAAGGCCACCACCATACTGATGAATAATCTCTCCTGTCTTGTGTCTCTGGCCTGCCATGACCACTGAGATGTCGCCCTTGGTGTATGAGCGGTGTACTGTGGCATCCTGGGAGGCAATAATAAGCGATACGAGATTAACTTCCTTGCCCTCCAGGATGTCCTTTGAGGTTTGCCGGTACCATATGGTTGGGGTAATGACTTGAGGGCCTTAGAAGATGGGCATGTTAGAATTAGCGGGTTGGGAATGGGAAGGGCCCGGAATATCAGTGCGAGTGGTTTCTGGTGTCATGACTGGACAGCTACGGGCTTCCAGTCTCTTTAGTCTATTGGTCATCTGCCTCATGGATGTTACTATAGAGCTAAACCTGGTATACTGGTTCGCATTGCTTGTGCCACTTATGCTTGTCCCCGTGTCTGATTTGTTAGTATTGGCTTGCATTAGCCTGCATAATTCTGCTTTGCGGGCAGAAGGTGTAAAGGGTATGTTGCTCTGCCTAATTCAGCCATGATTTGTGGGATGGCCCACGATCTACTTGAAGATGGACTGCCGGAATCTCCTTGTTTGTAGGGTTGCTAGTCCTAGTTGGGGTACCTGGAATGTCATCTCCTTCTTCTGGAACTTGGGACGTACTGAAATAATCCTGAGTTCCTCTTGAGGATCTATACAGTTGTTTTAACTAGTGGCGAAACAATTCGTTAGACTGGTGACAGATGAGTCCCTACTAGTTGCCAAGTGGCTCTGTCGGCTCTATCTATGAGGGGGTGATCTGCTGGATGTGGGTTTATAAAGGATGAGTCTTTGAACTGTGGAGGGGGTGTGATGAGTGATTCCCTTGCTATGCAACATGTGAGGCGTCTAGCTATGATTTGGCCCGAGGGCGTTATTACCTCTTTCGTGCGAAATTACAAATATATATTAAAATACACTTCGACTTTGTGTGTGTGTGTGTGTGTATATATATATATATATATATATATATATATATATGTATGTATGCATATATATATATATATATTATTTTTCTTACACAGTTTTAAACTGGTTTTATTTTATTTTCAGGCAGCAGGGGGAGTACCTGTCATTACCGGCACTGCCCCCTCTGCTGGCAATGCCTTGGACGGCTATGCCGTCCATGTCATCGCGAGGTCCTCGCGATCACATGGCCCAGGGGAGCCGAAGAGGAAGGAGGGAGATTTGCCAGTGACCGGGTAAGTACATAGGATGGCGGGGACGTGCCATGCCTCCTCCCGGCGTTTAGAGCCAGATCCTTAAGGACGGCATAGCACGTCCCCCGTCCTTAAGGGGTTAAACCAAAAGTAGTTTTTTCTAAACTTAAACCTCAGTATTCAGGTTTAATTGCTGTGTTGGCACTTTGAGGAAAAAAAGTTGGCATGTATTGAGGTTTGGGCACTCTGGCTCAAAAAGGTTCGCCATCACTGCTCTAGTGGCTGTCCGGTTGACAGCCACTAGAGGTGGAGTTAGCCCTAAAAGGTAATTATTGCAGTTTCTTAAAAACTGCAATAATTACCTTTCCAGAGTTAAGGAACCTGGGACACTGCACCTAGACCATTTCAATGAACTAAAGTGGTCAGGGTGACTATAGTGTCCTTTTAAGGACACAGGTCTATAATTTACAGACAAGGATTTTGAACCATTTTTGAATAAAGGAGCCTCATCTACCTTCCTCCAACCCTCCAGTACAATTCTTGAAAGAAAAGAATCTTGCAAGATGAAATACAGAGGTTCACATATTTTCACAATTAAGTACTTGTGGGTGAATACCGTCAGGCCCGGAGTTTTATGTAGATTAAAAACTTTCTTTAGCTGCTCTAGCATCTTGTCTTGTCATCCAACTTTTTGCAGCATTTGCATATCTCTTCCCATAGGATCCTCCCTAAAAATACTGTACTGAGGAAAATAGTGATTTAAAATGTCTGCCTTTTCCTGGTCTTCATTAACTAACACACCTATCTCCGTTTTCAGTGTACCTACACTTTAATTTTTGGGTTTCTTAGAATTTATGTACTCAAAATGTTTTTAGGAGTTGTCTTTGCTCTCTTTGGCTATCAATTTTATAACATTTTAGCCACTTTAATGGCCTTTTTGCATGCATTATTGGCTTCCTTATATCTTATATAGGATGCCTATGATTTGTCCAGTCTAAAAGTCCTTTTCATATTTTTAATCTCTTGGTCTTGCTTTCCCACTAAGCTACATTGGTTTCAATTAGTTTCTTTTATAATTACTTTCCGATGGTACATACTGAGAAATGTAGTTTAATATTTTGTTTGAAGATATTCCAAATTATCCTTGTTGTTTTCACTAAATTCCAGTCATTATGTAAAGCTATCCTTATATTATTATTGGCATTTTAAAAATTATATGTTCTAGTATACCCCATGTGTTTTTGGATTTTCAAAAGATACTATATTGTAATCACTATTTCTCAAGTGTTCTCTTTCTTGAATGTTGGTGAAAAGATCACAAGTTTGTCTCTCAGTTCACACCTTGGAAAACCTAACTTGGTGGTAAAAAAAAAAGTCAAGATTCATTCATCATGGCCTGTATTTTGCACAAACCATTTGAGTAAGAATTACGACAGATGCTCTGGAACAAGATGGGGTGCAGACATGAATTCCTTATTGGCTCAAGGAAGTTGGCCTACAAAAGATATCCTAAAATTGTCCATCTTCAAAGAAATTAAAGTGATTTGGAAAGCCCTGCTATATTTCAAACAACATATAAACAAAATAAAGCCATGCAGATTCAATCAGACAAGCTCACCACCGTAATCTACTTAAACAAACAAGGAGGCCATTTTATGTGCACAGCTCGTCGCATGGGCAGAAAGGTACCTCGTAAATGGTATAGAAAATCAACTAGCAGACCATCTCAGCAGATACCACTGTAAACAGACAAACTGGTTTCTCGGCCTTCAACACTCTCGTCTAGAAATTTTGATTATTAAATATAGACCTCATGTTGACACGTTTCAATCGAAAGGTTCCAAAGTTTGCTTCTCTTTACAGACTAGACAATCCAGATATCGTAAATTTATTTTTTCCTTGGTATCAGTGGCAGTATGAACAACCCTCCCTTATTAGGAAAAAAATTATTTACAGTAAGTAAAATATCTGGGGGGGGGGGGTTCATATAGCTTGTTAAAGACTGATGTGTCAAGGATAGGACACAAAATGAAATATATACAGGAAATAAACTGCCATTGTTTCTGACACTGTCCCTTTGATATCTTTGTATGCTATATTAAGACAGATATCAGCTGATGTCTTGTCTGTTGGATTCTTCTAGGTACTTGTGAAGGCATCACTAGTGACTTTGTAGCTCACACATTCCCTCAAGATAATTGCATTCTGAAGTTTAACTGAATAGCTGATGTGCAATGGACCAGTATGTGATTCCTGTGAAAATGCACATTTCTTTAGCTGAACCAGTGCACAACAGTGTACAGAACTAAAATAATTAGTTGTCAGACTGTGAAACTGAAATCATGTCACCAAATTAATAAATTGAGTCTCTGTAAGCAAGTTCAAATAACTCCATGTGTTTATAGAGAGTTTTGAGGTATTAAACTGAACATGACTTCTCTCCTTCAGGGTCTTTTGACTATTTGGGGTCACAAATTGGTTCTGTCAGCATACGTGTTCTTGTTCAAGAATGGCCTATGAATTCCACGTCAGAGGAAACTCGGATCATTATTCAGCAGGAAGTAATTTCGTTTGATGGAAATCTGGTAAAAGAATGTGTTTGTGTATACAAATTTTATCACCTTAGATTATTTTTGTGGTGCGTACGTGTATTTCCAAATATGGAATACTCCAATGGTTTTCTGTTTTGTTTTTGTGGTGGTTTTTATTTTTGTGTGTGTGTGTAATATTTTTATTGAAAATATAAGTAAAAGAACTGTATATAATTAATATGAAAACAAATATGGTGATATGGAATTACAACAATACAAGCACATGCAGTGCAGTAATCCAGACATCTGAAGGTACAATTGAAAATGAATAAATGGGAATAAAATGATTATATAATAGAGGCAAAGGGAAGTTGGTGTGTTTAACTTCAAAACAAAAAATCTTCATCGGTAGAAACACATAAATACGACAGCTGTAATAGAATATTGTTAAATAAAGCAGGGGGAGAGCAGATGAATAAAGATGGCAGGAGGAAGGTGGGGAAGGAAACACAAACGTTCCCACATATAATACAAGAAAATGTACCAGGGTTCTAAGGGGAAGTGCTGAAGAGTGGTTTCTGAGGAGGCTGATATTAGTGATCTTAGAGAGCATACCAGGAACCTTATCCATTGGATCTAACCTGAGGCCATGAGCAAGCCCTAACAGCTGATGGATTCCAAGGACTTCATCATGTGAGTATCCCTTGCACATTGAATCCACCCATTCAACGTTCAGAGATGTTTATACTGGAGAATAGATGGAATTTTTATTTTATTTATTAAATATGTGGAACCTGGCATTTTAGTATGCAGTGGTAGGACAACTGCACATCTCACTTCAGAGGGGGAAGAAGGGCCAAATATGGAGGTATGGCAATACTACTCTATTGAAAATAGGAAAAAAGTAGCTTAGGTACAGAAGCGTAAGTGAAACACAGCAACTAAAATTAAGTAAAAACGATTATATTGAGAAAAAAGCAGTTAAATATTAAATAAATCACAAAAGTCCATGACTCTATGAATGATCAAAACAGAATGTGGAAAGTGTACACAAACGGTAAAATCCAAATATATTTAGTAAAGCTCCCTAAAAGGCATCAACTGTCAATAACAACATCATTACAATAATAACCACTTATATATATTAAGATGTCCTAACACATTATACATTCCATCCAATTGGGTTTAAAGTCCTAAAAAGCTAGTTAGTAACAATCCCCACTAAGAATATATGCTAGTTTATCGCACATTCATTTTATACATCCGAAAGAGGTAATAAAAGCACTGTCTACTTACACTTAAAAAAATGTTTTTACTTTTTTATACATGCCAAAGCATGTGTGAATGAGACCGAGGTTAAGGGGTAAGCTTTGCACCCATACCAATTTAAAAGATTGACCGGCTTCCGAATACGGCTCTGCTCAACATTTCCATGGAGCCAAGGGACTGCCTCCATATCTGCTGATTTGAAATGCTAACACATATAAGCACTTTCAGCCAGTCAATGATGTCCAAACTAGACAAAATTGACAAATATAATGTAGAATTCTGAATTATCACTGCAGACAAAATGTGACTATCCCTCGGTTTCTAGCAAACTGTTCCATATATGATTTGATAATAAACTGAGGGTAGTAGCTAGACTATGATTACCATACGACGTTTTTTTTGTTTTTTATCACAATGATTTAACATTCAAACCTTGCAGCACCACACTGAATAATCAGAATGTAATTTATGTTTGTTTCCATCAGGTTCAACAAAACAAAACTACAGAAGTGGAACTTCTAGTTAATGAGAAGTTGGGTCTAGTGACTTATTCCAGTTCAACCATCCCCATTGAGGAGACTTTGCTGTATTCATTACCACCATCTAATGATGTTTTATTTACCTTCCCAAATATTGCAGAAACTGGTAAGACCACTTTCATAAGCATTTCCTTGATTTAAGCCTGTATTCTTCCAAGAAGAAACTCTATGTTGTTCACTTTTATTAATTAAATATTACTAATTAAATATGGCGCTTGGTTAGTGGCAGGGCTTATTTAGCTCCATAATCAATATTGTGATTGACTCCGGTAGAGTCAATATTGCACCTACTTTTCAACTTATTTAGAATTGGATGTACACTGCGTATGCAATTTACATTAGTTTTAGTTTTTAGTTTGAACCTGATTTAGAATATATGACAGAACATCCATGGGTTGTGCATGATAAGTGCACAGTTTAAAAAAAAAAAAAGAGAAAGTCCAGCAGACTGTAAGCATGTGTCTGTACACCAGAAATGTAACGCACACCAGCCAGACAAATTAGAGGAACACTCTGTTTTAAATATTAGTTTCTCTGCATGGTAAGATTATTGGGTCCTCACTTTTAAAATAAATAAATGTAACATGCATTTATCAGCACCATCCTCAGTCCTCCTCATGACCATTTCTACTCTTCTTCTGACGGATGATCTTAAGCCAATACAGTTCTTTTCATAGAAAAGCATTGGGCCATATGGCATGTGTTTAACTATTGTGACACTGCCAGGCTCCTCTCATGCCTGCCAGCCACTAAAGGCATGCGGAGTGACATATGTAAACATTGTTAGAGTTCGTGGTCTACTACTTTTTGGTCTTTGCATGGTCTACTTTAAGATGTACACTGCTTTTGCAGTGTACATTAGGATGTAGTGGTTTTGGTGCTTTTTTTGGTCTCTTTTTTTAACTTTTATTTTTTTATATTTTAATCTGTGCACAAAGCATGTGGTCTTCAACCAACCGCACTTTGCATTTAAGAATCCAGAAAAATTCCAGCAATGCAGTGTAGCTGTTGTTCTGGAATGTTGATTAAATGTGTTTTGAGGTGGCCACAGAGAGAAGGGAATGTAGATAGGTTTCAGAGAGAATTGCAGAAGATGCCGTTCAGAGGCTGAACACTAGTTGGAAAACTGCTTTCCAATATAAAAGGGGAATTGTCTGAAGATCAGCAAACTAACAATTTTCTGTTCATATTAGGAGATTGTGAAGATTATTCATGCTGAATTTTCATGTAAACTACTTGCCTACTCATTTTTGTTAGTTGTACATAAATACAGTGTTGCTATAGGAAATAGCTTCAAATTTCTAATTAAAATATCAGAGCCATTTCTTGTGAGTTAACATTTTTAAAAAGCTATTTTCCTTTTTCTCAAGACCTGATGGCACCTACTTCTAGTAACAAAATATTCCTTTGAAAAATACAGGTGACAGTGCTCCTCAGCAGACAACACGGGAATATAATATCAGGCAGAACACTACTCTGGATGAGGAACCCTACCTGGGAAAGCTCCCAGAGACTCCTATTAGAGGAGAAATGCCAGCTTCATCATACAAGGTGACTGAAAATGCTTTACAGTAATAATGACTTAGAAATCATAAATGATTGTTTCAGCCTAATACAGAAAAGAATGAAAAAAGGTTCTCCTGCCTCCAATTTTGTCTTTAATGCAAACATCTTATGATTGAAATACTATCATTTTGTATTGTTTTGTTTTGTGGTGTGCATTTGTATGTATGTTCTTTCAATCTGGGATTTTAAGGCCTGGCTAGTAGCGTAGGATTCAAATGTTAAGAGGAATATAGCTCTACCCACAGAGCAAGGCTAAACCAGGAGATTCAATAAATAAACATGATAACTTATATGTACTCAAAACATTAACGCACAACACAGGCTTTATTAGTCTTTTATTTTCAGTCATAATGTAAAAATGGACAGTTTTCCCTTTAACATACACTTCAACCTTGGAGGTTCTGGGTAGAACTGGTAGTCGGGGTATAATAATTTTACCAATCCAATGATTTGCATAAGAATCCCTTGAATTTTCTTTCCTATTCATTTGAATACCCTGATAATTTGCTAATGCTGTGCTACTTAGTGTTTTATGTGTATTTAGTGTTTATAAAAATACATATGGCTTTATGTACAGTGCCTTGCAAAAGTATTCACCCCCTTGACTTTTTACCTATTTTGTTACATTACAGCCTTAAGTTCAATGTTTTATTCATCTAAATTTTATGTGATGGATCAGAACACAATAGTCTAAGTTGGTGAAGTGAAATGAGAAACCTATATACAGAAAACAATTTTTTTTTTTTTAGAAATAGAAAACAGAAAATTGGCATGTGCGTATGTATTCACCCCCTTTGTTATGAAGCCCATAAAAAGCTCTGGTGCAACCAATTAGCTTCAGAAGTCACATAATTAGTGAAATGATGTCCACCTGTGTGTAACTATGTAATCTAAGTGTCACATGATCTGTCATTACATATACAAACCTTTCTTGAAAGGCCCCATAGGCTGCAACACCTAAGCAAGAGGCACCACTAACTAATTGCCATGAAGACTAAGGGACAATGTTGTTGAGAAGTAAAAGTCAGGGTTAGGTTATAAAAAAAAAAAAAAAATATCCAAATCTCTGATGCTCCCCAGGAGCACCATCAAATCTATCATAACCAAATGGAAAGAACATGGCACAACAGCAAACCTGCCAAGAGACGGCTGCCCACCAAAACTCACGGACTGGGCCAGGAGGGCATTAATCAAAGAGGCAGCACAGAGACCTAAGGTAACCCTGGAGGAGCTGCAGAGTTCCACAGCAGAGACTGGAGCCTCTGTACATAGGACGACAATAAGCCGTACGCTCCATAGAGTTGGGCTTTATGGCAGAGTGGACAGAAGAAAGCCATTACTTTCAGCAAAAAACAAAATGGCATGTTTTGAGTTTGCGAAAAGACATGTGAGAGACTCCCAAAATGTATGGATGAAGGTACTCTGGTCTGATGAGACTAAAATGTAACTTTCCAGCCATGAAAAAAAACACTGTCTGGCGCAAACCCAACACATCCCATCACCCAAAGAACACGATCCCCACAGTGAAACATGGTGGTGGCAGCATCATGCTGTGGGGATGTTTTTCAGCAGCCTGGTCTGGAAAACTGGTCAGATTTGAGGGAAAAATGGATGGTGCTAAATACAGGGATATTCTTGAGCAAAACCTCTACTACTCTGTGCGTGATTTGAGGCTAGGACGGAGGTTCACCTTCCAGCAGGAAAATGACACCAAACATACTGCTAAAGCAACACTTGAGTGGTTTAAGGGGAAACATGTAAATGTGTTGGAATGGCCTAGTCAAAGCCCAGACATCAATCCAATAGAAAATCTGTAGTCAGACTTAGATTGCTGTTCACACGCGCAAACCATCCAACTTGAAGGAGCTAGAGCAGTTTTGCAAGGAGGAATGGGCAAAAATCCCAGTGGTAAGATGTGGCAAGCTCATAGAGACTTATCCAAAGCGACTTGGAGCTGTGATTGCCGCAAAAGGTGGCTCTACAAAGTATTGACTTTAGGGGGGTGAAAAGTTATGCACATTGACTTTTTTCTGTTATTTTGTCCTATTTGTTTGCTTCACAATAAAAAAAATAAAAAATAAAAATCTTCAAAGTTGTGGGCATGTTCTGTAAATTAAATGATGCAAATCCTCAAACAATCCATGTTATTTCCAGGTTGTGAGGCAACAAAACACGAAAAATGCCAAGGGGGTGAATACTTTTGCAAGGCACTGTAGGTAGAGGCAATTGACACAAATGCTTTAAACTTTCTGACAACAGTGTGTGCTTAATTTGTAGTTGATGTGCCAGTTTTTTGAACAACTGAGAAGGAATTTGTGTTTCACCTGGACCCAGTGTTATCCTGTATTGATTGAATTTTTAAAAGTTGTTGTTGTGGGAGTCATAGAAGCTGCAATTGTTCTTGAAGTTCTGAAGATTATTTGTCCTTCTGCAGAGCAAAAGTAAGTTGATGTGTCTCACATTCAAATCGTTTTTATTTACCCAGTTAACCCTGCAGCCTCTCTGCTCTATAATCATATGACCTGAACAATTTGCAAATCGTTTTGATCCTGCAGTCTAACCATTACTCTAACATATTGAATTACAGGAACTGTGGAATTGGCCTAAAATGTAATATTCATTTATAAATGCCACACAATCACCATCAATTAAAACTGTGTTGAAATTTATAATCCTCTTATTTGCTTTCTTGCGATTCTCATCTGAAACTGATTAATATTTTCTTTTATGTTTTAGGGGGATCCTGAGTTTTGTGGACATCAAAGATTCCCCATTGCTTGTTCCTTTAATTGTACAAGACACAAGTAGTGTAAATAACCTGGTGCAGAAAACCTCCAATGAAAACTAATTTTGTAGTTTTATCTTGCTGTCGATTTCAGTATTTGCCTTTTGGATGCCTAATAATAAACATATAAAATGTGAGCATATAGCCACTCAAAAATCACATATACATGACTTGGATAAAAAGATGGCAAATTATACAAAATGTTGCCAGCTGACGATAATCCTAATGTTGGAACATTATTGCCAATCAATTCAATAGATATTAAGTAGCAGCAGCAGAAGTATCGCAAACAATGTGTAATGGAGCAGTAAGTAATCCCAGGCAGGTTAGCATTAAACCTCTCTGGACTATGCTTACCATGTATCCAAAGGGTGCAATGAACAAAGCGCGCTCGGTGTTTGTGGGAAAAAAAAGCTCAGTGAGTCCAGGTTCCTGCATGCCTGTTGAAAAGGTAAAGCAGCTTCAAACAATAAGGTATAATATATACTGAAGCAGTTGCTCAATAATTCTCTGGCAAGCTGTCAATCATGCATATGTCCAGAGCAACAAATCAGGGAAGGACAAAGTCATGTGCTAAAAATTACCACCATGTGGTCAAATCATGTAAAATAATCAGTCTAAATGTTTCATCTGTCTAGCAAGCTTTATCAACACTTAAACATTATCAGCTAGAGAGTGGTTCTTAGAAGGAGCAAACCCTTAATGAAAATTACATTCATCACTTACCGTATATACTCGAGTATAAGCCGACCCGAATATAAGCCGAGGCCCCTAATTTTACCACAAAAAACTGGGAAAAATTATTGACTCGAGTATAAACCTAGGGTGGGAAATGTAGCAGCTACTGGTAAATTTCTAAATTAAATTAGATCCCAATAAAATTACATTAATTGAATATTTATTTACAGTGTGTGTATAGAATGAATGCATAAAAAACATTTAAAAAAAATAATGCAAATATTAAAATACTAATATAATAATAAAATATTAAAATAATATTATTTTATTATTATATTATTAGTATTTTAATATTTGCATTATTTTTTTAAAATGTTTTTTGTCCCCCCCTCCCTGGCCAGGCAACAAGCAGGGAGGGGGGACAAAAAACCATTTAAAAATAATAATGCAAATCTTAAAATAATAATAAAATAATATAATAATATAATATTAAAATAATATTATTTTATTATTTTATTATTATTAATTTAATATTTGCATTATTTTAAAAAAAATGTTTTTTTGTCCCCCCTCCCTGGCCAGGCAACAAGCAGGGAGGGGGGACAAAAAAATTTTAAAAATAATAATGCAAATCTTAAAATAATAATATAATAATAAAAAAATATAATATTAAAATAATATAATATTATTTTATTATTATTAAAATAAAATAATACTGAATCCCTGGTGGTCTAGTGGCATTGGCAGTTCAGTGGGGGGCTGACAGGGAGCTCTTACTTACCTTCCTGCAGCTCCCTCCTCCTCCGTGCAGCTCCTCGTACACTGTGAGCAGAACGGAGCTGACCGGGGAGCTGCATGGAGGAGGAGGGATCTGACAGGAGCTGCAGGAAGGTAAGTAACCGCTCACTGCCAGCCCCTAACAGGACCGCCGGGCTTGTAATGAGCCCGGCGGTCCTGGTCTGTATTGTGGCAAGGTAAATTGCCACAATACAGACATTGACTCGAGTATAAGCCGAGTTGGGGTTTTTCAGCACAAAAAATGTGCTGAAAAACTTGGCTTATACTCGAGTATATACGGTAATTCAAAAGTGGATCACATCATGTATATCAAATCAGTATCAATCTAAATACAGTGCCAAAAATATAAAATGGATCGAGCACTCTTATAAAGTGCAACAGAAATCTCAAACTTCAAAAGTATAAGGGATAACAATATTAAAGTGCAAAAGTGCTTCTCACATAAAATAAGTATGTTATGTATATTTTAAAAAACATTAAAACTGTCTTAATACAAGTGTAACTTTTATTAAAAACTCATCTAATATTTTCAATTTATGTGCAAAAATAAAGCAATGTCAAAACACTTCAAAATTGGATATTCCCGACAAATGGATATAGTAGCTTTGTGTACAGTCTTCTTAATCTACAAACGCCTCAAACAGGAAAGTAAATAACATACTAAAATGTAACTAGACCGAATTATACAATATGGGGGAAATTAATACAAAATATATAATCTTTTGGTAGGCTAACATTTAAAGGTAAAAGCATTTGCATTTATTCAGGGTAACTCCTCCCCTCTTGTTATTGATATGTGTCAGGCTTTTTCTTTCGACCAGTTATGGTTAAAATAATGTTAGAAGAAAAAAAAAGGAACAGAAACAAGATGAGAACAGTGGGTACAAAAGTAGGCCCTGTTCGGCGCATTGGTGTTTATATTGAAGGCAACATCAAACTTCTGAAATACAGCTCCCACAATCTCTTCTAAATGAAGCTAGTATTATTAAGTACATTATTCCAATATATAAATCCCTTTCATTGAATAAAACAAAAAGCTATCTTAAATAAAAACTTTAAAATACAATTAAACAATGCAGAGTCTGTCTAAGGTTTTTTTTTTTTTTTTTTTAAATGATATTTTTGAGGGTTTTATAAAGCAAATACATATTTTCCATCCGCTTGGCTTAAAAACAAAATAACATACAAAGGGCATTAAATCATCAGTGTTTCTATTGAATAGGCAATGCAAACAGATATAAAAACTCCTTAGTATACACCACTACTATGATACGTGGAGGACTTTCAATACGACAGAGAAGGCATACACACACTTCTCACAGATCCATAATACATACTCAAGGATAGATGGAATCCTCATTCAGGGCCAGGGACTGAACCAAATAATAAGATGCGACATAGGACAGATTACCTGGACGGATCACGCCCCAGTTACACTGACAATTAGGGACCAATACGACTATAAACAGCGGAGCCCTTGGAGGCTGAATGCTTCCTTGATCACGGACACCACTTTTAAAAGAGAAGTAGAGGAGGCATTAAATAAATACTTTAAGGAAAATACCACCGAAGGGATGCCCCAGAGCATAATATGGGCTGCCCACAAAGCAGTGATTAGGGGGATATTTATAAAACGAGCGTCATACCTGCGCAAGCAGGCCATGGCCCAAACCACCCAATGGAGAAAAGAACTCCACCTGTTGAACATCCGTAACCAAATAACCCCGACCTCTGAATTAAAAAAGCAAATTTCCAATATCACTCACAAACTACATCAACAAGCATTAGAACAAACGGCCTACATGCTCCAGAGATTAAAGATGAAACAATACACACAGGGGAACAAGGCTAGCAGACTTTTGGCTAAGAGGCTGCAGGAACAAAGGGCGAACCAAAAAATAGCCTACCTTATGTCCCCATCAGGGGAGAAAAAAATGATCCCTAGAGACATATGCAACGAATTTGCTAAGTACTACGCCACCCTGTACAATCTGAACACAGACAAAGCCACATTTCAACCTACACGAGAACATATTAACACGTATTTAGATAAGATAGACCTACCGACCCTCACACCCCAACAAGCCGACGACCTCATTAAACCCATAACCAATGAGGAACTCCAAACAATAATAAATAACTTGCCGAGGGGCAAAGCGCCAGGCCCGGATGGGCTGGACAACACCTACTACAAACAATTCCAACACATCCTGGCACCACACCTTGCACTCACATACACGGAAGCGACAAGGGCGCAGGCACTTCCACGAGATACCCTACTAGCTCATATCATCACAATTACGAAACCAGGGAAACCACCCACACACCCACAAAACTTCAGACCCATATCCCTGCTCAATACAGACGCGAAGATATTCGCTCAAGTATTCGCAACCAGACTGAGCACCATTCTCCCGAAGCTAATTCATACCGACCAGGTCGGGTTTGTATCAGGGAGACAAGGAGCGGAAAATACACGTAAAGTACTAGACATACTGCATAGCTTGCCCAAACTACACAAAGGGGGGGGGACTGATTGTGGCCCTAGACGCAGAGAAAGCCTTTGACCGTCTGCACTGGACATTCCTGGAAATGGTCATGATCAAATTTGGCATGCCGGAAGGGTTCAGGTCAGCGGTCAAGGTCCTCAACGCGGGCTTCTTATCTGAGCCCTTCAGCATCTCTAATGGGACCAGACAAGGGTGCCCACTGTCACCCCTGCTGTACGTCATGGCATTGGAACCCCTAGCAGCCAGGATCAGGCAACACGAATTATTCACGGGGTGAGAATAGGAAAGAGGGAATATAAGGCTAACTTGTTCGCAGACGATGTGCTGCTGACCTTGACCCAACCACTGATCTCCATGCCGAGCCTTCTAAAGGTGATAAAAGAATACGATGACAGCTCGTACTACAAACTGAACGTGTCAAAAACCCAGGCCCTAGGAATAGGGATCCCCAATACCATAATGCAAGTGCTGCAGGGACAGTTTGAGCTGGATTGGAGGACAGACGATGTTACATTTTTGGGAATTAAATTGACGAAGACAACGGGTACCCTGTTCAAGACAAACTATGAGACCCTATATAGGGAACTAGCTACCAGACTGAACAGCTGGGGAGACAAATATCTCTCATGGCTGGGGAGGATGGCGGCGGTTAAAATGTCTCTCCTCCCCAGACTACAATATCTCTTTCGGACATTGCAGATAGACGTACCGAATTCCTACCTACACAAGACTCAGGCACTGCTCTCACACTTCATATGGGCCAACAAAAGAGTGAGAGTAGCGGCAAAATTCCTCTATAGGCCACCCCAAGAAGGGGGTCTGTCGCTCCCGAATATTAAGGCCTACTACCAGGCGACATTACTGGCGCCAGTGGTGGAAATACAAACAAGAGACTCCCTACCTCAGTGGCTGGACATAGAGGACTATTGGTTACAGGGAACCACACTCAGACAACTACTTTGGGTGCCCAAACAGCTGAGACCAAAACAACCCGACATGTTACCAACCACAAAAACCGTGCTGAGAACATGGGACAAGACTAGAGGAGCACTGACATCCCTGGCCCCGTGGTCACCAGCAGCACCGCTGTCTAGCCTATCGGTAATCAACGACACCTTAGCACATAAGGAATGGTCTCAGAGGGGCTGCACGCACATAAAAAACCTAGTAGAAGCCCATAATATACTGCCATTCCCTGCACTACAAGACAAGTTTCACCTGCCCCCTAAACTCATATTCCCATACCTACAAATTAAGTCCATGCTTGGAACCCAGTCAGCCACTAAAGGGGACCTGAGCACACTCACAAAGTTTGAGCACACATGTCTGAATCCCAGACATAAGAAAGGTACAATCTCAATATGTTACTCACTCCTACTGGATAACGCTACGGCCCAACCGGATAGGTTCAGAGTAGCCTGGCAGGCAGACCTGGGGAAAGAGTTTGACGCAAAACAATGGGCACAAGCACTTACAGCATACAGAGGGAGGTCTACCTGCACATCGCATTTAGAACTGATGAGGAAGGTGTACTATAGGTGGTACATGGTGCCGACCAGGCTAGCAAAAATATATCCGGGAACATCTACCCAATGCTGGCGCTGCGGGGAGGAAGAGGGAACAATGTACCATATATGGTGGACATGCAAGGAGATTAGAACTTACTGGGACGAGGTGGGAAACATTATCAAATCGACAGTAGACAATAGCACCGAGATAACCCCAGAACTATGTCTCCTATTCATGAACATGGGACCCCGACGTAATAGTGTGACTACCCTGACATACCACATCCTCATAGCAGCACTGACACTCCTAGCTAGGGAATGGAAGTCGACAACAGCCCCGTTAATACCCACCCTGAAGAGACAAATCCATACTAACTTGCGGTATGAGGCGGTGACCAGACCAACACAAGGCAGCAACCAGAGATTCAGGGACGCTGTACATAGATGGGAAACTTACCATAATGAGGAGCTGTAGTGGATGCCCCAAGCACACATCTCAAGATAGGTCCGAAACACACAATAGAAGAGGGCCACAGGAAGAACACAGGGGTGAGACACCCACGGGAAGGACAGGGGACCCAGACTCATGGGAGGCAACTAGCCAAAAACTGGAGATTCCTCCCGGTAGAATACAGACATGCAACCACACGGAAATATCAAATGTAGCAAAACCTCGACCGACAGATGGACAAGTCATGGAAAACTAGCTTCCCCCCCCACCCCCCAAACAAAACATTATGTAAATATGATAAAAGGTCATTTAAAGGGACACTTTACTGCCTCCTCCCCAAAGAACACTCTTTAGTAGATATACCCCAAATGAGAACATTCATGCATTTATTTATGCATTCTTACATTAGGGTTATATGTAAAAACCACTTGCGAAAGCTACCGATCTCTGTCTGACGCCTTTTTAAGTCCTCCCCTTCTAACCCTGCCCAGACTTTCTGTGGCTGTCCAATTACAGACTTCCCAGTACTGCTCAATAAGAAGTGTTTGTAAGTCAGGTGCACTGAGAAGTTGCCTAGCTCAGTGGAGTTAAACTCAAGAGGCAAACAACCAGGAGTAACAAGACCAGTTGTCTAAATGAAAGCCAGTTGGGTATAACAAGGTTAACCAATTAAGGACTGCAGACGTACTAGGTATGTCCGACAAAAAATGGTTCTTAAGGTCCGCGGACGTCCCTTGTATTAGGTATGTCCGTGGCGAATAAAAGCCGTCCTTATTACTTACCCGATCGCCGCCGTTCCCCCGCCAGCAATCAGTATTGCTCCCGGTCTGGGGGGACTGCCTGACAGCTCAGCGATCACATGGCTGCAATAGGCCAATACTAGTGTATATTTATATTAATATATATATATATAAATACAAATAATTTACACACGTGTGTGTGTATGTATGTATATATGTGTGTGTGTGTGTGTATATATATATATATATATATATATATATGTGTGTGTGTGTGTATATATATATATATATATATATATATATATATATATATATATACAGTTGCAAGAAAAAGTATGTGAACCCTTTGGAATGATATGGATTTCTGCACAAATTGGTAATAAAATGTGATCTGATCATCATCTACGTCACAACAATAGACAATCACAGTTTGCTTAAGCTAATCACACACAAAGAATGAAATGTTGCCATGTTTTTGAAGTACTTAAAATAACTTTTAATCAAAAGTATATTAAAAAATGAACAATAATAATATTAAAAACAATATCACTAACGCGTTTCGACGCGATGGTCTTTTTCAAAGTGTCTCTTACAATTGTCCAAATGTCTTTTAAATACCCTGTCCGGACCTCCTTTTTTGGCGCCAAACGGTACTTTCCCGCCATTCAATTCTCTCGTCCGCGTTTCTTTCATTTCCGGCTTCCATTGATGACGTACTTCCGTTTCCTGTTTCATCCAACGCACCCCTTTTACGTCCGTCCGGGACGTAGTGGTACCCGTCGCCATCTTTGAGTGTCCAAAAACCGGGCAATTCTTTATATTAATCCTGGCAAATGTCTCTTACATTACAAAGTCCAATAATATAAAAAGTGCATAACATATATATATATATATAATTATATTGCACCAAACATAAAACAACACTCCAAATGCATCTTATATTTTATATCCCCCTATTACCTTTATATATAAATAAAATTTACTTTATGAAAAAATTTCTTCCTACAAGTATATAAAAAAGGGAGAAAAATATCGCTGGGGATACCCCACCAAGTTACTGGTCACAAAGAATGGAGTACTAACAATTATTCAAACTCCCGAAGGCGGAGTGAAACAAATGCGCGAATGGGGACTTATGAAAGACTCCACTCACACGCCAGCAAGCCCAACGGGTCGTCTAACACCAGAATGGCGGCAAATCCCGATGAAATCCAGGCTGCCATGAGATCCGACGATATGGAACCCACATACCGATACAACCTGGGAGCACGTGAGATAACTGTACACCCCGAAATCTAGCTTAAAATACCATGTTATAGCCAAGATTAATCGCTTCTGATTAGCATGTTGTTGTTATTGTTACTGCAATGTTTATATGTGAAACGTTTATTCACCTTGTACCATGCATAATATCCTCACCTGCTTATGATACAGGCAAGCTTACCCTCCTTGAGAAACGAAGGCATAGCCTACACTAAGGCGAGGCCGGGACCCATAGTTAAACCACAAGAACAGGGTCCCCACCACTCGAGGTACTGCGCAGCGCCCTGGATACTTCCTGTGGCGCCTTTAAAGAAGCCCTGCTACCAGCACTACCAATACCCCTGAGCGAGTTACCCCAGTTTTAACTACCCACTTATATACTCAGCGAAACACGCAACTATACCCCCCTAACGTTCTGACACATCTGAAAACGTGACAATATGAGAGCCCATTGGCCACACTACCAGAGACGCATCCCGAGCGTCCAACCGCCATGACACAGAGCCACAGTGCCAGGACCCCCAGTTGGGTCACTCTGTATATACTTTCTTTTACGTTAACCCTAATCACCGTCCCTACACTACCCCCAACTCCCAGGCTACAAGCTACTGTTCTAAGACTGCCCAACGGGCGGCACGCTGATCTACGACTACCTACCAAGTTGCCCACTGTGGAAATAACAAGTCCACAAACGAGCTATCTCTACCATAACTCTATAATATGAGAATATATTCACATAATAGTAGGGGGTTGAATACACCCCACAAAAGACTCATGGTACTGGAGGAGGCTAGGAAGAATAAAGCAGATATCATCTGCCTTCAAGAAACGCACTTTGTCACCTCCAAGGTGCCAAAATTTGGTATAAACGACTATCCCCACCAATACCATGCCACCCACTCCTCAAAGTCGAAAGGAGTATCGATCCTTCTTCACGCTTCCCTAACTGTAGAAATCTTACGAGTTAAAATAGACAGTCAGGGGAGATATGTGATGCTTCAGTGCCTACTTAATGGCTCCGCGTATGTTGTAATTAGCTTCTACAGTCCAAACGTGCACCAACGTAACTTTCTGCATAAGGTATTATCTATGATCCCAGACCACCAAACGGCTGCTACCATACTATGCGGGGACCTGAACCATCCTTTAGACCCCAATATGGACACCATGCTAAATCCCACAGCCCCTAGGCAGGCAACACTACGAACACAAAGCAAAGCCCTAAATAAACTGCTGGGGGAATACGGACTCTATGACTCATGGAGAATGTACCACCCGACCGAAAAATCTTTCTCATACTATTCGGCAGTACATAAATCCAACTCGAGAATAGATTTCATTTTTCTTGCAGGCACCCTTTTACCTAAGGTTACTGATAGCAACATTTGGGACATCACCTGGTCGGATCATGCCCCGACCATGGTAGAAATATCTGGAGAATACCAGCACAGGGGGCGGCCACCTTGGCGCCTTAACGACTCACTCCTCCACGACCACACCTTTTCTCAAACACTAACGGATGCCCTGCGCACATACTTCCAAATAAATGACATACACCCAACAACGCTATGGCAAGCCCATAAGGCGGTAATAAGAGGCTTATTGATCAGTCGAGCGTCCTATGTAAAGAAAAAAGCCCAAGAGGAATATCTGAATCTGCTGCGCACCCTAAGAGATGCTACTGCGGCAAACATAGTGAACCCTACCCCGCAACAAGCACAGGTAATCAAAGACACCACGGCACACCTCAACAACATAGCACTAGCAAAAACTGCACACATCCTACACAAACTAAAACAAACCTCATACTCCCAAGGCAACAGAGCAGGTAAACACTTGGCAACCTTACTGAGATAAAAACAATCCAATGCCAAAATACCTGTACAACCTATCTACTTACAAACAAAGGAACTAAAATCCACAGGACATTAACGACGCTATGGTAACCTACTACCACTCACTATACAACCTCAAGGACGATCCAGATTTACACCAACCCACCTCCTCAGACATACAGGACTTCCTCCGGCGAACCACACTACCGGCACTTTCAGCTCAACAAAAAACAACTTTACAAAACCCAGTCACGACACAAGAAATCCAACACGCCATCCAATCTCTCCCTCACGGGAAATCACCAGGACCTGATGGCCTGACAAATTCCTATTACAAGTCACAGACTGCATCCCTTGTCCCATATCTAGAAAAATCCTTTAACCATATTATCACAACCGGCCACACTGCCAAAACCAGGCAAACCCCCGACCAAATGCCAGAACCTAAGGCCAATATCTCTCCTCAACACCGACACTAAACTACTAGCCAAAATATTCTCAAATCGTCTAGCAAACATCATACCGACCATAATACATAAAGAACAGGTAGGCTTTGTCAGTGGTAGACAGGGGGCAGATGGAACCAGGAAGGTTCTGGACTTGCTATGGGGGGGGTGCGGAGGGGGGCCCAATGTGTACTCCTGTCGCTTGATGCAGAGAAAGCCTTTGATAGGCTGCACTGGCCCTTCCTCCGTGCGGTCCTCAACAAATATGGCTTTCCTGACAACTTCCTAAAACTGGTAGAGGCACTATATTCCAAACCGACCGAAAGTTACGAACGGAGGTTTCATCTCCAAGCAATTCAACATAACCAATGGAACGCGGCAAGGATGCCCGCTTTCCCCTCTATTATACATTCTATCCCTGGAGCCGCTCACACAGCTCATCAGGGACAACCCGAACATACATGGTATCACTAAACAAGGCAAAGAGTACAAACTCACACTGTTTGCGGATGACGTGTTACTAACGTTGGAGCAACCACATATTTCCCTGCCAAACTTTCATTCTGTCCTATCCCAATACAGCAAATGCTCACACTATAAGTTAAATGTGACAAAAACCCAAGCAATGGGCATAAATATTCCCACTGACACATTAGAGAGCTTACGCAACTCCTTTAACTATGACTGGAGAACCGACTATCTAAAATTCCTAGGAATTAACATCACACAGAAGCCAGCCCTACTGTGTAAAACAAACTACCAAAAAACATTGTCCGATATAAAAACAGTGCTACAGGATGGAAAGGTAAATACATCTCGTGGTCAGGCAGAATAGCTGCGATCAAAATGATTGTTTTACCGAAACTACAATATTTATTCAGAACACTGCCAATAAAATTACCCCCCCCGTTTCCTTCAGGAAGCACAACAAATGCTAATGGAATTTATATGGGTAGCAAAAAGCACATTATACCGGCCGCGGGAGAGAGGGGGGATGGGTGTACCCAACCTAGATAGCTACTACAGTGCAGCCATACTGAGTCCACTTTTAGCAGCATGCCACAGAACTTACCCAACTCCATGGGAAGAGATAGAGACATACCATGCAAACAACATCCCCATAACAATATTGGCATGGCTCCCAAAAACCCACAGACCATCGACGAGCGTAATGCTCCCAGTCACAGCACTAACACTGCACTTTTGGGACACACACTGACGTAAAATGGGTTGGACAGGTAAAACATCACAAGCCATGCCCCTAAAAACACTACAATACATAATCCCCAATTTCAACCACGCATTGTGGCATGAATATGGCATCACGCATCTATATCACCTCATACAAGATCAGGAACTTAGAAGTTGACTTAGAAGACTCCTACCACCTCAACGCACAGGTCTCCTTTTCCTATTTACAAATAAAATCCTGGTTCCACAAGCAAACTGTGAATGGGTCTGGAAATGTACAGGAACCACAGCTGACGGCGGTAGAAAAAATATGCCTACGCCTCTCGCCCCCAAAAAAACTAATCTCTGAAATCTATCAATCAATGCACGCACACACTGGCCATACAAAATTCTCTTTCACAACTGCATGGGAGAAAGAATTCAAATATAACCTAACTCCGCAGCAGTGGAAAGACATTTTAAAGGCGCACAACTCCCTCTCTAAATGTGCCTCACATATGGAGCTCTCTCGAAAAATCCTATACCGGTGGTATTTAGTGCCCACTCACATTAAAGCGGCGCACCCCCAAGCATCTGACGTATGCTGGAGATGCCAGCAGCATAAAGGCACGATGCTCCATATTTGGTGGACCTGTCCCATCCTAAACCCATTCTGGGACGTAGTCTCCACCATAATTCAAGAGAGCACAAAAACTATACTACCCAAGACACCCGAAACATACCTCCTCCAATTATTCCCAAAAAGGATGGGGTGGAAGCAAAAATACTTAATATATCAACTACTCATGGCAGCCCTTACGGTAATTAGCAGGCACTGGAAATCACCTCTACCAATGCCAACCACCGAACTCACACAATTATTAGAAACCAGAAGGCTATATGAAATAGCGGCCAGGTGAACCTCCCTCCCAAAGAAGGTCTGGCAAGAGGCATAGGAGGAGTGGCACCAATATATGGAGTGCAACAATCCCCCCCCCCCCAAAATGAACGGGAATGAAGATGGCTAGGACGTGTATCTGCTAACCGACAGCTGTGTTCCTAATGAGTACACCAAGGTACAAAAATGTACAAACATGTAAAAATACGATACTTAAAAAGGTCAATGCAAGTCACCTCATGCCTGGGAGTGACACCTACTTCCCCGTTACCTCCCCTCCCCCCCGCCCGTTATTTCTATAACTGTTTTCACCTTCTCCCAGTGGTATCCTAGATAGATATCCTAAATATCCAAATCACCAATGCCATACCTAGAGAAAGCATGACCTAATTTGTTGAACTACGTAAACTAATGTAACATGACTCTCGAGATGGAAAATGTGAACTCAATCTGTATATGGCAAAACATACAAGCATTACTGACAACGAGGCACCAACGGGTGCGCCCATACCAAAGTACAAAGATATGTATGTATACCACTGTCTTCTAACTATTGTCCTTTTCCCCCACCCCTTCTTCTTTCTGTACCCCCCCAAAAGATCAATAAAAATTGTCAAAGTAAAAAAAAAAAGTTATTATCATCAATTCTACATATTTCATATATATCTTAACATATATTAATGCACTCATCTCGAAATCACAATTTAACCCTTTGGGTGCTAAAGTATCTAAGTCAAAGATCCAGCCCATTTCACATAAACTAAGGGCTGAATCAAAATCCCCTCCTCTCCAATGGCATGTAATATTTTGAATTGCATAAAATCTTATCCCTTTTGGGTCTTTCCCATGGCATTCTAAAAAATGTAACGAAACACTATGGTTTTTGAACCCTCTTTTAATGTTATATATGTGCTCTCGTACTCTAGAGGCCACACATCTAGTGGTTTTACCCACATATTGTAGCCCACACGGGCACTCGAGCACATATGACATGACACGTCATAAATGATCCTATTCCAAATTGTTTTAAACTGGAGTGAGAGGTAAAGGTGTTGATTTTCTTTTCTTTACTTTCCAATAATTTACACCCCGTACAGTTTTTACAATAATTAAAACCTTTTAACGATTCTCTCTTCATACTTATAAAGTCTTTATCAGATTTTTCTAGAAAGCTATTTGTTAAGACTTGTTTTAGATTTTGTGCTCCCCTATATATTATTTTGGGCTTATCACCTATATCTCTTTTGATTTCATTATCTTGCTGTAATAAGTGCCAATTTCTTCCCCAAAATCCTCTTGATTTGAGCATGGCTCCTATTAAAGTAAAAAATCAATGGGACTATTCCTGAATTTTCCTCATCTTTCGGTTGTTTGTACTCCAATAATTCTTCCCTATTCATCTGCCTAACTTGATTAATTGACCTATTTAAATCCATATCCACATAACCTTTTTCCAGGAATTGTTGTTTTAAAACATCTGCTTGTAGATCATATTTTTCCATTTGTGAGCAGTTCCTCCTCAATCGTAGGAATTGCCCTCTAGGGATGTTATCAAGCCAAGGTCGAAAATGGCAGCTATCGTTTTTGATGACACTATTTACATCTACCTTCTTAAAAAATGTACACGTCTCAATGTTATTACCATCCCTGTAGATGTTTAAGTCTAGAAAATTGATTTCCCTATTTCCAATTTCATGGGTGAGTTTAATGTTCCATACATTTGTGTTCAGGTGGTTTACAAATTCCAAAGCTGACACTTCGTCACCCTTCCAAATAAAAAATATGTCGTCAATATATCTTCTATAAAGGACCAGGTTCGCCGCCCAGCCATGCTGTGAAAACACAAACTGCTCCTCCCACTGGGCCATGAACAAATTAGCATAACTGGGGGCGAACCTGGTCCCCATAGCAGTTCCCCGGCACTGAAGGAAAAAATCTCCCTCAAACCAAAAAAAATTATTGGTAAGGATCAGTAAAATAGACTCTAAATGAAAGTCAATTTGGTCCCCATGATATAATTCAGATTTCTCAAGAAAGTGCTTGACGGCCTCACACCTTCTAGTATGTTCGATACAGGTATACAGGCTCGTCTCGTCACGTGTTACAAATAAAAACTGATCTTCCTACTTTATGTTTTTAACAACTGTAAAAGGCTCATTGAGTCCTTTAAATATGAGGGGCATGTTCTCACCAGAGGCTGGAGAAAAGTGTCTGCATATTTGGATAATGAGAACAATAAAGAACCTATTCCCGAGACAATAGGCCGACCTGGAGGATTTCTTATATCCTTGTGTAATTTTGGAACTACATATATAACTGGTATTCTGGGAAACTCTGTATTTAAAAATTTATATTCGTTACTTGTTAGAATTCCTTTCAAGTGACCCTTATCCAAAAGATGAACATATTTTTTCCTAATTTCCGTGGAGGGGTTACTTTTTAGTTTTCTATAAGTGTCCTCATCTTCAAGCTGCCTATTTATTTCTGCTATATACGTTTCTCTATCCAGCTACTTGTCGGCGGGTGTGATAACTATACTTTTGTCATTTTTCAATTCCTTCATTGCTTGTTTTTCTTTTATAGTGAGATTATAATAATATTTATTATTCTTCACTTTAATATTTTTGATATCTTCTATACAGGCTTTCTCAAAAACCTTCATACCTGCAGTGTTGAGATGCATAGGGTAAAATTTAGAGGTTTTTTTTAAAGATGTATGTATAAAATCACTCTTATTATCATCTATCCCATTTACGTTAGTATTTGTCTTATCCTGAAAAAATGTCTTTAAACAGAGTTTCCTTGTAAACCTGTTTATATATTTATATACATTAAATTTATTTATAGGGCAGCTCGGAACATAGTTGAAACCCTTACTCAAAACATTCATATGGGCTGTTGTTAATACTTTTTTGGACAGATTAAAGATTTTTATTTTCTCATTATCTTTCCCTGTGGTCTCTTTAGGTCTTTGTCTTCCGCTATTTCTCCTTCTTCGTACACTCTGTATCTCCTCTTTTGGGGAACTGGGCTTCTGTGAAAAAATTATTCTTGGGATGTCTGGTGTGAATCGCTTTCTTGAGGTCATGCCAAAGCATCTCAATCGGGTTGATGTCAGGACTCTGACTGGGCCACTTCAAAAGCGTATTTTCTTCTGTTTAAGCCATTCTGTTGTTGATTTACTTCTATGCTTTAAGTCATTGTCCTGTTGCAACACCCATCTTCTGTTGAACTTCAGCTGGTAGACAGATGGCCTTAAGTTCTCCTGCAAAATGTCTTGATAAACTTGGGAATTAATTTTTCCTTCGATGATAGCAATCCGTCCAGGCCCTGACGCAGCAAAGCAGCCCCAAACCATGATGCCCCCACCACCATACTTCACAGTTGGGATGAGGTTTTGATGTTGGTGTGCTGTGCCTTTTTTTCGCCACACATAGTGTTGTGTGTTTCTTCCAAACAACTCAACTTTGGTTTCATCTGTCCACAGAATATTTTGCCAGTACTGCTGTGGAACATCCAGATGCTCTTGTGCAAACTGTAAACGTGCAGCAATGTTTTGTTTGGACAGCAGTGGCTTCCTCTGTGGTATCCTCCCATGAAATCCATTCTTGTTTAGTGTTTTATGTATTGTAGATTCGCTAACAGGGATGTTAGCATTTGCCACTGACTTTTGTAAGTCTTTAGCTGACCCTCTAGGATTCTTCTTCACCTCAGTGAGCAGTCTGCGTTGTGCTCTTGCAGTCATCTTTACAGAACGGCCACTCCTAGGGAGAGTAGCAGCAGTGCTGAACTTTCTCCATTTATAGACAATTTGTCTTACCATGGACAGCAAG